TCATTCTCCTGGGTAATCTAAATTACTCACCCCTCCAGTTCCCCTATCTTCCCTCTCTCGATCCCCTCTAGCAGGTTAGGTGAGCCAGGATGCTTCAGTATCGCATGTGGTGTGGAGTTGTTTGTTAAGCAAGGCGCCTTCGGTTTCTGGGACTTGTAAAGAGGGTAACGCGTTTGGCTTATGGCGCAGACAGTTATCTTGACATTGCCGGTTCGGTTTATATGACCGGGATCGGGTGTCACAAGTTTGGTATCAGAGCTAAGGTTAAGACTCTTCAGCTTTGTTCTGAAGGGTCAGTCCTAAAAACAGTTTTAGTGTTTGCGAAACCTTTGTGCACACTTGACTTGCTTTACAACTGTTATGACTCACACCTATGCATACTTGACATCTGACTCTTAGCTTTTTCTTTCCCGTGCCAAACAGGGCTCATACCCGCGAGACAGCCCGGAAACGGACCACTCCGATCCACATGGTTCCTGCTAGACTCGCCCGACCCGCTCGGATGCCCACTCAGGAGGAGGTGAACGCCTGTGCTGCGCTAGGGACTGATGTGCTCGAAGCTGTACAAGCTCGGGGGACATGTCGATCCTCTTCTGGGAGAGTGGTTACCCAACAGGCCCAACCAACACGTAAGCGTGGACGCCTCCGCAAGAACCCCGCGTCATATGTTAGGCCGGATGTTCAGCCGGCTTACCCTCGGACAACCCAGGGTGGACGTTCTGTGGAGCAGTACAAAAGGGCCTTCTTTAGGGACCTGAATGAGAGTGGCAGAGAAATCTGTTGCACTCTTCATGCTGCAATAACATTCCAAGAAAGGCTGAGACCGGAAATCCACGGGAGTGTACCTTACCTTGAGGAAGACGGACTCGTTTGGGGCATCAGCCAAGTCACTAACCTGGCTCGGTTGGTGGAGCAGGATATCGAGGAGGAACAGAGGCAGCAGGAAGATGGTGACTATAAGTCAGACCCGTCCGAATGCGAGGTCCCCAGCGATGATGACTTCGACCCGAGACGTGGCTAGGAGAAGCTGCTTGAAGACTATCTAGATTACGGCTGCGCTTTTGGGATATTGGAGGGGGAATTCATTTTTACATTTTAGAAACTAACTTAGTTTTTAATTTATGCATTAGATTTAAGAGCCCTATTCTATGTTGGTTGATTGCTTGATTTAATTTAATAAAAGGTTTTGCTAACTTAGAAATGATTGCTTCCCGAGTCTTCTGTTCTATGAACATTTCGATTTAGCCTTCTTTGGTATGACTTCCAAGTCTTCTTCATCGCCTTACGCCGGCCGTGGAGGTTCATGCCTTAGAATTCGGGACGAATTCTCGTTAAGGGAGGGAGAATTGTAACGACCCGGTTCTCACAAACCAGGCCCGTTTGGAAAATTTAATCCCAACTAAGACGGTTTAAGCCTATTTCCTATTTCTCGATATTTCATTTTTCCTTCGAGAGATAATTAATTTCTGGTTTAGAAAAATATTACATTTTTAATGTGATATTAATGAACATTTTCCTAAATGAATTGTGAATATTCTTATTCATAATTATCTTTTCTTTTTTTGTGGTTATCTTTACTTTTTACCCAAGTCTCTCATTGGGTATAAATAGAGAGTCCTTCTCATTCTTTTTCTTCATTCTAAACTTTCCAGAGAACAGAGAAACTCTAGAACTCTCTTCTCTCTCTCTTTCGGCGCCGTAGTACTCTCTCTCCACTGTCTCTCTCTCCTCTTTATTTCTCTCTCATCGCCGCATCCTCTCTCTCTTCACCATGTCACGCCGTTCGTCATCCCCGCCTTCTGGTGACCGCCCTAGCCGCTCCCCGGAGCAGCCATTATCGTCCGCCGGTGCGGTGGAGCAGCCGCGAGTCCACTACCTTCGGGATGGACCCGTAGCCGCCCCTTCCAGCCGCCCTGCCCCGGTGTTTCACGTTGATGAGGAGCCGGAGTCCTCCCAGAGCCATACGCCACCGCAGCATCACCCCCGGAGATCGATCAACCCTGCGTGGTTAGCCGCCGTGGAGCATCTCGCCTCCTTCTCTTCTCCTTACCTCCCCTTGCCACCTCCTTCGCCACCTAGGCCAAGGTGAGGATGAATCTGTGCTTGAATATCGTGAACTCTGCTTTTCTGAATGCATAGTTTGGGGTTAAACCAAGCATAACCTACTTTCTGCTTTAGAACTGAGTCCCATCTAGGTCTTGTTAGGTTGTTATTTGCTCTGTGAATCGCCTAGATGTGTTTAGGGTTTTGAAACTGAAGTTGCAGGAGACTTAAAACGAACATTTACTTGTGCTTGAAACACTTGCTTGTTTGATTGCTGTTTGGATCTCTTCTGTGATTGTGTGATCGCCTAAAACTTGTAAAGAGGATAGGAACTTAATACGGTATTACGTGAAATCATTATTGAGACTATGTGTTGTGAAATGTCTGAGATGAGAGTTGAGATCATAAGGCAAAGGAGCCGTGGTTGATATACTTGAGTGGAGGACTATTGTTTGGGGTCTGAGATGGATGGTTGAGATTTGCAATGCTTGGGGCTGCAATCGATACACTGAAGTTGAGGATAGTCGCTGAGCCACGTGGGCAATATGCGAGGGGGTACTGAGGGACCTGACATCACATGGGACTGTTCAAAAGGGTTCAGCGTATACTCATGTGCTATGGGAGTAATGGCTATATGTAGCGCTCTCAAGGCATGGCCGACGGGCTAGTCGTGTAGCGACTATAAATTTACGGAGGATGCAACCCAAGTGCCACGGTGTAAGTCATCATTGTGTGGTCCGGGTATTCTCAGTGGCGTTACCTGTGACGCTAGGTTATTGTGTGAAGTCTTAAGGACTTTCTATGGTGCCGTTTTAGGCTTGAACTTAGCATTGTTAAGTTGTGGTGCATTGATAGGATAGTGTAGGTTTATTCTCCTGGGTAATCTAAATTACTCACCCCTCCAGTTCCCCTATCTTCCCTCTCTCGATCCCCTCTAGCAGGTTAGGTGAGTCAGGATGCTTCAGTATCGCATGTGGTGTGGAGTTGTTTGTTAAGCAAGGCGCCTTCGGTTTCTGGGACTTGTAAAGAGGGTAACGCGTTTGACTTATGGCGCAGACGGTTATCTTGACATTTCTGGTTCGGTTTATATGACCGGGATCGGGTGTCACAAGAGCTATGTCAAGTCTTTTCCAATCCGATTTAACCTATAACCGTATCTAAACCGAAATCAAAACCATAAAAAATATCAAAATCAAATGTGTTTGAGAAAACCGAACATTTGTAGTATATAGATGGTTTTCAAAGTATGAACATTTGAACGTAAATTTGTATAGCGGGCCAGTATCATTCATTTCCTTGTCATTAGACCTTTTTCTGTTTTTCAGTGCGACCAAATTGTGATGTTCAGAATGTCCAAACTGTGACAATTTGTGCCTTTTTCCCAATGTTTCTTTAGTTTAGTTTGGTTTGGTTACATGTGAAACAATTAACACATTGTGGGCGAAAGGAAAGCTATAGAAGAATGTAATTCGAAATAGCTTTGGGTTGTATTTTCTATAAACCTAAAAGTTTTCTTCTTCTTCAGAGAGTCCTTCAAGAAATGACACCCTATCCTATCTGCTCTAGGGGTGGGCGTTCGGGTTATCAGATCGGATCGGATCGGATATTTCGGATTTCAGGTATTTCGAACTATAATTTTTAGTACCGATCGGGTATTTTTAAAATTCGGATCGGATTTGGTTCGGATCTCTCCGGATTCGGATCGGTTCGGATATTATATTTCGGATCCGATTTTTTCAGATCTAGTTTGGATTCAAGTATTTTTATCCAAAAGTAACCGAAATACTCAAAGTAATAATGAAATAGCTGAATTTTGAAAACACTGCAAACGAAACTAAACATCAAAAGAAAGAAAGAAAGTGGAAAAATAAAACTAAACGTAAAGAACTTCTTGATATCTTCTTCTCCACTTGATATTTCTGCAAACTGCAAAAACTCAAAAAGGTTTACAAAAAGCTCTTACACTTATGTATAATTTTTAATTTAACAATGCAAATAATAACAACTTCAATTAATTTTCTGAACAATTATTATTTGGAATTAGTAAATACAAACTTGTATCCATTCTCAAAATGAATTTGTATGGATACTCAAACTTGTATCGATCCTGAAATAAGTAAATACAAACACACACATACAAACAATAGTTGAACAATTGCTCTGTTTTCTGAATAATTCATGCTTCTTCTTCATCATACTATTATTAAATCTTTGTTGCAAAAACCCAGAAACAAAGATTAAAGAGACAAACTTGAATTGTTAATTAAGAGAAACAATAAATTTCAGAGTTAAAAAAACAGTAAATCGACACAAAGGAAAAGATTAAAACTAAAATCACCAAACATATACATAAGAAGAAATCGATATACTCTAATGGAGTGTGAGAAATTCCATATTTGACCGAAATTGATTTTTTGATGTCTCGGAAGGAACATAGGCTGCATAGAAAAAATTAAAAGATTCCAAATTTTGGGATATGAAAAATGGATACTTATCATGATTGAGTGAACAAATATTTTCTATGTTTTTGGCTTCAAAATCAGGATTGAGTGATGTGTTATTGTTGGAAAATAAGGTAAGAGGATTTGGATCGGATATTCGGGTATTTCGGATCGGATCGGGTATTACCCGGTACCCGAAGTACAAAGAAGAATGCTCCCGATCGAATATTGTATGGAATCCGGATCGGTTCAGATCGGATATTTTCGGATCGGATCCGAATCGGATTTTCAGATCCGGGTAAAATGCCCACCCCTAATCTGCCCTATATTGTTCGGATTGAGGTATGGTCGAGAGATCAACAAAATTAAACATAACATACATCAATTTGGAAAAAAAAATAAAATAAAAAATGGAGAATTGAGAACGAGGAAGTCACCAAATATCGGGTGGGTTTTAACTTTTAAGACATGTCATATAATTATCGGCCCATTGGGCTTTGTGTTATCAATTTTCAGCTAGGGTTTTGGCATATGCTCGTTTATAAGGCACAAGAAACCCTAGCCGCATATATTGGTTGACGCTTCTACCGCAGTGACCTCCCTCGAGACGAAAATGGTTACTTTCAGGGTAAGCGCTTGCTCTTTGATCCCTTCTCCATCTCATTGTCTCCATTGTTGCTTCTTACAGTTTTGGCTTCCCGCGAATCTGATCTCGTCTTTGTTCTTTCCTTGGCAGTTTCACCAGTACCAGGTTGTCGGAAGAGCTCTCCCGACAGAGAAGGATGTTCAACCTAAGATTTACCGGATGAAGCTCTGGGCAACGAACGAGGTTCGCGCCAAGTCCAAGTTCTGGTTAGTAAATCGGTTTCTTCCCTAATTTTTTGAGTTTATTTTTAATTGCTTGAGTTATCGGCTTGGTCTTTAACTAGAAAAGTTGTAATTTTGGAATAGGTATTTCTTGAGGAAGTTGAAGAAAGTTAAGAAGAGCAATGGTCAGATGCTTGCCATCAACGAGGTACTGATCTCAAGTTATATGATACATCACTGTTGTAGGAGTTAGTAAATCGATTACTTTGTCCTGAAAAGTAATTATATTTGCTGAATTAGATTAGTTGTGTCTTGTGCAGTTCATAGTATGCTTGAGCTTATAGTTTCAAATAAGACACATGTACCATGAATCAGCAATGCAGTTCTCTTCAATAGCATCTAACTAGAAAGCTTTTGAATTCCTCGAAATCTCTGTTATGTTCTTTGCGAATTGATCAAATTTGAAACAAATGTCATGTTTTTTCTCGTGAGTGAAATATTGTTTCTTCGTTCTTTGTCTAGCTTGAAGTAATCCATGGAACAAATTGTGTTGCAGATCTTCGAGAAGAACCCGACAACCATCAAGAATTTTGGAATCTGGTTGAGGTACCAGAGCAGAACCGGATACCACAACATGTACAAGGAGTTCCGCGACACTACCTTGAACGGAGCTGTGGAACAGATGTACACAGAGATGGCATCCCGACACCGTGTCAGGTTCCCTTGCATCCAGATTATTAAGACAGCCACTGTCCCTGCCAAGCTGTGCAAGAGGGAGAGCACCAAACAGTTCCACAACAGTAAAATCAAGTTCCCCTTGGTGTTCCGCAAGGTGAGACCACCAAGCAGGAAGCTCAAGACCACTTACAAGGCCTCCAAACCCAACTTGTTCATGTAAAAGGGTCTCTGATTGACTTCATATCTTTTTTTTGGGTAGAATCGTGATGAAGTTATGCTATCTCTGCTGTTTTGTCTTCTCTCGGATATTTTTGTTTATCAACATTTTAGGCGTATTCATGATACTTAAGTCGACTTTTTCCTCTGGATTTTGTGGTTCCTGTTTCTTGCTTATTGAAAAACACTTTTCCTTTGTTTGTTCCTGTGTTGCTCTCTTTACTGTGAAGCGTGAGCAAACTCGTTATCAGAATACGTATAAATACGATACCCAACTCTCTAAAATTTTAAAACAAAATCAACTCTGAACTTCAATTGTTCAAAGTCATCAGAGCCCATTTGCCATTTTAACCAAGAAGAATCCATTTTCTCACAGATCGACGAAAACGATGGAATCTTATTAACATAGTACAGGGGCATTTTCGTCAATTAAAGCACTTCAGAGAGAGAGAGAAAAGAGAATCTCTTCTCGCTTTGGAGAGACAAGTCTTTTATCACTTGCTTTTGCTTTTGTGTGATCAAGATCACTCACTCTCGCCGAGTAGCTCAAGCTCAAGTGAAAGTCAACACAGCAACTACACAGAGCCTCAAGTCTCTCGGCGATGGCGTCACACGACCATGATCATGATCATCATCACGATCACGAGCAAGGCCACAAGTTCGAGTTTCCTTGATTCTTCCCTCCGTAAAGTTTTGGTCTTACTGCCATTTATTATCCACCATCACCAGTCTGATCTAACTAATTCTGTAACGTAGGAAATCGGACGGCAGCGATGCAGAGACGTCGTGGGTGGGACCGGACGGGAGGGTGTACCATAGCCACGATGGACTCGCACCGCACTCACACGAACCCATTTACTCTCCTGGCTACTTCAGCCGCCGAGCTCCTCCGCTTCACGACCGTAACTTCTCCGAGAGAGCTTTTACCGTCGGTATTGGCGGTCCCGTCGGCACAGGGTACAAAGTTTACTGAGATTCTTCTTACTTGCAAAAATCAAAATGACTGCTTGATTTTTTAAGATTTGGTAACATAGGAAATGGATTAGCCCTTGAATCTATGATAAATCGGGTTTCATTTCTTTTGCGCAAAGGTGTCACCTTTTTGTTCTGATTGGATTTTTGTTTCTCTTCACTCAGGAAAACAGCATTGATGCTTGCTCTTTGTAGATTCTTGAGGGACAAATACAGTCTTGCTGCTGTAAGTATATTCTTGTGTTGATTCCGAGCTCCGACCCAAGATTGTTTGCTTGATCATCTCTGCAATGTACATGTGAGACTAAATAAGATTTTCGGTCTTGTAGGTGACAAATGATATATTCACGAAAGAAGACGGCGAGTTTCTGGTGAAGAACGGGGCTCTTCCTGAGGAAAGGATTAGGGCTGTTGAAACCGGTGGATGTCCACACGCTGCGATCCGTGAAGATATCAGTATCAACTTGGGTCCTCTTGAGGAGTTGCATAACTTATTCAAGGCTGATTTGCTTCTTTGTGAATCCGGTGGAGGTTTTCACTTCTGTTCCCTAACACGAGTTTTTTTATAGTTGTTATTATTGCCCATAGCCATAGGTCTCTGTTTCTGAAGGAACATGTGAGATTGAATAGGATTAGTATTGTTGTGTTTGCAGATAATCTAGCTGCTAATTTCAGCAGAGAACTAGCTGACTATATCATCTACATCATCGATGTATCGGCCGGTGATAAAATCCCCCGTAAAGGTGGTCCTGGAATCACTCAAGCTGATCTTCTGGTAAACATTTGTTGCTTAATCTCTCAACTTACGAGAACCAGTTTTTGATTAAGTCTATAGTAATGTGAGAGAATCTCTTGTGTTTTTTTTTTTTTCCCAACTGCAGGTGATTAACAAGACAGACCTCGCAGCAGCTGTTGGTGCCGACTTATCTGTCATGGAACGGGATGCACTACGCATGCGTGATGGAGGGCCATTCGTCTTTGCTCAGGTCCCCGCCATCTTCTGAATATCATTCATCACTTATATAACCTAACGAACTTAGTTCTTACAAAAGAGTCCGTCTTTGATTACTTAACACTTTCAGGTGAAGCATGGACTTGGGGTCGAGGAAATCGTGAACCATGTTTTACACTCATGGGAGCAAGCGACCGGAAACAAGCGCCATTAATGGGTTTTAAAGACCCAAAATGGAGAAGATGATCAAAGCTGAATGAAACTCTCTCCATACTTATCTCAAAGCTTATGTATCTGTTTGTTGTACTCAAGACAGAAAGAGAAATAAGGGTTTCAAACATAGCATGAGACTCATTACATAGTTGATTGATCTGTATTTTCTAGTTAAACTCCTTTAACAGACGCAAAGAGATCTTTGTAGGAAAGTTTTGGAGCATCGGGACGAGCAACGATCTCCACAACCTTGAAAGATGATTCCTCATGAAGTAAAGCTTCCACGGCAACTTCTGCGACCTGGTCTCTCGATATGCTCCCTGCAGACAGAGTATCCTACAAAGACCAAAAGGTCAGACCTTTTAACAGTTCTAGCACAAACGCAGACGAAACAAAGATCAAAGACGGTTTTTTACCTCTGGCTCCATGACTACGTTTCCTGTTGGAGGATCGTTTTTAAGACCACCGGGCCTTACTATGGTGTAGTTAATGCCGGATCTTTTGATATACTTCTCGGCTTGAAGCTTTGCGACCAGAGTGAGTCCAAAGACGTTGAGGAAGATGTAAGCCGGGTTCAGAATCTGTCCCATCGCAGCTCCATTCACCAAGATTGAGCTTATAAGAACAAACCTATCAACTCCTTGTTTACGGCACGCATCCACCAGATTCACCGTCCCGAAATTATCAGTCTTCCAAGGAGCGAAGAGATCGAACCCGGGACGAAACCCAGTAGCACAAATCACAGCCTGAGAGTCATCACCTATAGCTTCAGCTAGCTTCTCAGGACCTTCTGTCACGTCTGCTCTAACCTAACAAGATATAATCACAAAGGTTATTTTTTAAGAGAATCTAACAGCTAAAAATGCCGGATTTAAGATGAAAGAACATACGAACTGAAGAGACGGGTCGTCTTTGAAAGATGTCTTTGCTTTCTCCACATCGCGAACACCGGCTTTGACGGCGAAGCCACGGGACAACAACTGCTCCACAATCCTCTTCCCTGTTTTTCCAGTGGCTCCGGCGACAAACACCTTCTTCGTCGTCTTCGCTGCAGTTTCTTCACTTGCTTCACCTCTTTCCATCTGAGACACCAGCAAATTAAATAATGAAAAAACTCTGATTTCCTGTTTCTTCATCACAACGAAACACAATCCGATGCAAAGATTCTAGCTTACAAGATGATGCAAATTCCCAGAGAATCAATGGTTTTTCACGGAATCTAAAACCGAGAAATCTCTTACCTTGATGGAAGTGAATGAACGAGAAGGGTTGTTCTTGGCTAAGAAGAGGGAAGAAGACTGGCAGAAGAAGACAGCTGACGAATGTCTGAGAAGCAGAGATGCTGCCATCGATGTGTATAATCTCGGCCGTAACGTTAAAACTAAATTAAAATTGTAAATTATTTAATTTCTGGGGTTTTGTTGATGAAATGACGCCACGTGGCAAATTTGTCGCATAGTGCGTAAATTACCGAAAACCCCCGAGAGGCAGCGGCGAATTCTCGATTTCCCGAGAAAGTGGAGAGAAAATCCTTGACGGAAAGTGTGGGAAAGAGAAAGAGAAAATGACGAAGAAAGCAGACAAGTCAGGGATATCGCGGCCTTCTTCTCCGTCGCTCAGCGGAGGCTCTGGTCGGTAAGTTTCCTGTATACACATACGGCGTAGAAAATTTCATATTTGGATATAGAACAAGTTTTGGGTCCTTCCTTGGTTTTGCTCTGATTTCTCTGTTTAGGGTTTAAGATTCTGCTTGCTGTCTCTCTAGTGATTACTGATTAAGTGATTAGGGTAAGGACTTTGTTCAAACTGGAATGAAATGTGTGAACTTTATGCTATTCAAAGGCTTCCCTTTTGAAATTGTCCACATTGCATAAGAGTGGTTCTTCCCTCTTTTACTTGTTAATCATGAGAAGAAATGTTGAGACTTTGTGGTTTACTTGTCAATTTTGCATTCTGAAAAATTTCTGTAGGAACTTAGAGGTGGCTGTGAACTCAAGCGGAGAGGCAAGGAGGTCTACAAGACTGAGACTTCAGCCTTTGAGAAAGCCAAAGACAAGCCAGAAGAAGAAGAAACTTGCTAAACTCCATGGGAATATGCCGAAGAAGCCTCCCACTGCTTTCTTCTTTTTCTTGTAGGTATCTTCTCTGTTAGAATTGTGCAATTGCTTCCTATATTGGCCTCTGTATATTTATAGGATCAGCTGACTTTCTTGCAGTCCTCTCTTGACATTGCTCGTTAGGAACTTACGATGAGATTAGTTGTGCTGTATACCCAAAAAGTTATGTGCTTTGGTTAGATAGAAACATGCGAAGAAACACTTCTTGTTTGCATTTTCCTCATATTGCCTTGTCTTTTGGTTTCCAAAGGGAGGATTTCCGGAAGCAATATCAAGAGCAGAATCCAGAGGTCAAGTCCATGCGCGAGGTTTTTAAGAGATTTTTTTTCTTTTCTTTGGTGGTATTTGAAAGTAAAACATGGTGACTGTTGCATTGAATTTGAATCTGTTTTTGAATTGATTTTTTGCTCTTCATTCTATCTAGATTGGGAAGACATGTGGAGAGAAATGGAAAACAATGACATACGAGGTAACATCAAGGTTTCGCTCTTGTTCTGTCCCAGTTACTTTCTTGTCTCTTAACAGACTTTCATCTTCCAAGAGTTTCCTCAATAACATTGTTTGAGTCATAGCCTAATGCAGGGGAATCTGAAAATGATAGGTTATGCTTACTTAAGCAATGTATTAATTGGATACCTATGATTCTGATCTGCGTTAGCAGTTGCCAAATTGCAATTTGCACCCCAGTTGTTTTGTTTGTTCTTCTCGACCAATAATATTTCATTCTTCTTCTCTTTGCTACTCTTACATGGGTTTTGGTTGGTATTTCATATCTCTTAGTCATTGTTTGTTTGTTTATTCCTCTACTGTATTATAGGAAAAGGTAAAGTACTATGACATAGCCACTGAGAAGAGGGAAGAGTTTCACCGAGCAATGACAGAATATACCAAGAGAATGGTACCATTTTCTTCATCTTTTCTTATGCTTTTGTTTAATAACATTCACCGCAGTGTTTCACTGATACGGTTGTACAGCATTCGTCTGAGATTTTCATTTTACTATTGATTTTTGTAGGAATCAGGTGAATATGATGAATCAGAGACCGACTCGGATTTTTCTGAATAGATTACCTTTTACCACATTAGAAAACAATGTTCCAAGTCTTCTAGGATGGGTTTGTAAATCGGTGATGTTTAGAAGTTTCTGTTTTCATGACATCATTTATTTCCTGATACTCAATTCTTCTGTGTACTGCACTTAGAGATCAATAAAAGGCTAACCAGTTTTTTCAATGTTGGCCAAGTTTCATTTTGATTGTCTTGGTTCTATTTTGGAACACTGACGAAAAAGATAATCAAGTTTTGGTATGTCACTTAAATTTCTAGGTGCTTTCTGATTTTTGAGTTGCATTCATTTGATATCAAATTGAAAGTCACACCCCATAGATGAGGACAATTCTGCACCAACATTATCTTTCATATAATATAAGTAACTTCTGTAAGCTGATACCAAAAAAAAAAATAGAAATGTAAAGCCGATCTAGTTATCTAAGTCTTGATTCGCAGTAACCATTTTCTTGGAGAGAAGCATGAGAGAAGCTGAAGCCTGCATATGATTGGCTTGACCTTGGATCTTCCTATGGACTCTTTGCAACTCATCTTTGTATTCCTCGAGTTCATCGACGGTAAGCATCTCAATGGGCTTCTTAAACCTCTCAACCCCAGCAGATTCAAGCTCCTCCTGATCTTTCTCGCCTCGTTTCTTCTCAGCTTCAATCTCTTGGTTGAGGAAATCGAGACGTTCACTCATCTTCTTCTGTTTAGGTCGATTCTTACATCTTCCTTCGCCGTCGCTGCTGTCTGAATCGTCACATTCCCTCATGAATCGCTCTGTGACAGCGTCGAGATTTGGTTTCCCGTACGAGAAAGGCTTGCCTCCTGGTGAAAAGACGACAATACCCAACTCGGCGTTGCAGAGCGTGGCTAACTCGCTCGCCTTCTTGAACAAACCCGTCCTCCGTTTTGAAAAAGTAACCTGTCTTGTGTTCATGTCCTGAACCATCTCCATCTTGATCTTTCTCCGACCCATCTTTTTTTTTTGCTAAACGGTACGAACAAGAGAGATAGAGAGATACGCTTCTTTTTTTTGCAGTGAAAGAGAATATATTGAGGAAGGAGGAGATTTTTATTTTTCTAACTTCAAATTGTATTTCTCTTGATTTAGTAAGGGAGGTGGAGATTTTTCATTGAACCCAACAAGAGTATCATACAAGATATATACGTGTAGATTTAGCAAGTTGTTAATTGTAAATCTTGAACTGCCTTATCAGGGCGTTGAATAGTTTCTAATTGTGTATTCAAACATCCAGGAATATTTAAAATTTCGTATTTTTTCTATTAAACCTTCAACCATGGCTCTTTAAAATAAGATTCATTACCTAGTAAAGATAAAATGCCATGTTTTGTTTTGAAAACTGAACCGGCCGGTCGAACAAGTGTTGTATCGTTGTATCGGTTTTGTAAACCGTTTCGTTGAGGCTAAGGTCAATATTTGCATAATGGTAGAAAAACGCAAAAACGCAAAAATGCAAGGTGCGAGATTGCGTTTTTCTTATAAAAAATACAAATTTTTTTTGTTAAGCGACGTGTTTGAAATATATTATTTACGGAATCAATGTTATATTATTCAATTATATGATTAACTATATTTTATTATTTAAATAAATACAAATAAATATAACTAATTATATTTTATTATTTAAATAAATACTTAATAAAGATAAAATGTTATGTTTTGAAAACTGAACCAGCCGGTCAAACAAGTGTTCTATCATTGTATCAGTTTTGTAAACCGTTTTGTTGAGCTAAGATCAATAATTTTGTCATGCGGAATGGTAGAAAAACACAAAAACATAATTGTCAATCAAAAAAATCTGTAGAAAAACGTAAAAATACAAGATTTGTAGAATTACATTTTTTTTACAAAAAAATATAAAAAAATATTTATTAAGTAGAAAAACGTGTTTAAAGTAGATTATTTGTAGAATCAATGTTATATTATTCAATTATATAACTAATTATATTTTATTATTTAAATATATACACATAACTAATTTAGTGTTACAAAAATATTATTTAATGATAAAATTATATCTATTATTTAAATTTTGCAATATTTTTAAATTTTTATATATTTTTTTATTTTGAAAAAAATATTAAAAAATATGATAAAAAGTATATCATTGTATAATAATTAATTGAATTATTAACATTTTATTTTATACAATATATAGTAAAAACAATATTTTAAATAAGCATATTATGTTATTACGCCATTCTGCATGATTGAATAAAAAAAAATTCTGCAATTCCTCAATAGGTTATTCCACAATTTTTTTTCCACTATTCCACGATAAAAAAAAAGTGTTATATCTAGATCATAGAATGGTCGGACGTTTCAACTTTCAAGTGGTTATTTCCGGTTCTGCTAAAAAATACAATAACAACCGGTCAGACCTATATGAATTCCGAATTCAAATCCACAAAAGCCCATGGCCCATTTGGTCGAGGTGTTGCTTGTATATCATGGTTCTTGCAAGAGTTCAAATAATTTGTGAAGATGGGTCTCCAAGTTGACGAAAATTGAGACAATGAGAAGGGAAAAAAGAAAAGAAAAAACCTAATCTCAAAGATTGTTTAATTAGATCCAAGAATTATTTGGACATATCTCTGTCCTTTGGACCGAATCGATTTGTATGAGCCCCGAGTTATGTTCAACTAATCTTCTTGCACATTGGTAAAAGATTTGATTGACATCATCAAGATTAATAAATAATTTAAACATTTGGAAATTTAAACATCGCCTTTCCAAGATTTAACAAAGAGCCGGTACATACAAGTCGATCACAATTTAAACTCATTTTCAAGGGATGAAGTTGGTGGCGAATGCCCATGCGTTGTTGTTGACTGGATCAGCCAAATGGTCGGCAAGGTTCTCCAGAGGTCCCTTTCCGGCGACGATGGCCTGAACGAAGAATCCGAACATAGAGAACATAGCCAACCTTTCCGTTCATGAGCTCCTTCACCTTCAACTCCGCGAAAGCATTTGGATCGGTAGCGAGGCCCAATAGGTCGAAGCTGCCGCCTGGATAAAGCAAGTCCTTTGCTTCTCCCAACGGGACGGTTCCGGCGACTCTGTAACCTTCAACAGCTCCCATGAGGATCACTTGAGTGGCCCAAATGGCTAAGACGCTCTGAGCATGGACCAAGCTCGGGTTGCCCAAGTAGTCGAGCCCTCCCTCGCTGAAGATTTATGATCCGGCCTTGAACCAGACCCCCTCTCCGAACTTCACACCGTTCCGAGCCAAGAGCTCAGGGAAGACGCAGCCAAGGGCTCCAAGCATGGCCCATCTGGAGTGGATAACTTCTAGCTCACGGTTCCTGGCAAAGGTTTTGGGATCAGCGGATAGACCGGCGGTTTCCCATCCGTAGTCACCGGGAACTCTCCATTAAGGTAGCTTGGTGGCTCACCGGAGAATGGACCCAAGTACTTGACCCTGTCAGATCCGTACATGGGCTGCCGGATGGGCCGGTGGGTTTGGCGGTTTTGCGCATGGTGACTCTACCGGTTCCAAAGACTTCGGAGGCTGCCGGAGACAGCTTCACGGCCTTTCCGGCCAATGCAGGAGAAGAGAGAGCCATTGCTGTTAGAGTTTGTTGCAAGTAAAAGGTTTTAGTTGTTGTAAGATGAGGTTTGTGGGTTTTTATAATGTAATAACAAATTGTAAAGATTTAGATTTATCTCTATTATCTCGGGATATCAGTGTTTTGGGTTCTATTGGTTGCTGACATTTTCTCGAGCTTAGATTTTTTTGTCTGGCCGAGTTGGGTCCCCCATTTAGAGTTAGGATTGAGTAGTGTGTAGATAATTTGATAGTATCTTCATCTTGTAGCGTCTCAGCATATTGGAACACCCATTGATTACGTGCCACGTGTAATTCTGACGTATATCTATCCGTTTGAAACATATCATCAACCTCAGGCTAATTCAAACAAAATATCAGTTTATCATATAGTATGTGTGTCAATTTACTCTAAGTACCAAGTGCACAAATCACAAGTGTCATCATTGCAGCTAAAGAAAATCTCGCAAAAGCTGGTGGATTAGAGAGTGACACATAGGACAAGAAGATGACAAATCCAAAATCTCATTAGCCAATCAGAAAACAGATACAGATACTTCACAAATAACAAACCTTACCCTGAAGATTTCTATTAAACGGATCTTATACCCCAACCATTTCAATCACTCTCACCAGTCACATAAAAAAGAAAAGAAAGAAGAAAAATTCCAATGGCTGCTTCAACCATGGCTCTGTCCTCCCCTGCCTTCGCCGGAAAGACCGTGAAGCTTTCACCAGCAGCATCCGAAGTCTTCGGAACAGGTCGTGTCACCATGCGCAAAACCGCCAAACCCACCGGTCCATCAGGCAGCCCATGGTACGGATCCGACAGAGTGAAGTACTTGGGTCCATTCTCTGGCGAGCCCCCGAGCTACCTCACCGGAGAGTTCCCCGGCGACTATGGATGGGACACCGCCGGTCTATCCGCCGACCCAGAGACCTTCGCCAGGAACCGTGAGCTAGAAGTTATCCACTCCAGATGGGCCATGCTTGGAGCCCTTGGCTGCGTTTTCCCTGAGCTATTGGCCAGGAACGGCGTGAAGTTCGGAGAGGCGGTCTGGTTCAAGGCCGGTTCACAGATCTTTAGCGAGGGAGGGCTCGACTACTTGGGCAACCCGAGCTTGGTCCATGCTCAGAGCATCTTAGCCATTTGGGCCACTCAAGTGATCCTCATGGGAGCTGTTGAAGGTTACAGAGTCGCCGGAAACGGCCCGTTGGGAGAAGCAGAGGACTTGCTTTACCCAGGTGGCAGCTTCGACCCATTGGGCCTCGCTACCGACCCAGAGGCTTTCGCTGAGTTGAAGGTGAAGGAACTGAAGAACGGAAGGTTGGCTATGTTCTCTATGTTCGGATTCTTCGTTCAGGCCATCGTCACCGGAAAAGGACCGTTGGAGAATCTCGCTGACCATTTAGCTGATCCAGTCAACAACAACGCATGGGCATTCGCCACCAACTTCGTCCCTGGAAAGTGATCGATTTAAAGCTTATTATGTGAGTGAGAGTAGAGAAAGAAAGTTTGTTTGTTAGGTCTCCTATGTAAATTATGAAATTTCCTTTGTGTTATCTTTGTATAAATTCAGAATCGAACTTTTTTCTTTTCTCAAAACTGTGTTCGCGTTTTACCTGAAGACTCAAATCGAATTGAATTTATCTTTTCTTATAAAAAAATTCACGCAATTGCAGATGACATAGCGTGTGTTCTGTATTTGGACAATATACCAGTACGGACGAACAAAAAGGCAAATGAAACTATATATATTAGAAACTTACGGCAAAATTACAACAGAGAAGAAAGAAAACAAACAAAAGTAGTCCTAAGATGATGCCGTCCAAACGCCACAAGATGCTTTTCTGAAACTTCTCTGGTTCTAATTAGACAAAGATGCTTCATTTGGTAAAGCTTCAAAAATTACTCATCTTTGAAATCAAATCTTTATTGTCGATATAAGACGTGTGTTGTAACTATTTAGCAAGTTTGACAAAGAAACCTCTGTGAGATTCATGTTTTCCACAGTGTATGGTCTTCGCTCCTGTTAAAAGATGGTTCTGGCATGTTAATCAAGAGTTTGTATCTCTTTCTAAGCGAGCATTCGAATCATCATCAATGGACCAGGAGGAGTAAAAGAGCTTACACTGGTTAGTGTGGGATCTGGAGAAGAATGAGAGCGGTTAAATATAAACAGAAGGAGATGGCAGCTCCAGCGAGGACATTGTGGAGCAGCCTCTTGTCGTCTTTTGTGGGTATGAAAACAGACTTTAACGTATTGGTAAGCTCGAAAAGCCGATGAGACACCTGAATTCAAGAGAACAACAAATTACCAATTTATATATAACGTATAGTGGAGATAAAGGGCTTTCGTTTTAATAGATTCTGGTACTATTGCTCTACCAAGACATAGATGGCCGTGGTGAGCATGAAGTTGAGCATTGGGTATTCTGGAATGAAGGATAATAGCCACTTAGGCTGTCCATTAGGCACATCCGATCTGCAACACACGCAATTTTTAGTTATAATCTCATTCGTGTATCCTAGAGACAAGTGGTTTCTTGCCTACTTATTTGGGAGAAAGGTAACAGATTCTTGCTGACCTTAACCAGATGTGAAACTGAGAAATATACGTCTCCAGAGTAATCTTGCCGAGCCACCTAGGAAGATCATGACAGTTGTGTCTTATTAGAGATGTGTTCAGAATAAAACTTCTAAGCTTGGTTGATATGGACTAAAGATTAAGAAACATACGCAAATAGTGTCAGGGAGAAATTTCGCAGCTGTTGTGTGGAATTTCGCAGACAGATGTAGACACTGAGACAATAGAATCAAAGCTACAGTCAGAATCCAGAAAGGAAGATTATCTCAAGAATTGGCGTCGTTGTTGAAAGAAAAGAGATTCGATACTAACGTTATTGGAATCCATGATGTGTAGGGATGATATTTGTTGTATGTAACCTTGTCAAGCTTGTAGATGTATTCATACCATAGGTAACCAACCTGAAGAACATAAGAAACAGATCCTGGTCATCAGCATAAATATCAAAATGCATAAGATCCATATGCCAGAGAGAAGCCAAACTTACGAATGAGGAAATTGCAATTATGCTTGTCTTGATTGAATTTTTTCTCTTGGCATCACACTCCTCTAGTTTCTCCATCCATCTCTCCACCTGAGATCAAAACGTCGAAAAAGATTTTAACGGTGGTTGTCATGAGAAGAGAAGATATAAAAAAAACGGGAGCACCATAGGTTCAAGAGTTACAGTGGGATGGAAATAGGCATATATCATTCCAATAATCCATATGTAGCGGTCAAGTCCTGATCTGAAGTGCCATTCGTGTAGAAGCGGTAGATCTGGTTTAGCTGGATCAGTGTATCCTGCAGTTGTTACAGAAACTAAATGTTAGTCAACCTACATAAGCACAGATCCTAATGACCAAGTAGCATCCATACATTGCCGTCAAATATGTTTTAGCACGGACAAATATGCAGTCAACCATCCCGAAATCAGTATAATATATGAGAAAAGTCCGATACTCACCCAGTAAAAATGTTAGAGGGCTCCAAAATATCTCAAAAACTCCAGGAATCTCCCACATCACAATAACCACAAGAAAGCATGAAGCAATCTTCACAGCCATTACTGATGGTATTTCGTTATACCGACTGAAGATACCAAGGGCTCCATACACCATTAGAGTGAACAAGGTGTGCATTGGACAGATGTAGTATAACATATAATCGTTGTTGAGAATAATGCAGCTAAACGCCACAAATAAGTTAAGACGCCACATCATCTGGAATAAGTGAAAGTTTTCATGAGCATCTTGTGTCAATTAGTGAAACATAGCTTTACAGAAGCATATATCATGGTAAACTAATTCAGTGTGCCAATTGAAACTGTCGATATGACCTGAGTGAATCGTGCTAGAGAGAAATCCTTTCTGATGTAGTAATAAGAGAAGTTCCCAAAACCAGTCATCCAGACGTAGGCAGCGATGAAGACCCTAATTGCATTATATATCTCAGCCGCAGCAAAGTAATGGTACATCAGAAATAGAACCTGCAAAGACACAAAAGCATCCGCAAATTAGCATGAAAAACGGTTGAACAAAAAAAAAAAACATCTGACGGTGATATAGAGAAGCTCAAATATAATCTGCGAAGTAGAAGTGAAAAAACAAATGAAATTTTAATGGACACGTACTGAGAAAAGACTGTAACGGTTACCTGCATCCATCCCTTCCACTCTTCAGTCTGGTGACGATTAAGATAGAGGATAGACTTCCCTGTTACTGGTGATTTGTCATTGTGTTTCTTCAGGGACGTCATGGCTGACACTATGATGAGAAGACAGTAGAGAAAGAGGAAAAGGTCTCGGTTGTAATTCTGCAAATATAAACCAAATAAAAAGGAAATATCATTATTTGCAAAAGCCTACCTCAAAAAGATTTAAAGACGTAATGTGAACTATATTACAGTTATATCGCACATAAATTGTTTTAGATCTTTGATGACCGATTGAAAAATGGGAAAGGGACATAGGTCAAAGAAATTTAAAGGAGGCACCTTTTTAGACTCTGCAATCAAGCTTGTTCGATCGCAAATATAAAAGTAGAAAAGAATCGCCCCAAACTCAGCCCTGACAAGAAGTAATATGGTCATCACTCATGAGAGACTAAGAGAGAACGATGATCAGCATGAATACATTTAACTAAGGAACTTACATTGCTCTCAAGGTTGCTCGATTATCAATCAAGAAAGAGTCATCCAGCGTCAGAAACCTACAAAGCAAACGTAAATGGTTTTAAAAAACGAATTTTGTTGAGAGAAGAACACTCTACTCTAAGCAACTCAAAAAGAAGAAATCGCTATAAATAGATACCTAATCAAATTCGTCTTGACAGGCGAGTTATAGAATTTTGAAGAGATCGATCTTGGAAGACCTCCTTCCAGTAAAACTGCTACTTCCTCTTCCTTGTTCTTCACCTCACCCAGTTCAACCAAATTATTATCTGAATGACTGCAAGTAAGACGCCAAGATATTGGAAACCAGGATAAGAAAGTGAAACAAAGCAGATACACCTTACTGTCAAGTTAGATACAGAACAAGAGAGAGCCGTATAAATAAGTACACCCATTTAAACTATATTGCCAATACATACACTTTAGAGTGCAAAGAAGACCTCTTATACTCTAGAAACTCTGAGTATATCCATGCTATGAAGACAGGGATGACTCCGAGCAGAAACGAAACCTGCATTAAAGAATAAGAAGATGTCAAGAGAGATTCGATACATAAATTACGATTTCCTCATCCAAACCAGATCTCTAGTATGCATCATTTTAAGATTCAAGATCGACGCTAAATCTTCGAAACTGAATAAAAAAAGTATGTTGCTTCGAGTTGGAGAGAAAAAATAGACAGAACGAACTTGAAAGCTACTACCATTTGAAGACATTAGAATCCTCGAGACAGCAAAACTTAATCTCTCAGGCAAACTGATCCAAATTGTAAAATTCAATCACTCCACACCCTAACGATGCCTAATTCCAAATCTATGAATCCGTGGGAGAAGTTCGCATAAATAATGAAATTAAGAAGCACCAAAGCTGAGCGATACCGTACCTGGCCAGGCGTAATTGGCTCAGAATCCGCCATTTCGGTGGATCCACGAAGAGATCTTCAGAGATTACAAAATCAGACACTCGAAACCAAAAAGACGGGAAGAGACGCCGAAAGTGATTTCTACTCCACCGCCGGATCTAAAGTATCGAATTCGACCTCTTAGGATCCGAAACCCTAGGAAGACAGCAGAACATGCAGAGAGAGACGCACAGAAGGTACGAAGAGAGAAGACGATAAGTGGAAGAAGAAGAAGAAGAGATCTGAAGTGAAGAAGCTATTGCTTCAAGGATGGAGAAAATGGCGGGTGCGACGTCGTTCTCGTCAAGCTCACCCGAACGGTTGTTGGTTTGGCGATGGCTCCGTTCCGTTTTTTTTCCTTTAGTAGATTTTTCGAGAATTACATTAAAAGATGTAAATACGAACAAACCGATAATCATAAAATGAAGAGAAAAAAGAGGTTTGTTGACATAGAAAACATATTATTATGAGTAGAAAAATTAGCCACATCACGAATCTAAAAGGTGAACAATTTGTATACAACTAATCATTTTCGTTTCTCCTAAACCAACACTTAATTATGGTCTTGTCTTGTTTACCTATTAGAATTGTTATAACTCGAACACAAAAAAACTTTGTAAAATTATTGATGAGAGTACTTATGACAACAACCACCCATTCGTCCCCATGTTTATCCGTTCGTGTTCTCTTCAGGACTTCAGGGTTATTCTTCGTCCCCAGATAATCAAACTTCCCCTGAAGAGTCATCATACCTTTCCCTCTTCATCTCCTCTACCAACAAACCCAACATCGAACCGGAATCTTCACTGCCACACTGCAAATAAAACTCCATTAGCTCACCGTTGATCTCAATCCAGCTACATCCCGGCGTCTTCACCACGCCTCTCTCTCTCATCAACGCCCTCATCTTCGCACATTCATCCCACATCTTCATATCAGCAAAAACCTTGGAAGAGATAACGTAATTCCCTGCGTTCTTCGCTTCTTCCATCTCCATCAACATCCTCATCGCTTTCTCTCCGATCACCACATCTTTTCTCTTCTGACACGCTCCAAGAATCGCTCCTAACATGACCTCGTCTGGCTTACCAGGAAACCTCTCCATGAACTCCCAAGCCTCGTTTAACTGCCCCGCACGAGACAGGAGATCGATCATGTTTGTGTAATGCTCGATTTTCGGGACCAACCCGAATGAAGAACTCATCTCACGGAAATATCTACGGCCCTGATCGACCAAACCCGCGTGCACACAGGCAGAGAGCACTCCTACGAATGTAACATCACTTGGAGGAACTGACATTCGATCAAACAGCATCAGAGCTTCCTCGGCGTGTCCATGATGCGCATATGCGGATATCATTGCGTTCCAAGTGGCTTCGTTTTTCACCGGCATGGCTTCGAATACTCTAAAAGCTTCCTCTATGCTTCCGCACTTTCCGTACATGTCGACTAGTCCTGTGGCCACGTAGATGTTATGTTGCAGTCCTGTTTCTGAAGCGTATGTCTCGATCCGTTTGCCTAACTCAAGAGCTCCAACTGAACCACAAGCAGACAGTACCGTAGAAAACGTGACCGAGTCTGGGGAAACTCTGTTTTCTTCCATTTCAAGAAACAGCTTAATAGCTTCGCTCGACCTCCCATTTTGCGAGTATCTGAGATGGAATCAGTAAGAACAACCGAAACAGTCAAAATCCAATTTCATCAACGGTTTCAAAAAATCCAGACTTTAATACCAATGAACTTTCCACTTTCCAACATCATACTTACACAGTGATCATAGCATTCCAAGGAACACGATCCTTCGTAACCATTTGATTGAAAACCCTTCTGGCCGAATCCAATTCGCCGCATTTTCCATACATACTGATCAACTTAGGCCCGAGGAACGTGCTTAACCCTATCTTCTTCGTGATGGCTATCTCCTCCAGCAACCTACCAGTTCTCAGATCCCCTAAGTGTGAACAAGCACCCAACACACTCACCAACGTCCTCTCTTCCGGCTCAACTCCTTCCTCCTCCATTTTCCTAAAAAAATCCACCGCGTCTTTTGCGTGACCCGCCAGAGAATACCCAGAGATCATCGAGTTCCACGACACCATATCTTTCTCAGTAATTTCGTCGAACACTTTCCGTGCATACTCGACCTGACCACACTTCGCATACATAGTTATCAAGGAATGATTCACATGGTCGTCTCTTTCCAGCCCGACTTTGAACAACGACGAGTGAACAGATCTACCGACACCCAGATCCGGGAGATTCCCGCACGCGATGACAACAAAGTTGTATGTGAAATTGTCAGGCTTTAACCCAGAAAACTTCATCCGGCGATACAGCGACAGAGCCGCCCCGTGGTCGTGCCACGTGTCGGTCAACCCTCGGATCATGAAATTGTAGGAGTGGTGGTTTGGTTCTTCCGTCGCGGAGAAGAGTAAAGAGGCATAACTGAAGTCTCCAAGATCGACGGCCTTGGGAACCAGAAAGTTGGGTTTGTCGACGGAGTTCAGCAACATCTGGGCCTGAATCTCTCGCAATTGGTTCACGGTGACGCATTTTCGCAGCCGGCAAAGAAAGTCTCTGACAAGATCGCGTCGTGCTTCCTCAAGTTGTCCGGGTTTGAGTGAAGGAAATTGGCGGCAAATGGAGAACGCTAGTTTCTCTGGTTTGAGCATTTGCAAGCTCACAAGAGCCACGTGTGAAAATTGAGTTGATAAGCTTATATGATGGGCCAATTATATAAAAACCGTTTTGTAAACTAATTTAATTTTCCTAACCTAACAAAATAAAAAACCATTTTATATACAACTAATCATTTTCGTTTCTCCTAAACCAACATTTTAAAATCATTAATTCAAGAACACTAATTTTAAACAATTTTTTAAAATTTATATTGCAATAATATAAAATTTGTAATATTTATACTTATAAAGCACAAGTCAATTGACAATGGTAAATTTGACATATGTTATTTTTAATTAATTATAGTTTTTTCAATATTCATCTAGAAAAACCACCTACTACTCTACAATCTCTGCAATTTCAAAATAAAAATCACCATATTCCTTCTATCAGATGATAAATGGTAAAAAGAAAAAGAAAACAACCCAATTCATTTTATTGTTCTTCTTCTTGCTGTAGAAAATACAAAAGGTTCTTGCAATTTTTCTTTTTCAAACCAATAAATTAGCCTACTAAACTCTTCAATAAAATGACAATTAGTTATTTTCCTAAAATTGGATAAAGCACAGAAATAGTGGCGTAAACGATCAGAACCTTTCAAATGCTCGACCAAATGGTAATAAATTCACATAAACTTTATAATTCAAACAAAAATAATTTCTCAATAAAGTAAATATTTCACACATTTGATTAATTTTTAAAATTATGTTTTCCCAATACAAAGTACGGGACAAATACTAGTTTAATATAAATTACTCTAAATTCTATTTTGAAATACACCCTCTTATTTTGAAACCAAATATTGGTTTCATGTATTTCCTAAACTAACAAAATTAGAAACAAACAAGAAAACCAGGAAACCTAACCGAAACCAAAACTGGATTTGACTTTCATAACATAAATTATAATATCCGTTTGGTGTCGACCTGTGTCTTTTGCTACCCAAAACCATCTGCAGTTCAGCAGTATTCTGCTTTTATTTATTAAAAAACGTGCACATCAAATAATAAACCATTTTTTTGCTTTAGCAAGTTGATAGAAAGCAAAATTTGACTTTCTGCTCACTTGATTATTTTTCTTTCTTTTTTTTTGTTTTGGTGAAGAAACTATAAAAGGCAGAACTTAATTACAATCTCTCAAACACAAAACTTCAAAACATAAATCAAAGCTTATATATTTCTCAGATTGAGCAAACAAAATACAAAAAAATCAAATGGATGACATATCAGTGAGCAAAAGCAACTATGGAAATGTTGTTGTCCTCAACATCAAAGCTCCGCCTGTTGCAGACACTTCTCTTCCTTCTTTTCCTCCCACATCTCCGCCATTGTTCTCTGTGCACTTCTTTCAAAAGGTGAGTTTCTTACAGTCCCGTGGGGGAAAAAAACGTCTTAAATCACTCTTCATAGCTTCTCTCTGTCTTCATATTTAAGTACTTGTGTAACTGTGTTAGCTGATACTGACGATGATCATTTAATCTGCAGCTTATAGCGGAACTCGTGGGAACATATTACTTGATATTTGCCGGTTGTGCAGCTATTGCCGTGAACGCTCAACACCACAATGCAGTGACTCTTGTGGGCATCGCAATGGTTTGGGGTATAGTGATAATGGTTCTTGTTTACACTCTAGGTCACACCTCTGCACATTTCAATCCCGCTGTCACAATCGCTTTAGCGTCGACCCAGAGATTCCCTCTGAATCAAGTCCCCGCCTACATAGCTGTTCAAGTCATCGGATCAACCTTGGCTTCTGCGACTCTGCGTCTTCTGTTTGACCTAAACAACGACGTGTGCAGCAAGAAACACGATGTCTTCCTCGGGTCATCTCCTTCTGGAACTGATCTTCAAGCATTCGTGATGGAGTTCATCATCACCGGCTTCCTCATGTTAGTCGTATGCGCCGTCACAACCGCCAAGAGAACAGTAAGCGATCAACGACTTAAAACACCATATACAGACATTACTTCTTGATCAGAATATTTAATCTTAACATTGATAAATCTTGCAGACTGATGAACTAGAGGGGTTAATCATTGGCGCAACTGTCACGTTGAATGTTATCTTTGCAGGGTAATTTTCGTTTATCCCTACTCAATCTCCCTAAGCTTAAATTCTTCAATGGGTAAAATGAATCTTTTTTGGCTAATTAATGGGAAAAATTCCAAATATTAATTTAACAGAGAGGTATCAGGAGCATCGATGAATCCAGCAAGAAGCATAGGGCCTGCACTTGTGTGGGGATGTTACAAAGGGATCTGGATTTACTTGCTGGCTCCAACACTTGGAGCTGTCTCTGCGGCTCTGATTTATAAACTGTTACCGTCTACACAGAAAGCAGACGCTGACTTCTCCAAGACAGGATCGTCTCATAAACGAGTTACTGATCTTCCAGTGTGATGATGCAGATAAAACTTTTTAAGTCCATTTCTCGTTATTGTATCTTCAAATTTGTTCAGTCACCTCATTGTAACTAATCACTAAATGGTTGTGTAGTCAAGCATATATGTTCGAGAAATGTATATATAAACTTTATAAAACACCGGTTTAATTTTTCTCTCCTACTAATAAGTAGTATTAAGAAGAAGTTACAACGTACAAAAACAAAGATGCCTGCAAATAAAAAAAAACAAACCTTAAGTCAGTAATTAATAACTTTTATATCTCTTTGTCTCTGGCTCCTCTGGTGGTGGAGGAGGATTCATCGCAGGCATAGGTGGCGGTTGCATATCATCTTCATCATCTTCATTTAACCCATAAAACTTCATCCGGCGATACAGAGACAGAGACGCTCCGTGGTCGTGCCACGTGTCGGTCAACCCTCGGATTATGAAATTGTAGGAGTGGTGGTTTGGTTCTTCCGTCGCGGAGAAGAGTAAAGAGGCATAACTGAAGTCCTCAAGATTGACGCTTGGGAATCAGAAAATTGGGTTTGACGACGGAGTTCAGCAACATCTGGGTCTGAATCTCTCGCAACTGGTTCACGGAGACGCATTTTCGCAGCCGGCAAAGAAAGTCTCTGACAAGATCGCGTCGTGCTTCCTCAAGTTGTCCGGGTTTGAGTAAAGGAAATTGGCGGCGAATGGAGAACGCTAGTTTCTCTGGTTTGAGCATTTGCAAGCTCACAAGGGCCACGTGTGACAAGTGATTTGCAATTATTTGGTTTTAATTGTTTTAAACTAATTTGACCCCAAAAAAAAAATTATTTTAAACAAATTGTTATTCAATTCAACTGTATGATTCAATTCGGATATTTATGTCAGTTCAAACTTCCATTTCGATTCGGTACTTCAATTATTTGGTAAACTAATCGTATCCATTTATTTAATTATTTGTAATCATATCTTATAATTTTTAAAAAAACTTTTTTTAAATACAATAACTTTTAGTATAATTTTTTTTTTTTTTAAATAGTTAACGTCTAGACCTCGCCTATGCCTCTATTAATCTACCTAGACTCTAGTCCTCTATTGAATGTCTAGTTAACGCCTAACGGTTTTTTGAACATTAACTAATTGTATTCAAATATTTGTAAACTAATTATTTTCTTTTGATTAACTTTTGAGTAACATGCACAATATATATTTAATATCAATTTGGTTTCTTGTATTTTCTGAACTAACCAAATTAGAAACACACAAGAAAACCTAACCGAAACCAAAACTGGATTTAATTTTCTTAACATAAATTACAATATCTGTTTGGTGTCCACTGATTTTTTTTATCTCCAAAAAATTAAACTTAAACATATTTAATAGTTCTAAACCTGAAGTACTAAATCCAAACTGAATCAAGAATTTCATAGATTCAATTTTTTTTTCAACAATAGATTCAATTATATATTTAATTTTTTTAAATAATTGAAATATTTAAAATTATAATTATAAATCATATATATTAGTTATATTTAGAACAAAATAATTAAATAATTAAAATATATAAAAATCTTAAGTTATATTGATCGGAATTAACTATTATTTTCAGAAATTTAATTAAATCTCTAAATATAATTTGGGTACTTGAACCCAAATCTAGATGGAACCGAACCAAATTCAAACCGAAAAAAACATCCGAATGAATTATAACCCTCTATGTCTGAAAATCCAATATTTTTTTTAAAAACGACCAGACCGAGTCTGCGTACCCGAATGAGATAATAAATCATGTGCAGTTCATCTGTATTTAGCTTTTATTTATTAAATAACGTGCACATGGTCAAATCCCATAAAATCATGGTTTGTCAGAAAAAATACTAAAAACCATGCATGATTCTGCTATAGGCTATAGCAAGTTGATTGCAATCAAAATTTGACTTTCTGTTCACTTAATTATCGTTCAGTTTCTTTTCTTTGTCTATAAAAGGCAGAATCTCATTACATTCTCTCAAACAAACAAAACTTCAAATCATCAATCGAAGCTTCTATATGTTTCTCTGATTGAGCAAACAAAAAAACAACGAAAAATCAAATGGATGACATATCAGTGAGCAAAAGCAACCATGGAAATGTTGTTGCACTCAACATCCAAGCTCCTTCTGTTGCAGACCCTTCTCTCCCTCCCAAATCTCCGTCATTGTTCTCTGTCCATTTCTTGCAAAAGGTGAGTTTTTTACAGTCCCTTGAGGAAGAAAAAAAAACGTCTTAATTCACTCTTCAAAGCTTCTTTTCTTCTCCATACATTTTTAAAGTACTTGTGTTAGATGATACTGACGATGATCATTTAATATGCAGCTTATAGCGGAACTCGTGGGAACTTATTACTTGGTATTTGCCGGTTGTGCCGCTATTGCCGTAAACGCTCAACACCACAATGCAGTGACTCTTGTGGGCATCGCAGTGGTTTGGGGTATAGTGATAATGGTTCTTGTTTACACTCTAGGCCACACCTCTGCACATTTCAATCCGGCTGTTACTATCGCTTTAGCATCGACCCGGAGATTCCCTCTGAATCAAGTCCCCGCCTACATAGCTGTTCAAGTCCTCGGATCAACCTTGGCTTCTGCGACTCTGCGTCTTCTGTTTGACCTAAACAACGACGTGTGCAGCAAGAAACACGATGTCTTCCTCGGGTCATCTCCTTCTGGAACTGATCTTCAAGCATTCGTGATGGAGTTCATCATCACCGGCTTCCTCATGTTAGTCGTATGTGCCGTCACAACCGCCAAGAGAACAGTAAGCGATCAACGACCAAAAAACACCATATACACATTTTCTTGATCATATTTTTTAATCTTAACATTGATGAATCTTGCAGACTGAGGAACTAGAGGGGTTAATCATAGGCGCAACTATCACACTGAATGTTATCTTTGCCGGGTAATTTTCGTATTTTCCATCCTCAGTCTCTGCAAGCTTAATTTCTTCAATGGAATAATGAACTTATTTGGCTAATCAATCGAAAAAATCAAAATTCATTTAACAGAGAAGTGTCAGGAGCATCGATGAATCCAGCAAGAAGCATAGGGCCTGCACTTGTGTGGGGATGTTACAAAGGTATCTGGATTTACTTGCTGGCTCCAACACTTGGAGCTGTCTCTGCGGCCTTGGTTTATAAACTGGTACCGTCTACACAGAAAGTAGACCCTGACTTCTCCAAGACAGGATCTTGTCGTAAACAAGTTGCTGATCTTCCATTGTGATGATCTTGATAAAACCTTTTAAGTCTAATTCTCGTAATTGTATCTTCAAATTTGTTCACTTATCTTCATTGTAACTTATAATTATCAACACAAACATGGTTGTATAAACCACCTGTTTATATCTTCTCCTCCACTAAGTAGTATTAAGAAGAAAACTTATAACGTACAAAAACAAAACAAGATGCCTTGCAAGTCGTTTCCTGCAAATCAAAAATAAACTTAAATCAGTAATAATCATTCTTGTTCAACTAAAACTCCATAGAAATGAGAAAGAGTAGTACATATAGTTTTGGCCCCAAATAAAAAACCATCTAATAACAAAGAATTAAGAGATTAAAAAGTATTTCCCTGCATCCACTAGCGTCTCTATCTTTTCCTCCCACCACGTTCTCTCAGAGACAGTGTTATGATTTCTCCTGCTCCCACATTGTAATGTGCGAGTGACATGTTATCCTTCAAGAACCCTGCTTTCCCACTTAACTTCTGTTTGTTTGCTGGAATTTGTGTCTCCCTGGATATCTTCTCCTTCAAGCTTCCCACGTTTTCGGATAAAGACTGCACTGTGATCTCAATGAGTTTCCCATCATCCCCGTTTGGAACAGAGACCCTGATCGTAGCAGAACCCTGAAAATTTATAAAAACAGGTGAGATACAACTCAGGCAAAAGATTTTTAAAAGATAAGAAAATGTATCGAGGGTCTGAAGAAAACATTACCCGATACTGAGCAAGAAACTGGTCTTCTGGAACAACGCCTGACTCGTTGAACTTTTGTCTCTTTGGCTCTGGCTCCTCAGGAAGAGGAGGTGGTGCCTCCTCTGGTGATGGAGGAGGATTCATCGCAGGCATAGGTGGTGGTTGCATCATGTGAACAAACTGAGATCCCGGTGGAGGCGACACAGGCATACCAGGCTGCATTTGTGGTGGTCGGTTCACCATCATCGACGGGTGCCCAGGTGGTCCGGGTATGAAGAACTGGTGTTGTTGATGCATAGGTTGCATCATTGGAACACCTAATGGCCTCGGTGCACAGGGGTACTGAACAGAAAGAGGAAGTGGTGGTGGCAATGGTCGGACTGTTGGGACACATGGTACAGGAGGAGGACAAGCGGCTGGACCAGGGAAGCTATTGGGACCTTCTACTCCATTAGAGTTCTGAGTCAAAGCTTGGTTTGCTGTGAGGCCGATACTTCTTGTGTAACCATCCCATATAACTTGCTTTGTCTGCTCATCTTTCTTCTTCTTCTCCATCTCTGCCTTGACAGCGTTTGAGACTTCTTCTTCGGTAGTCCCAAAGATATCAGGACGCAGACGAGCGAGCCCGACAATGTTCTTAGCAATCTCATCATCATGTGCAAGAGTGGCCTCACGAATCTTAGCAAACATACGATCCTTCTGCTCTTTGAACTTAGGATCAATAAGCGAAATCCTCATGTGCTCAGACATCTCGCTAACGGGAATCAGCTCGCCGGTAATTGGTGAAACAACAACAGCTTCAGTCACATGTCTCTCTGTTTGGATCCTATCTTCTGGCCTCTTCCAGTTCTTAACAATTCTCATACGTGTCTCTTCCAGGTTCGCTGCTCTCATTCCTTCTTCAACGAGCTTGAGTTCTTCTTCGTCCATCTCCATTTCAACTTCCTTTCCAGCCTCAACAACTTCATCTTCTTCCATCGCCGATACTTTGCTCACCCTTCTAACCTCCTCAAGTGTCCTAGGCTGAGGCAGCGCTTCGTCCTCCTCGTCAGCAAAATCTATGGATGTAACAACACCAAAGTCATGCCAGTCAATCATAGCCATCTGCACTCTCTCCAGCTCCATATCTTCCTCCTCTTTCTTTCTCTGCTTCTCCTGAGAACGATCCCATTCAAGACGATTCAAACAACGCTCAAGAACGGTCGTGGAATCAGCAACAGCCTCTCTCAGCTCTTCTTTCAAATCTTTAGGAGGTATCAACACATCGCGATACGCCTTAACCAGAGAATTGAAAAAACCGAACATGCTATGAGTTTGCTTCAGAAACTGAAACTGAGGACTGTTACTCTCTCTACTATACAACCCATCCAAGAACGATCTCCCGTTCCTCGCCGCGAACTGAGCCGTGAGCATAACAATTTCAAGCTCCTCTCCAGTAATCCCTTCAGGAAGTCTGACTGTATACTTCTCAGGCTCTGGAGTCGACAGAGGTTTTAGAGGCTCAGGAGGAACCCTAAATTGAGCTTGATGATCGGGGGCTTGCTTCACCCTCGTCATCAGGTTTGGGATCATTAGACTGAACTCCAAGCTTATTCCGGTACTCAGAGAGCTTGTGCTGGTAAAAGGCATGATAAGGGTCGGAGATGTTCAGAAAGTTGAACTGAGGCTTCTCGGCGTTTTTAGCTTTGATCGTCTTTTCAAATGCCAAACCTTTCTCGGAAACATGCTTGGCCGTTATCTCGAGAACAGCTCTGATATCTGGAGGCGGGTGAATGATTCCGATAGTCCTCGTGTGAGTCGCGACAGACGCGGGAGCTTGATTTGGAGTGTTTTGCTCTGCTTGCTCTTCGATTTCCTGGTCCGTTAGCTGCCAAGGAGGAAGTGGACCGAGATTCCCGTCGGAAGGAGGAGCCTCCAGTGGAAGTATCTTCGTCGAACCGCACATAATTCTGCAACCAGAAAAAAAAAAAAATTATTAATATCAAATTTTCAGAATTATATTTTTGACCTAATTCATTGGTTTAATTCGGGAAAAGAACCATGAAAAAGTTCCATTGGTCAAGGAAGAAATCCTGCAAATTAAGATGCGAGATAAATAAATCAATAAGGGGAAAAAGAATCGGCGCTTAAGGTTTTTGCGACAGATCAAAGAAACACCGTACCTCAGCCGGTAAAGAACAGCCCCGCCGTAGGTTTTCGCGGAACTTTAGCCTTAGGAATTATGAACGAGCGTCGTATTGGGCAAACAATATATATTCAGAGGTTTGGTAATGGGCCTTTTGTATTGGGCTTATAATGTCGGTCGATGGTACTTGTCAGACCGGCTTAAGGGTCTTAATAGTTTGCCTTCGATGACTAACAGCACCCAAATGATTTGTTTTAAATTTTACACATTTTTTTACATATTATGGTTGTATGTATATGTTTATTTACTACTAGATTATGTATATGTTTATTTATTTATTTTTAAAATATATAATATTCCTTCCGTTTCAAAATAAGTGTCGTTTTAGAGTTTTATTTTTGTTTAACAAAAAGTGTCGTTTTATATTTTCAATGCAATTTTTTAAACAAAAATTTTGTTTTAACTTTGTTATATTAATGTATTAATTAAAAAGAGAATGTTATTTTATATATGAAATTTTTAATATTTTTTTTAATATGTGTGAAAAATGTCAAAATAACACTTCTTATTTTGAACCAGAGTGAGTAATGATTTTCAACAATCGGATAATGTGACTTCGAAAAGTATTCTGTTGAGAGAACGAGAGTTACATAGAAAACTGATTCAAGAGCATAACATAAAAGTCTATACGGACAATGCGACTTTGATTAAAAAAGGCAAGATATTACAATTTGACGTTCTGGACCACTTGAAAAGAAAATAAAGTTACAGTAAATGTATGTATCGTTACAACAAGTCAACACTCAACAACCACTGATTCATTAACTACTTCACGCCTTACCGTCTAGATTTTGAGTTAATTGTTGACGGAAGAAGTTCCATCTCTTTGCTGTGTTCTCTGACCTGTTCTTGGGATGATCAGAGATCTGAAGAAAACCAAGACGACAAGCAGTTCCGTAATAAACAAACTCATGCTGATCCAAACGAACAAAGTTCTCCTCCAGTTCCATATGATCCTTCTGAAGAAAGGAAGCTCGGATTCAAGCAACAGATACGCATCGTAAATCTCTGGGATACCTGCACCAGGACGAAACTCTGCTCGTTGTTCGATCATTATCTTCAAGCAAGCAGCAGTAGGAGTAATATCCTTCTCGGCAAAGCCTTTGAGCTTCAAGTTCAAGGTTTGGATTTCAGAGACGTAGCCCGTGACAAGCGGACCAATCTTTAGGAAAGTCTGGACAAGACGGATAGGCTCGCTTCTAAATCTTACCATACAAGGCCGCCTTGAAGTAGCAAGGATTTGACCACTCTCGGATAAAAAGTCCACACGAACCTGAAACATCCCGAGCTTTTTATTGTACTCGGACTCAGGCAATGTCATTGAGACACTGATCTCTGTCCTGTGACCTGGACTGTTAACTGTCAAGCCTCTGATACTCGAATCACAGCCAATACCAGCACACGAGCTAATGGGAACATAAGCATCTGGACTATTCTTGGTGTAGTCAAAATTCAAGCTCTCTTTGATCACCACTGGCTCATGAGCCAAAAGGCTCATCACAAAACCACTAATCATGAACGCAGAAACCAACAAAGCGAACAACATGATTCCTACATAAACAGCCCAGAACAAACCCAATGCTAACCTGCGCAGAACCTCCAAGACTGGCTTATCATCTTTTAACCCTAAATCACATAACTCTACAGTTTTCGAAATCAAATAGCGTCTGCCACGCCTCATTGTTCGATAAGGATCGGAAACGAAGTTCAAGCAGCTATGAACTAACCAAGGAGGAAACTTTATAAAGCTAAACATCAGACTCACTTGAAATTCGATTGATCTGATCACTAACACTGTCAAAGACCCAAGGAGAGACCAATCCGTCGAAGTGGCTTCTCCCCGGAGCTGCGGTGCTGGTCCGGCATCATTCACGGTGGTCTCTGTGAAGTTTCCAGAGTTCTTCTCGCCGCTCATGCTATTCGACTCAGTATGAAACGGGTCAACTCGGTGTCGACCCGAATCAGTCACATCCATATTCTTTTCCGTATCCACACACGACTCGGTTGCTTCAAAATCCTTCTCTTTTTCCGGTAATGGGTCGATTGGGTCATTTCCTGAGTCAATTACATGGACATCCGTCTCAACTGTTTCGAACGAAAGCTCGTCAATTTTGTCCACGGTGCTCGGTGCTCCAGAAGATTCCGATGTAGTAGTAGAAGAGGGAGACGGATCAGTATCCATAACGAAACAGCTCGGGTTTCGTCCCGGAGACGAGTTGAGACGGTGTGAATCGTAGTGGGACGAGAAGCAGTCGTAGAAGAATGCGTCTGGTGCGTCTACAAGTCCATCGTCTTCCTCGAAGCTGCTAGAGTTTGATGATGATTCTGATTCCATTGATCAAAACTTTAAAAAAGATTAAAACTTGATGTACAAAAGCTCTAACGATATAGCTTAAAGAGGAGACAACACAGTTTCCCAAAAACAGCTCGATACCGTCGTGAGGATGTCGGCTAATAATCCGACGGAGTTGCCGGTTCAATTGATGGGCTTAATGGGCCCAACCTGATTCTTGAGTTCCTTGTGGGCTCCTTTTTTTTTTTTTTTTGTCTAAAAAATGATTGTCGTTCCTTATCTCTGCAGTCTCTGTTTTGTCTTAGTAAGTGAAGTTCTGAACTTCATGAGGAATCAATGGTTAAGTTCATTCACCGAGACATCAAATGATCAAACGGACGAATTTACTGTTAGATAAAGGACCTTAACGCTAATATATCCCATTTCGGATTTGGCTAGTATTGCACAAAGATGAGCTGAGAAATTCTAGAAATTTTCTTAAAACATAAAAAAATGAACGAAGCTGAGTAAATATCACCATTGTTAGGTTGATGAGATGATAAATGTCACCAGTAATCTTCGCAGGAGCAGACCCCGTTTCCGTAATGGTGGAATCTTTTCGTGTCTCGGCTTACCAGTACTCTCCCGGTTATCAGTGAGAACATCTTACATGTATTGTGGCCATCAATACAGATACGAGAGTTTTTTATAACATATAAGGGAGCACGAGGCTTTGAGCTAAGCATGGCGTGAGCAAAGGCGAGGTTGTTGCTTCTAGAAAGAAGTTGCTGCTCTTTCTCCTCCTCATCCACTTTTTCATTCCATAACCAAGTCTGAGGCACAAATCCCATCTCTAACATATGCACTTTCAGGCTCCTCAATGCAGCCATGATTCTATCACTCTCTGGGTGAGAGGTATCTCCTGCTATAAACTTACCATTACCCTGTCCTCTCTTCCATCGAGGATATCGTCGCATTTCAATCATTTCCTTTAGTTTCTCCTTAGCAGAGTCTGATGCTTTCGCCGCTACAAGACCTGCGTTTGACTCTTTGTTCATCCTTTCGGCATCTAGTTTCTTCACTAGCTCGGCTAACCTATCTCCAAGCTCAAGATCACCATGAACCCAACAGAGATTCATCAGTGTTTCCCACACTTCAACGCTCGGTTCCACGTTCATTCTCCCGACGAACTCCATTGCCTCATCCAAATGACCAGTTGCTGCCAACATCTCCGTTACGCTCACGTAGTCTTCCATGGAAGGGACGATGCCATAGTCTCTGTACATTGCTTCGAAATGAAGTAACCCTTCGTGAATGTCGCCTAGCGAAGCACACACGGAGAAGACCGCTTTGAATATCTCCTTGTCCGGTTTGTTCCCTTCCTCTTTGAAGCGTGTGAACATATCGATCGCTAGCTCACCATCTCTGTTCTTCGCTAAGCAACTCATCATAAGGCACCAAGTCTCTGAATTTCTCTCAGGCATTTCCTCGAACACGTTCAGTGCGTCTTCAACGGATCCACAATCCGAATACATTTCAATTATCTTGTTGCGAGATCTAACATCCGAAGCAGTGATGCATTGATGAACAACCCTAGCTTCTTCCAAAGCCTCTGCTTGGCCGCATAGTTTCGCTAACCCTAGAAGCCTGGGCAAGTCCACAACATAGCCTTTATCCTCCAAGATCTCGACAGCTTCTACTGCCTCTCTTACTTTCCCTTCTTCACTCAGAGCATCAAATGTCTCAATCGTCACAGATTGATCATCATCATCACTAGCCATCTGAGCATGGGAAGAAACTCTTCTGCATTGAAGTAAGCTTCGATTCTGCCGCCACGTGTGTCGTGTTAAGCCGTCGTCTGGAAGAGACGAGGTGGTCATCTTGATGATGAGATCATGAGACTGAGCTCGCGAATTGTAGCAACGGCTTGAGTTCTGCGTCCCCCACCAAAAGTAGGGTTTCGAAAATCTGAGAATTCGGCTGCACGTTATCCTCACCATGAATTACTTTTGTTTTCCGTTCCACACAAGTGGCTGATCTAAAGCCAAATTCAGAAATGTATACTTCTTGCAATGATTCAGAAACCCTTAGAAGAAGATTCCGACGGCGTTTACAAATACAATTGCGAGGAATAAAACCCTAAATACAATAGAACAAAACAAATTATCAGACAATGCATGGTAAAAGGGCCCATAAGAGATGTAAAGCAACATAACTGTTACAAACACTCTTTTATCTTTTAATTTTTTTTTGTTGTTGTCAATAAAATGTGTATTAATGATATGATATCCCAAACTTAATTACTGTATATGGTTTCTTAATTAATTAAAATATTTTTTTTTTCATTTTGAATATATAGCTCTCAGAATACAATAGTTACAATAGTTGACCCATTATTGGCTGCAATATCCTTCACATCCGAAGACGACTCAGCTCTGCTTGTAGCTTTCTTGACCTATCGGTTAAATAAACCAAGAAACATTAAGATCATAGTCAATAACCAAATATCAATAAAAACAAACAAAAAAATATAATCTAGAGCTGAATTACACAATACATATGTTTACCTCTTCGGCCCAATTTGTGAAATAGGTGATAATGAAAAGACATACACCTTGAACGACGAGTGCAGATATGATTCCCAGCCAAAGCCCCTTACACAGTTAAAACAATTTATATGGTTAACTTGAATTTGAAATCAAATTGATTTTGAAAAGTTTGACATGAGCTGAGAGAGAATCTGAGCTGGGTTAATTAATTTACCCGACCACCGAAGTGAAAGTGAAAACCAAGTAACAAACCGAACGGAACTCCGACAAGATAATATGATCCAAGGTTCACGAACGCTCCTATCTTTTGCCATCCGCATCCTCTAGCAACACCTTTAAACGGACAAAACAAATATAAAGCATAACCGGTCTAAACCGAGTTCAAAAACCTGAATGGTGCTTATAGGGTGATTCGTTATTTACTTGCAACCAAAGAAACCTGTTCCGTAGTTTTTAGTGAGAGGAATATAACCTGAAAGAACGCTTTGGACGCTGTCTAGGCAGTGGCCAAAGGCGAGAATCGGCAACATCGAGGCTACATAGGAGACTACTTTCGGGTCACTACTGTATGCGAACCCCAATATCTTCCTTATCAGTATCAGAACCGAACCAACTAGTATACTCTCTACAATTGCAATGCTCATGACCACACGAACCGCAAGTTTAGCCACTTTCGGATTCCCCGCTCCTAGCTCATTTGACACTCTCGTGCTGCGGATTTCAAAGGAAAATTAACGCTAATGATGTTATATGATTAAGCTAAACTTGAGTTTTTGAAACTCTATGCAGCATCCACATGCAGTAACGAACAGGTGCGTCAGTCCTTGGGTATATGAACTGACCTTGCGGCGCCACTTAGGCCAAATGGGATCATCCAGATTGTTCCTGATGTATTAAGGCTGCAAATATTTTCTTAGTAAATTTAGTCACAACCAAGAACTATAAATTTGTTATTATAAATGAGGAAGAGATAACATTTATCAAAACATATATTCATACTTACCAGATTGATAGGACAGAAGTTTCAAGAACTGGGTTCGGAAGAAGTCCGGATGAGAGAACCAAAAGTTCAAAGGACCACATCTCTAAGCTGCTCAAAGAACATACTAAATAAAATATCCATGGAGTTGAGCAATTACTATTAAGAGAAGCAAGATTTATCAAATCTCATCTCAATAAATCTATTTTGTGCAAAACTTGTTTTCCAAGTTACCTCCAACACATAACTAATTTTGTTGAAACTTACCAAACCATAAGTGCGGAAGGAATAGCTAGCTTCATAAAAGGGATGATATCGCGTAGAGCCTCCTTAGATAAACCAGTCCAGGTCAGTGAGCAAGAAGGTGAAAACTTGACGTAACACGACAAGAGGATGACATTAAGCCAATACGAGATCGCATTCGCCACGGCAGCTCCTTTAAACCCTAAACCAGATTTCAACACCAAGACCCAACAGAGGATCACATGAAGGCAAGTGACGAACCCAGAACAGAAAACCACAGGTAAGACATTGTTCTGCGCCTGCAAAAACCTGTTGAGACATTGAAGAAGACCGTAGGCGAGGATGCTAGGGATCATGAATCTGGCGTAGGAGCCAGAGAGGTGTGCAATGGATTTGTCTTGGCCGAAGAAGATGAGTAAGTGCTCTGTGTTGGCCCAAATGATGGAGAGAGGAACAGAGTAGAGTGTAAGAACAAGCATTGCTCTTTGCATCTGTATGCCTAACATTCCGTACATCTTTGCTCCGTACGATTGGCCACAAACTGTGTCCATCGCACTTGCGGTTCCCATCTGTTCACAGGTGAATGGTTTTCTTATGGTTAGATGTCTTGCTTTACAAGTAATCGGTGAACTTAATTGTTACTATTCGTCGAATTTGAATTTGGAATGTCGATTTTATTTACCGTTTTATGTTTGGCATGTGGGATTGCCAAAAAAAAAAAGATAATGTTTAGCTATATAGATCAACATTTTCTTCTTTATTTTTTTGGCGTTTAGTTTTTCACCTTAAAATGACAAAACAATTTTGTTCTTGTAGTAGCATAAAAAGTCAATTATGCATACGCAACTTGGATAGTCATACAAATTTTGACTGTGGGAGCCGCTCTTATCGTTTTGGAGATCTAAAACGACTAAAGAACTATTTTAATTTAAAATAAAATGTTAATACCCATTGTACTTCAAAAACATAATAATTAGTACCATTCACTTTTACTTCGTACAAAATTTAATATTTTACTATATCTACAAAATTATAATTTTTTTTTAATATTTTACTATATCTACAAAATCATAATTAAATTCTGTGGAGAACAAATTTGAAATATGTTAATTATGAATCCATGTACAAATACTTTTACAATTGTCTGCCATGGCATTAACCAAAAAAAAAAAAAAACTTTTACGAGATAACCTATCACTATAGCTAAACATAAATCTCTCAAAACGGAGGACTCCAATTTATTAAAGTGGACACGGCCCTGCTGGCCTGATAACTACATGGTAACTATATAATAAATGTTATTTATTTTAATTTTATTTCCCAAGATTTATGGAACATACATAATAGTAGAATAATTAATGATATGATTGGATAAATTATGTAGAATGGCGGAATGATAAAAAATATATAAAATTTTTTTTTTTATAATAATATATTTTATATATAATTTGATATAATAAAATTTAAAATATTAATTATTATAAAAAAGATAATTTTAGTATAACTAGAAAAAATAAAATTTTTATTGTAATTATTTATTTTTATTTTTATTTTTATTTACTATAAAATCTATAAATATATTGCAAAATTTAATTTACATATAATCTGATCATTATATAAATATATGAAGTAGAAATATATTTATTTAAATAATAAAATACAATTAATTATATAATTAAATGATATAAAATATTAATTCTGTAAATAAACTATTTGAAATACACTTTTACACTTAATCAATTTTTCTTTGTATTTTTTGTAAGTACTTTTACCATTACGTAGAACTCGAGTTTTAACATTTTTCCACAAGTTTTTTTGATTAACAAAATTCACGAGGAATCGCATTTTGCTGTCATTCCACCATTTACCAATCACATATATATCGTAAAAAGTAAGTTCAAGAACAACAAAAAAGCCGGAAAAAGTAATCTCCCAACCAAGCTTTTTTGTTCAGACTTTTTTTTATGATTAAATATTAAGCTTCTAAGCAGATTGCTTAAGTAGATTGATGATTTAAATATTAAGGATCACATATAGTAGATGTGATAAACTGATAATCAGTCTCCCACAGTATTAATATATATCATTCATGATCAAGGCATGTTAAGCCGTTCTTGGTGTCTCACAAAAAAAACTTTGTTGTAAAAGAAATGAAGTCTGTAAAGCTATGAGAGAGAGAGGAGAAACTGACGAGGAAGGTGAAGCCGGTGATGGAAGCGAAGGAGGTGGCAACGGCGGCGGCAGAGAGAGGAAGAGAGCCGAGATGACCGACGAACATGACTGAGATCACTTGCAGACTAAACTGAAGAAGACTCACTGCGATTAGTGGGCCCGCCAGCCATAGTTGCTTCTTCACTTCCTCCTTAACTCCACTACTCTTCTCTCCGATCAGAGGCCACGTCAAAGCATCGCCTCTCTCCTCCTTCATTATCGCTTTGCTAATATGACTCTAGAGAGAGAGAGCAAAGTTACAATATCTTTGATCCCTGTCTCTTAGGGGTCCGTGTTTTGTGCGGTGTCGATACTGATGTGTTCTCTTTTTATAACTATTAAAGGGTTATATAGAGGCAAATTATATATGACGTATGTGCCTACGTGTCACTAGTACTGTGGAAACATCCATAGAGGTTTATAGGGAGATGAACCCATCTCAATGTATTGGTGCAATGATGGGATCTTTTTTGTACCAACTAAAGTAATATATGTTGTAAACGGATGTTTTTTTTTTTTTGGGTTCAGTTGGTGAAATATCACGTGGTGATATAGAAATAGAAGATTTACTTATACGTTAAGAACTAACAAAATGCTGAAGATTTCCTTATTCATGTATCATTAGTTCATTACAAGAAAACATCCAATAGTTGATGACTTGATGTGATATAATCACAAACCAAAATCTGCCGTAATCGATGTCGTTCTTGTAATTTTGTTACTTAACAAATTGAGTCTTCCAAGACATATAAACTCCATTTTAAGGGAGAGTAGTAAGCGGTAATGGAAATAAAAGATTTTCTATACGTTAAGGATAAAAAAAATAGATACCGAAGATTTCTTTCTTAATTATTCATGCATGAAAATCAAAAGGACCCTTATCCTATATCTATTGCTGCAATCTTCGGTCTCATCAACAATATACTGTAGATAACAATTCCAGAGTTAGAATTGCTTTTTGTAAACTCTATTATTCATTTTAAATGATATTTGCATTTTTAGCACAAAAAAAAACAATTCTAGAGTTTGGCATGAAATAAAATTCTTCAAACACATACAAATGGTTATGTTAAAAGTTGGCTGACTGACGTTTTTGGACTAGCATATGCGCGTGTGGTGACAATTGTTTGTTTTTGCCGGCTGAAAAAATTGATATATGTTGAGACAGTAATTTCTTCTACTCTCAAAAATAAAATAAAAAAATTCTTGTACTCATTGGTTAACAGAGTGAATGGGGGAAATGGAGATGGAAGAAACAAGTACGATAACTATTTTTTTTTTCACAAATCATATGGTACAGTTTACAATACAAGGACGTAAAAATTTAATATGTTCGCAAATTTTGGGAGCAGTGAATTGATGGCGAAAGTTTACCGACACAGGACGATAAAGAGAGCTGAGCTCTGAGCTGTGTGGATTGATATTGAACGGTGTGTGTTTGTTTTATTGGATCTTTCGTCTCAAATATTTTTTTAAGTTTTTTTTTACATTAGTTAAGAGATGTTACGAAACTCAATTGATAGTAGAGGCTGTTTTCAACCACGAGGGTAAATATTAGAGACATCAATGTAAGAAACAAGGAGAGGATGGGTTCATTGATGCATAATAATCAGATTTGGTATAGTGAAAAGAGGTATACAAGGCTCTTGACTACTCTCGTTGAGAAGGTTCAAAATGACGAGAACAATGCGTAACTTTCCTTAAAAGTATCATCAACTCTGAAAACCAAATTTTAATATCTGATTACAATACAAAATGCACAAAAGGGTATTTGAAGTATCATCAGCAGTCAAAAATGAGTGTTCAAGTAAAACTATTCTGATATCTTGAACATGGTGATGGAACCTAATTGTTTACTTGCTTTTATTCTTCTTCCCAGCCGATTTCTTGTGACCACTCCTCTTGAATTTTTGGAGCTTAGTGGTGGCAAGTGCTTCCGCACTGCTCTTGCCTTCCAACCTCTTTGTGAGCTGAACAACACTAGACATACCTCTGACTGCAACCGCTCGCTGATCTGGTCTACGGCTCATCATCTTGCGATCAAGTGGCCAATACGCATATGGTTCAAGCTTATCTTTCCTCTTAAGATCGCCACTTGCCTTTTTGCTTGCATACTCTTTCCCTGTGTACGCGTATCCAGACTCTGATGTCTTCATCCGCTTCTGGTTCTTCTTCGATGAGTTTGCAGAGAAACGGCTACCTTTGCTGCTCTTGGCATCCGAATCTGCGTCAGAGATTTCCTTCCTTTTACCTTTCTTCTCTCCTTCATGGATGATTAGCCGTCCTTCCCCATCAAACTCTGCTTCGTCGTCCGAGTCATCTTTACGTTTCCGTAGCTCACTTGATCGAAGAGCTGATCTTGTTTTGTATCGATCCATCAAGTCAAGCGGTTCATCATCTGACTCGTCAACTTCAAGATGACTCCGGTTCTGATGTTTCTTGGACCTGTAGTACGTCACCATCAAAGTTGGGTAAAGTATATCCAAAAGCAGAGCAAGTAAAGATTATAGCCACAAAATGTGTATATAACAACCAACCTCAAAGCGGATGCTTTAGATTTCAACAAAGAGGAAGCCATGCTACGGCCATGCGTCACCCCATCCATGTAGTCTCCATCGCTGTCCTCGTCTTCATCCGCAAAATCAGAAAATATCTTGGTATCATTCCACCGGCTAGCCCTGGAAGACAGAAATCAATAACAATCAGTCATTGACACCTCGGAAACTTCATTGAGGAATATTTGTCGATTGAGTTAGAAATGTTACTTTGATGAAGTTTCTTTTGAATGCTGCGATCTACTCATTTCAGAGCCAGCTGCATATTTTCTTTCTTTACGTTCCTTGACCTGAAATGAACCCAAAAGAATATGTATGACATACATAACACAGATACTGAAATCTAAATAATTCTGAAAACTGTTAGCAAACCTTTCGGATGTTTGTCAGGAGTTTCATATGTTCCTCAGGCATCACAGACTTGACAGCCTCCGTGCCACATTTCTTGATGAGCATCTCCAACAGAAGTCTCACCTATTATACCAACATGATTCTTCAAAAGAGGACAAAGAATCCGCAAAAACAAATCCTTATATATATATACATAACTAGTATGTATCCTTGGCACTATGCAACAATGTTTATGTACTAGCACGAGCTTAACACGTGTGTGTGTGTGAGGTTGCGGAAATGTTAAATTCAAAATCTAGGAACCGAAGATGGCAACACACCTTTGCTTTAAAAAGGTTTTTGGTTCCTTCTGGCCACTTCAGTAAGCCTTCGACCATGCTTTTCAAGTTTGCGTGTAGTCCTTCAACGGGTGATTTAGCCACCAACACCTTCAACAAACCTAAATTTGCCTGTTTACCAGAATAGATTGATTGTAGGTTTCAGTAAAAGGAGTCTCATTGATAAAAAAAGTAACACAAATGGCTAACTCGTCGCAACATAAAGTTGAAAGGGAAGATAGATAACTGACTTTTGTAATTTCCTTATTTTTCCTCTGGAGGAGAAGAAATGTTGAAGGAAGCAAATTGTAAGCACTGGCTATGAGATCGGAGAACTCATATGTCAAACGAGCTACTCCCTTGACAGCCGCACTAATCATCTGAGGCTTTTCTCCAGCCAAGCAACCAACCACCTGTGACGTAGCAGAGGTCAACAACCAACATTGACGCAAAAAGAAAAAAACGAAGATCCTGAAAAAATTGTTAGTGACATAATAAGACTGGATTAAACATACCATGTTGAAGTAACCGTGTAATTTCTCATTGTCTCCACCATTTTCCTCATCGGCGTATGCATGTCCAATCTGAACAAGCACGTCATAGGCTCTGTTTCTTGTTTTTTTATTTACCTACAGAAACAGCAGCGACCTGAATAATGATTCTTATCATAGTTTGACACAAACAGTTCCAAGCAATGCTTAGTACCTCCTTTAAAGCAAGTATAACTTCGGGTAGAAATGAAGAAATAATGTCCTTTCTCTCCTTTAAATCATCCTGTACGGGAACAAAATCATCAGCATCTAGGATGACTATATTCCTAAAACGAGAAACGAAATACAATTCTAAAACAGAAACCTAAATGTCAATCGTAATACAGTTGGTCAAAATACACATAAAGCTAAAAGATTTAGATTCTTACACTCCTTGACGCATGAGCTAACAGGAAGTATAAACAATCAAGTTTATGGCGCTTGGCAGAGACATGGCATATATTGTGCATCAGCTCTAGCAACTCCTCCAGGTTCTTTGAAACAAATCCATCAGAACTCTGACAACATAAACATTTGTACAGAGGACATCAGTCAAATTTATTTTTAAATGAAAACTAAAGTTAAAGGTTTTCAACGACCTTAAGAAACCGCATAAGTGTAAAGGGCAACAGAACTTTTTGTAAAACATCTACTGTTAAAGTAAGTAAGCATGTACAAACAAATTATAGTTATGGATTTCCAGCGATGAAGTTTAGACGCTTAAGCGAGCATAAACTAGTCAGCTTTGTACGCAAACAAAGCAATACCTTCAAGATGATCGAAAGAACTTTGTACGCTTTTTTTTGAATTTGGCCCTTGGGATCCTGCAGTTCAAGATCCACATCAGCATATACCCTCATCCACACAAATCATAAAACTCATCTTCATGTAGTAGGAAGATAAATCACAGCCACATCCAGAACAATAAATCATTCAATACAATAGGTTGATTGACAAACCTTCATTGCAGGCTTCAGAGAACTGAAAACGGTATCGACTTCTTGACTATCCAAACCAGGTAAAAGCGAAACTAACAGATCAAACAACCTTCCCCTGAAATGAAATGCAGACTGTAGGGTCAACTTTGGCTCAGTCGCAACTAATACACTAAAAACAGAAGTGGGAGTAACGGTACCTAAGGTTAGAAGAAGAATTTTTGTCTGCGGTATTATCTACGTCCATCCCACTAGCAGAACTTTCATCTTGTGCAATGGCAGCTTGTGTAACCTCTAGAAGTTCTCGCAGTGTCTTGAAAAGTAGCTTCGAAACAGCCTTTTTCTCCGCTATGGAAGCCAAGTTTCCTATCGCTGACTGAAAGTAAGACAGCTTAAGTTATCAGCTACTAATAAGCACAGAGAAGGACATAGACCAATTACACAAGAAGACAACATAAAGAAGAACAAGTTCTAGTGATATTTACTGAGCTGATAATATATTCCAAAGCATCATAATTTCTATGATGTGACCCTCGTTAAAATGAAAGTTGAATACCCTGCCCTTTAAGGTTGTTAATTACCTGAAGAGAACCGCCCTCATCTTTGCCAGATTCATGATATATCCTTGACAAAACATCCAATAATCTAGGAGCACACGATCGCAGAACTTTCAAATTAGCAGCCGCATGGTCTGAATCATAACGAGCCATCGCTCGTAGCATAGCAGGACTAGCATCACTGGCAGACACATCTTTACCCTCCACAACTTCCTTATTTTGTTGAATCAGAATATTCAAACTAGCGCATATAATTCCACGTGTTTCAGTCTGTGTTTGAAGAGCTCCACACAAAATTCGCCCCAGATCCGCAAAACTCTCCACGGTATCCACAGGATAATTACAAAATGAAGGTAACAAAGCCCATAATGAATATACGAGAGAATCCACACTCCTTGATGCTCCAGCAAGACCTTGTAGCTTGAGCTGCCATCACAAACAATTAGCAACATTAGAGAAAATCAAAGATAAGAATTATATCAAACAGCGAGCAAAGATAAAAATTACCTGCTGGGCTTTTTGGCTCATTGATTCGACCATTCTAAAAATAGTCTCTGTGAAGAAACTTAACCGCCCTCCAACTGTGTACTGCTTCAAGATTGGGAAGAGCCAAACGTTTACCTCAGACAGATCAGTCACCTCAAGGTTTAAACGCACAATGCTTAAAAATGTTTCAGGTCCCATGGCACCAAGGGCTGATCCAACGCACTCATGCAACTGGAGATTGGCAACAAATATAACATCAGTCAAACGAAATAGTCAGGTAAATACAAGACGTGACTAAAAGAGGAAACATCAAATACATTGACATGTTGCATCATCTTATATGGTAAAATCATTAATTTCTACTGTAATCTAGAACTCCAGCAGATTGTCATTAAGGCTACAGGACTAGTACATTATAGTTACCTGCTTTCTATAAGGAAAGCCTTCATCAGGTAAATTTTGCATCTCTGCTAAGTCCTCGAGGGTCTTCCTCATAAAATATGTAGAATTTTCACCTGAAAATTGAGTGAATTGATTAGCACAGGAGTAACTAAGCAAATAATTTGTCAAAGTAACTCCCTGAGGTACAAGAGTCATCTCAGAAAGTAAATACCTTCAACAAGGAGAAACAAATGAAAAGTCAGAGATATTACCTAATTTATTGAACATCGCCGAAACAACTTGAAAAGCCATGTCCCCGACTGCATGGTACTTGTAATCAAGCAAGCTTTCAACTGTTGCACACAGCTTTCCAACGACTGTTGGACTAGACTTCCTACCATCCAAGTTGGAATTTCGAATTCCGTTGACGCTTTCTCTGATCAAGCTTTCATCAATGCATGAATATATCAAACTCTTCAACGAATCCGTTGCTGCTAAGATTGCCTCCTCATGTTCCGATGCAAGCATATCTGCCAAAATAAAGCACAAACAAAATGGGACCATTAGGATAAACTGCATTGACAAGAAAAGCAGTATCTTTGAGACGTTCTAAAACCAAAAAAAAAGCAGAAAGGAGCAGATACAACAGCATACCTTTCAGACCATTGAACACACTAGGAAGATTCACCACACAAAGATCTCTGTTTAGGGAAAAAGCCCTCATCATCCCAACTTTCAGCAAACGTGCTGTGAAGGTCAAGGCATCAGCAGATGTTTCAGGCGCCGAGAAATACGCAGCCGCTTGAGATAACGCTTCAACCAGCGCCTCAACTGGAACCTCGGCGGTTGGACTGAGACAAAGCGCATTTAACGAGTCCATCACCGGCCTTGCAGTATATGGATCCCGCAGCATAAGCAGCACCTTAAAGCCATCGATCAAAGAAGCAATGTGCTTTTTCGACATGAGGGCCAAGCACTCTTTTAGAGTGATGAGAATGTAAAGCACTTGCTGTGCTCCCCTGGCTCCTTCCGTAGAACCAGCTTCTGATTTATTGGCAAGGTGTAAATATTTCTGGAACAGTTCTGCAATCGCTCCACTGACCGAGTGCCAGGTCTTAGTTCCATGGGATTTTTGAAGGACATCACGGAGACACGAGTTTGCTAGCTTTCGTACCTGGAATTTCAAAGAAGAAGATTGTCAAAAATCTGATGCAGACACGATTCATCAACACCGGTAAACTTGTAAAATTACCTTTCCGTCTGAATGAGTTGCGAAATTCAGCAAGATGCTGCAGGATTCAGAGCCTTCGTTCCCCATAATGGAGTCAACGGTCGTGAGGAGATGAACCAAACACTTCAATGCCGAAATCAAGCACTCAGGCGTGGCTGATCTTAGACGCAGAACGCTGAGGACGAGACGCAAAGCCAACCCGTTCCTCTTCAGCACTCCTGCCGAGACTTTAGGGAACACAAGGGAAAGGATGACAACATGTGGCTGGACGACATCCAAAGGTGGTTCGGCACTTGCAGACAAGACACTGTCTAGCGAGATGCATGTGGCGGCAAAGTAAGCCACCGGTGTCCGACATTGGTTATCTTCTGCTAGAGTTTTCGATAGCTCCCCGATGACAGCGCATAGATGTTCATGGTCTGGTCTTTTTGACTGCGATAAGCGAGAGCGCATGAAATCCCCGAAATCTTCAGAGACGGGCAGGTCTAATTCTGAGGGTGAAAGGCACATGCTTGTCTCCATTTCGAGACACAATGATTCCATAAACAAGTTACGTTTCCTTGACTTAGTTCATACAGACACAAAACCTACAAGGAAATTTTACTTCCGTTAAGATTGATGAAGCTTGCTTGGGAGGAATTGTTGTACAGTAAGATCAAGCTTCTGAGATTCTAATGAGATGCGAAGCAATAAAAGACAGAACTTTGATGCAATATCATACGATTACTGCACCTAATCAAATACTGAAATCAATCGAAATTAATCAGCAGAACATATAAAATTTAGAGAAAAAAAAAACTTAAAATCTAGCCAAAATTATATAAGACCACGGCGAGAATGAGGCTTCCAGAGAAAATAATAACTAAAAATTGAATCTTTAGGGTTGCAGCAGATTCTCAGAAAATATGAAATAAGCAACAAACAAAACAGGTTGAGAGAATAAAGGCATCGCAATTTAGATTGCATCCAAGAAAGAGAGAGGAGAAGAGAATAACGGTCGTCGGGTTTCTGACCTGAAAACAGCGAAGGAGAAGACACTTTTGGCTTGAAGATCGATGACGACTAAGAGACTGCACAAGACTGATGTTGGCGGCAATAAAACGAGTGAGCCTTTTAGGGTTCTCACGGAAAATCAATCTAGGGTTTAAGATTTAATCCAATTCTTTCTTTTTTTATTGAGTTCCTCCGGTTTTGATAAAAAAGGATTGCGGTTCAACCGGTCAATCCGAACGAACACGGTCTAGATTATGTTAACCCTCCCCCAATAGAAAAAATTAGAAGTTGCACACATAATTAACTTAAACTAAACCATTTTGAGAAATTAATTAAACTAGATTTATTTTTCAAGGAAAAAAAAAACATTTGTTAGTACAATTTTGTTTATTTCTTTCTCTTTTCATTCCCTTCTCAAAATAAATATCTTTGTTTTTCAAAAATGCAAATTGCAGTCTCTAATTTTCTGTTTATAACAAGATGATATATAAAATCTCAAACAGTTGTGCTGTTTTTATTGTAGTCTTTTGATTTACAAATAAAATTTTTCTTTTTTTCTATCCAAACTTCAAATCACAAACTAAAAACGATATACACAATTTGCAACTTCACTTCAAGCTCCTCTTGGCAACCAGCATTTTGTAAAACTTGTTTGTGCGGAAGAGCAACACAGAAGCAACCAAAGAGCCGAAGAGAGCCACAGACGCCATGATCATAAACGATGTCCTGAAACACTTACTTCCAAAGCAAGAGTTGTCAACCTCAGAAGCTACCTTGTCGTAGAAGTAACCTATCACTTTCACAGAGAGAAGATACGACCCGATGGGACCAGCAATGGAAATCGTGAAGTAAATCGTTCCCATATGCCGAATCCCAAATATCTCTGATGTGATTGTCGGCATGAGCGACCACTGCGAACCGTAAGCCATACCGATCAAAACCGAACCGACATAGAGGCTGCCTACTAGACCAGAGGCCACTACGATGTGGCCTATAGCCATAATCCCTAGAGTTATCACCATGAAGACCGGTCTAGGCCAGGTGCGTTTGTGTAAGAATGTGTCTGAGATATAACCGGCCCCAAACCGGCCTAGAAAGTTCCATATGCTCCAGAGGGAAACCAGAGAATTGAGTTGAACCGTAGAGTAGCGCAGAGACTCGCCTATCTGTCTGATGTTGTTTATAGTCGCGAATCCAGAACCCATCCCACAAAGCATTGCCAAGAAGAGTAGCCAGAAGTTCACTGTACTCATTGCTTCCAATATGTTTGAGTCTTCCGTAACCACAAGATCTCCATCTGCACAAAGTTTACAGCACAGTCAATGTTCTGTTCTCATTCTGTTTAGTGTGTGCCCCTGGTCATGTGTTGAGCATACTTACCAGGAAAGATGTCCGGACTGGGAAAGTCGAGTAAGGCAGATGTGTCGAGAACAGGATAATCCAACGTCGAAAGTGACTGCTTTTCTTCACGTGAGGCTCTTACCGCAACCAAAATAGGAGAGGCAAGCAACACAATCACGAGGACGAAGGAGAAAATCTGCATGGACCGTGGTAAACCGAGAACGTTTTGGACCATGATAATGACCATAAGATATGCGGCGATGATCAAAGAGATGACAGAGAGACCATCCAAGTGTTTCTTGTTACTAGTGGTGACCGATTCGTAAACTCTCACAAAAGGCATAGTGAAGAAGATGACAAGCGTTGGTACTATGGCCAGAAGAAGAATGAAAGTAGCGGGGTTACCTTCGCCGCCGGAGAGAGCGTGGTACAACTGAATCAGTATTGCTCCACTTAGACCTAGAAACCCCTGAAGTCAAAATACATTACACATTTAGAGGAAACTGAGTCAGTTTTTGAATATTCTAACCAACAGATTGTTATATATCAAACTGAAAGTATGCAACAAAAGACATAAGTGATACAACCATGTAGCATGCTAGCAAATCTGGATTCAAAGATAAAATCCTCCAAATCAAAACCAAGAAACTATTTTTTTTGTAATGTAAACACAAACGCAAAAATTGTGTTTTGAAACAAATTCTACAAAGTCACATCCTTTAATGGTTGTCCTAACTCAACTCCTAAAGACACAAGATCTGTCAATTTGTGGTGAATTGAGTTTCAGTTTCACGCAATTCATTTCTTATCCAAGATATATCAATTTGTCACCTGCATAATGCCGACGGCAGTCCCACCGTAGTCAGGGAAGTTACGAGCGGCGGTGACAACACTGGCCGTGTTGAAAAACGGCAGCGAGTGACCAGACAAGAACACGAACAGGCACATCAACGCCACAGGCGGCGGAGCAATCAGCCCAACCACCGAAGCCCACATGAAAAAGAAGCCCAGAAACCACTGAACCAGCCCGGCGAAAACGACAACCCACGGGCCACCACGACCGTGCGGCTTGGAAGTCATGGCCGTGTAGAGGTAACCGGAGAAGATGCCCAAAGTACCACCGATGTCTTTGAAGACGGAAACGAAATCGAGGGTGGACTGGTCATAAGATTGAGATGATTTGAGGATTGAGGAGTAGATTGCGAATGTGTATGTCGCTCCGCTAAAGCTTTGAATCCATATGCTCGCTGCTGCTGCTACCCATTTCGTGTTCACTCTCTCCATATCTCTCTCTCTGCTTCTGGAAATCCAATTCAAGCAACTCTCGATTTCAGCTCTGTTGATGTTGACTCAGAACTGGAATAAAGAGAGGAAGAAGAAGAAGAAGAAGAAGTATTCAATCGCTCTTTGGACATCGTGGGCATCAAGACCGAGTAAAGAATTTGATTAAAAAGATGAAGCCTTTTTAGTTTATTTGCTGCTCTTGCGAGACCTAAAGGGTATTAGCGTTAAGACGCTGGCTCTAAGCACGTTTACTAGACAAAGGTGAGTTGTCTTATTGTATACAATACGTTTAAACATGATTACTACAAATGGTTTATGTTACTGTATCCATGTGTACACACTATTCATATTCAAACTCACGTTTTTTTTTTTTGCTTAACAATTCAAGCCCACGTTGATACATGTTTTTAATGAAAATTTATTTGCATGTTTTTTAAAACGATAAAATGTATCTCACTCTTTAGCAAATTGCTATTTATGTAACTATTATATGACCCAATTTCCTTTCGAATAATTCACACAACGCAAGCTGTCTACATTCTACAAACAATAGTTATTATCTTTGAAATGTGAAGAAAAAAATGCCAAAAAAATATCAAATATAAAATATAGAGAGCCACACAATTTCAGACCCTTGTCGTCAGACATTACTACTTCATCCTCCTGGCCACAAGCGCTGCATAAAACTTCCTTGTGCGGAGGAACAACACAAGAGCAACAAGAGATCCAAGCAGAGCCATGACCGCCATTATCATAAACGAAGTCCTAAAACAATGGTTCCCATAGCAAGAATGATCATCCTCAGAATCTACCTTGTCGTAGAAGTAGCCTATCACCTTCACTGAGAAAATGTATGAACCAATCGGACTAGCTATCGAGATTGTATAGAATATAGTTCCCATGTGAAGAATCCCAAATATTTCAGAGGTTATTGTCGGCATGAGTGACCATTGTGAGCCGTAGGCCAAACCGACCAGCAATGATCCGATATATAGGCTTCCTAGAAAACCGGAGGCCATGACAATGTGACCTATAGCCATGAGGCCTAGAGTTATGGCCATGAAAACTGGTCTTGGCCAGCCATGGCTGTGTAAATAGGCGTCCGAGATGTAACCCGACCCAAACCGGCCTAGAAAGTTCCATATGCTCCAGAGAGACACCAGAGCATTGAGTTGAACCGTAGAGTAGCTAAGCGACTCACCCATCTGTCTGATGTTGTTTATTGTTGCGAGTCCTGAACCCATTCCACATATCATCGCCAAGAATAGAAGCCAGAAGTTGGTTGTGCACATTGCTTCGATGACATTCATGTCATTGGTCATGACAACATTAAAATCTGTCGATTGGTTGAAATATGTTAGGAAATTCACTTGAATAAGTATAACGTAACTAAGGGACATAAACTAACATATAAGTGATATAATTCACTCAAAATCTTGTTTGCCGATAAACAAAACCTTACCGGGAGAAGTGTTGAGCTTGGGAGAGTCAAGCAATGTAGTTCTCTCGTTAACCGGATAATCCAAAGACAAGAATCTCTCTTTTTCTTGACGTCGTGCTCTAACTGCGACCAAGAGAGGAGAGGCGAGCAAGAAAAGTAGAATGGTAAATGAGCATATCTGCATAGGCTTTGACATTCCGAAAATATTTTCGCCCAAAATGGCGACCATAAGATAGAGGACGATGGTCAAGGAAATGGCGGAGAGGCCATTTAAATGTTTCTTGTCGCCAGCGATGACTGTGTCGTACGTTCTAACGAAGGGCATCGTCGTCAAGATAAGGAGTGATGGTACTACGGTCAAGAGAAGAATGTAGTTCGTTGGGTCGCCTTCACAGAAAATGTGGTACATTTGAACAAGAATGGCTCCACTAAGCCCAAGATAACCCTGAATTTAAATTAGAAAACACAAACACATTATTATTTGATTGATTTTGCTTGAGGGCTACATAACTTATCCAGATTTTTATTCTTATCATATATACTAAACCGATTTTTATTAGCTTTTGTTATTAACGTCACGGACCGATTCGCACTACTTGTAGTATGTTAACTATATAGGAAAAACATATCGGTCGTAAACATATTATCATTTTGATATATCTACCGACTATCAGATATTTTTTTTAGCTAGTAATGGTAATATTTAAAATCTATAACAACAAAAAAAAATGTTATAGCATACCTGTTCAATAATATGATCCAACTATCTTACACGGTATTAATAATAAACCAATTGATGATATACTACTATCTTATTAAACGTATATATATGTTCCTATACCTTCATAATGCCAACGGCGGTCCCACCATAGTCGGAGAAATTACGGACGGCGGTGACCACAATCCCCGTATTAAAGAACGTTTGAGAATGACCGGCGAAGAACATGAACAAAGACATCAGAGCCACCGGAGGCCGTTGGATCACGCCGGACGCAGCCATCCAGATGAAACCATAACCCACAAACCATTGGAGCAGCCCAACGAATATAACCAGCCATGGCCCACTAAAGAAGCGACCGTTACCGCTTCTGCCGCTTGCAACCGCGGTGTAAAAGAGGCCGGAGAGGATGCCTACGTTTGCTCCGATGTCTTTGTAGACGGAGACGGTGTCAAGGGTAGATTGGTCATAACCTTGAGATGATTTGAGAAGAGAAGAATAGATTCCAAAGGTGTAGCTTGCTCCGCTGAAGCTCTGTATCCATATGCTCGCCGCTGCCGCCACCCATTTCGTGTTTGCGATCTCCATCTTTTGTTTTCCTCTCTATTCTTTCTGTATAGCAATCTGCATCGATCAAAATGAGCTTCCGTTGTCTTAAAATGAAAGTAAAGTCAACTTTAAATTTATAATGAAAAGATTAGTTGGTTTGGTTCGACCAAATTAAACTGAATTCTAGTTGGAGGTACTATAGTTGTACTCCAGCTTATAAACCAAATTTAACCAATAAAATATGCAAATCCTAATTCCTAAACCAAACTAAAACAAATATCAAACCCAAAGAAAACTATAACAAAGCGACGCAAACCCTAACCCAAATGAATCAAATATGATTTCTCATCGGTTTTGCTTTTCTAAACCGATCTGAATAGTCCAGATATGAGACGAGGAAGTCAATTAACCTTTTTTTGACATAGAGGAAGTCAATTAATCATTTATCCGTAGAAACAGCTGTACAGATGAAATATTATATCCGGTGTGGGCGTTAGAGCATTTGATGATGAACTAGTTATATAATTAAACTATGTACACAAGAATTAAAAAAACGTGATGCTTTTCGTAAAGATTGTTTTGGCATATGAGACTACAGGCTAGCGAGCTAGTTCGTCCTCCGAAATATTATAAAAAGACGAGATATATATGTAGCTGGTTTGAACAAATCTGGGAGAATCGGTGACGACAAAATAGATCGGCAAATCTTTCAACAGCAGAGCACAATCTAATCACTAGTATTTTTATTATAAGAAAATGAAATTTTAAACATTTCCACGATCTTGTGCATGTGGTTTTTTTCTCTTTAATTAATACGTGTTTACATGGTTTTATAGTTGGTACAAATACAAAGGGAAAATTAATTTGCATCTAATCAACAACCAGAAACATTAGTCAGTTTTTTTTTTATATAAACATCATTAGTTAGTTTATATATGATTATTTGATATATCTATAAAATCTGAACATCGAGTTTTAAAGATATTCTTGACTCGCTTTCAACAACATATTATTGTCTTGATCAGCTTATTTGGCTAAAAACGATTCATTAAATCTGAATCGTATACATTGTGTAGAAATTCAATGACAACATTCAATTGGTTATCTATAGTAAGTATAAGCTATTCTATTAGCATGTTTAAGGCTTTTTTTTTTTTTACAAATGACGTAACCGTTATTATTCTAGTAGCCAGTAGATACGTGGTAATTGTGTTACGGAAGTACATTGGCTTAAACCCACTAAGGACCCACTAATTTACAATGTATATGCGAGATTGTGAATCAAAGCTAGAGCGATAGAAAATGGCTGTTTTGGTTTTGAATTACTAATAGAACTAGATTAAACAATAGAGAACGTGCTTCAAAGTCGAAACGATTAACTATAATGAGCAATACGATCAATATTTTGTGTTCAATTATAAAGTAAGCGTTGTATTAAAGGGACTAATCATGGGGTTGAGGATGTAGTCCATCATTCGCATGGCCCATCGATCCGGAAGTAGACTGCTTAGTCCAAGCCTTCTCCTTTTAATTTGTCTTGTTTTCGCCTTCAAATGCGATATGAAAGCTCATATACTCGTAGAAAGTAGACTGACCTAAAATGAAACAAGGTATTAGTAATTTGTCTAATTCACAGCTAAAAGCTAGCTCAAGAGTGGAAGATTGCCTCATATTATATATAGTGTCCACAAATATCCCAAATTTCCGATGTGAGACATTTCCAACACGCTCCCTCATGCTCAGAATTCTAAATCTGAAACGTGGAATATAATCATTAGTGGATGTCACAATCAAAACAGTTGAGTATAACCTGGGCTCTGATACCATATTAGTAATGGGTCTAACTTACACCCAAAAGCTAGTTCAAAAGTGGAGGATTGCCTCATACTATATATATTGTCTGGATATTTCCAACACAAGACTACTAAATGTAGAGGTAGGCTTCTTTAGTTTACTGACATAAATCCTACATGTCATTTTCATTCGTTTTGGGAATGTAAAAATTCAACCATATAGAGGACTGTTTGTAGTGACTTTGTACTTGATAGTTACACTGAATGTTAAAACAGTTATTTTCGCAACGTTTGTTTTCTTCACCCCGAAATTATTTTCTACAATATGTCGATTTTATATAAAGTAGACATATTTGGGCTTAGTTTTAGTTTATTGGTTTTTTTTGTTTGGTGCAAAATGTTAGGTTTAGTTTTTTGGTTGATTAGTCTAGTGTTTCTTCAACGGTATCTTTCTCATTTTAGCGGAAAGGGGGTTTAGGAAGAGTTTCAATTGTAATCGTCGTTAATTAGGAGATTAGTTTTATAAGTTTGTGTAGCTAACGAAATACTGTCGGTTAAATAAGTTTGGTTCATGTTGATTCTTTTGGGCCATATTAACAACTCATTAGAGTGGGCCACTTGGTTTAAATTTATCAATGACAATATTTATCTAGAAGAAAAACATTATATCACGTACTATAAAGGAATATTTAGCGTATAATGTAAGAAAAGTCATCATCAAAATTGTACAAAGAAAATTGAACTCAGCGTCATCAACACGAATATATAAACAAGGAGTACACTAAATTCTTAATTATCATATTTGAAAAGTCCCTATTGGATAATCCAATCCAAAGCATACGTTGCTTAAAACAGTACCAGAGGTTCAAGAACCCTAAGAAAAACATCAACATTTAATGGCCAATGCTATGTAGTTACGAAAATATAAATCTTTAAATTTCGTCTGACTTTAATTAGATTTCCATGTGATATTTACGTGCGAGTTAACTTAAACCAAAAGAATAAGCAACGAATAATCAGGATAAACCCGTTTGTGATTCGTTCCGTATAATACAGTACACCAATACTTCCCAATATATAAACACACGTATACCATATCAATATAGTCCTACGTATATACATACGTACACGCAGGTATGTGGTCGCATGCATACATAAATAAGCTCCGTATTTAAATTTTTATTTTTTAATTCCGGCATTGTATATATATTTTATTTTTGTATCCCTCGCTCAATTTTAGACCTTGCGTCATATTTATCACGGGCGGATGAATTTAGGCCCTTACTCTTAGAGAGAACTGTATCGCAACAAAAAAAAAAAAAAAAAAAACTTTGCGCAACATTCAGAATAAAGGGAATTGCGCAATAGTATTTTAAGATCAGTTAACCATAATTAATTTGTTATACCACGATAAAACTCCATTAACATGTTTAAGTAACATTTGTAGATAGACACGATATAGGGGATACACCATCTTAACGAGAGATTATTTTTGTTTTACGTAAGAAAAATACAATCTAGTGTCGAATTGGAACCAAAAGAAGTAATAAAGAAAAGTTCGAACAACTGTAAATGTGACAGATGGCCCAGCCGCGAGGAGCAACATTACGTGACTCAACATGGCAAACCCGAGTCAAGCCCTTTGATTTTTCTTTATAATTATATTGTTCTGTATAGATATGTATTTGCCTATTTGGCCTTTTGATATCTGAATATATTTTTTTTTGATACAGATAACGTATGAAAAGAAGAAGAAAAAAAAAGACGACCTCTTATGAGATAATTTATGATTATTAAGCTTTCTACCACCACCACAAGTTCCGAGGAATATTCAAATATTCTTGCTTAATTCATCATCCTGGCCTCAGTGAAATGATTACTCCACCCTAAAATTAAAATTTTCATACTAGAATATTCGCACTTCAGGATAGATCTGGAAAGTAGGGCCCACGTGGGCTCTGTGGATTTTCAGATCCCAAAAAAATTGTTTTGTTGTTGAAACGCCTTCTAATTAGACTTCTTAAAGCCTGAACGTGTTTAAGCTTAAAGTCAAACAGTAACATCGAAAAAAAGACTTGTAATTAGAAATGTGGATCAGTGGATGCGAAATGATATTATAGGGAATATGAAAGTTACTTTGTAACTCAATGTAAGATATATGAATATAATCATTCATTCCCTTGTGGTTTGTATAGGGCCTTTTGAATCATAAAATTTCATGAAACTTATTTGAGCTTCGCATTAGAAACTGAAATCGGAACTATGACAAGTCGAGTTCAAAGGATTTGTATCCACTGCCTTCAAATTTGTTTCTATATTAATAAATAGATACATATTATTGTAGACTTTACCACCACACCACTATACAATACCAAAATATAAAACAGTACGCGTGGGCCGAAAGCAACGGAGCCTGATGTGTCTGTACGCGCAGACGTCTAGATTCCTTTTCTAGTAAAACACACAAAAAGTATTGTTTCCAACTTTCCATTATATATTATGAATTCTTCTTACCTTACTTCAAAATTTAGCGAAGTTATCAACATTTTACTATTCTTTTACCTACATTTAATAGTGTTGAAGAGACGACAAAAAAAAAAAAAAATATAGTGTTGAAGATTCGAACCTATCACCTACTGGAAACCAGAAATAGCAAAAGCAACTAGATTACATTACTTTCTGTTTTTTTTTTTAAACAATTTCAAATTGTGATCGGTTCTAAGTTCTGACAAACTGATATCAGAAAATGTAGTTCAGAAAACTTTTTCATAATTGGAACTGGCTCGAGCCGTGTAGTTTTGTGTGCCAAACTGCAGTTACATGTCACATACAGAACCAAAAGCAGAATACTTGATAAGTCTGTCCACGATCCATACAGTCCAATTTTGAGTGTTAGTACTCTGTTCTAAACGAATTTTGATTCTAATTCCAAATTTGAAAATTTATGCTTGGTGCTATAGGATATAATGAATTATAATTCTGGAAAGAAAGTCTGCAAGCAGTTACATAATCATACATGCTTTCTCTGAATCCACTGAATCTTACATTAAAGCATTTAACTTAAAACTACATAAGAACGTATCGTGTAAGTATGTAACCATGCATGAGAAAAGACACGAGACACAAATTACGAAATATGATAATTTAATGTCACATTTTAATGTTTTACATGTTTGATGTATTTTTTTTTTTTAAATATGACAACTTCCGAGATAACTAATTTTTGTTTTACGTACAAGTGTTAAAAATTTGTGACGACTTTAATGTAGAGTGAACGCAAATAAAACTTCCATGCTCTCTTCTTAACCAAAAAATGAGGATTGTGTCTAAGCAAAATAAATTATCTATCTCTATTCGCTAAAACACACACAAGGCTGTGCTAATCATATACGTAAAATAAAAAAAAAAAAGTGATCTCATAAATCATAACATAAGTTTAGAAACAGTTAACTTTTAGTGATACCTCCAGGGTCCAGCTGTTAGTTGGGTTCACAACAATCATAAATAAAACATGCAATTCAGTATAATATTAAAATGTAATGGAGAAGAAAAAAATCCGACGAACATTTTAAAACCATTAGATTATATATTTTCTCGTGGAACTGATGAGTTATATTTTTTCAAGACTATGAATCTATGATGTTTCATATAAATATTGGATGCTAATATACGACCCCTATCTAAAATCGTCTGAGCGAGTGTTTATAGTCTTCGAAATATTTATATAACTTCAAAAGTATAGCTAATAAATCTTTATGCGACTTTCTGGAACAACAAAAAAATTCGGAATACATTCACGGCTATAAACAATTATTAAGTAAAAACAAAGTATAAGAACTCTGATGAGGCTTACTTATTTTTATGGTGACCAAAAGGACGATCTAATCGGAGTCCCAGTCTCAAGTCTGCATTACACAGCCATGTATAGATAAGATATGTCCTTATCATAAAAAAGAAGCACAAGAAAATTTCATTTTTAGAATTATTACTGTATAATCAAAGTGTCTATATTTTTTTTTCCTTTCAAAATATAAGATGTTCTTGAAACAAAAAGCATCATTTAGGAGAAACACTGTCCATTTTACAAATTTTTAAACAGAACACTCTCTATTTAACATTTTAAATGGACCTTTTTAGAAACTGTAAACAAAAAACATCATATAGTAAAACACTCTATTAAAGAAATTTAATAGAAAGGGGAAATACAAAAAGTCATTTGTTGAGAGCTCTTGGGAGAAGAAAGTAAAGCGGGGTCCGCACTCTATGCCATTATCATGACGTCATCCGATTTCATAATAACAACAAACACACAAAACCCCAAAACAACTTCTCAAGTCTCTCTACGATTCCTTCATCTTCTTCCTCTTCTTCTTCTCTCTTCCCTATATAAAAAAACCCTCCTGTTTCTTTACAGTGATTAAATATTTTCTTCTCTATCTCCATCCGATTTCAAAAACTATCCTTCTCCGTATTCGTCTCATATCCTCTGGTTTGATTCATCTCTGTAAATGGCGGAGGAATTCGATGAGTCCGAGGTAGTATTCTCCGAAGATTTCAGCTCCATTCTCCATAAAGACGAAGAGAGCGAGAATCGTTTATTCGGTTTCAAGGAGCGGAAGAAGACGAGGCGGACCAAGAGTACGGAGAAGACGTTATCGAGCTCGCTTCCGGTGAATATCCCAGAGAACATGTTCCGAAGGTGCCTCGGGAAAGAGGAGGATGATTACTCAGAGGAGGAGGAATATTCCGACGGAAGAGGAGAGTTCGTTCCGCCGCATGTTATCGTCGGACGGAGGATACAAGGAGGACAAATGGCGTTTTCGGTTTGTACTGGTAGCGGAAGGACTCTTAAAGGAAGAGATCTGAGCCGGGTCCGCAATTCGGTTCTTAGATTAACCGGTTTTTTGGAGGCTTGAACCCGTTTCTACCCGGTTTTGCCATTTTATTTATCATCATTTCCCAATTATTTTTTGGCAATTTACGGAAAATTTCCCAGAGCTCCCGTGTTGTTTTCATTCAATTAAAAGCTGGTGAAAATGTGAAACAAAAGCTTTTTAAAATATTGATTATCTCTTAGTTCATTTTTTTTTGTTTTCCAAATTCTTTTATTTTTCCTCAGCTGTAATAGGAAAACAGGAAAAATAAAATTAGTGATTGTTATGAGAGAAAAAGTAATAACAATAATGGTTTGTATGTTAAAAATTTCATATCCAATATTTGTCAAGTGTGTCTTTTTTTTTTTAGACGACTGTCAAGTGTGTCTTTTTGTACTATAATCTGAAGAATTATGGAAAGTGTGATATATCTGAGTTGGATTTAATCTTATGCAGATGTGGACAAAAGCTGAACAGAAACAGCTGTTCTGTTGTTCATTGATTGTGAGAGTGAGAGAAGGAGAGAAAATTCGTTGCCGGTGAGAAATGTACAATGTATTTGGAATATTAACGATATATATTGGCCCACTAAAAGCTAACTAGCCATATCAGTTGGCCCACTAAAGACCCATACCCGTTTAGCAATTTGAAACGGAGGAAAAAAAATGCTTCTCAAGAACGCGAAAGGGACCTTCGAATCACACGAATCACGAAACGTCGAAACCAAAAAACAAAAGTCTCTTTCTCACGCACTATCTCTCTCTCTCTCTCACATTCATTGATATATGTGCTCTGTGCAGGTCTGTAAGCACGCGGCTAACCAAAGTTCATTTACTTTTACTTAAATACACTCTTAACTCTCTCTCTTAAGTGTTTAATTTACCCTTTCCCCTACCGCTAATACTGCAACACACACCCATGGTTTTGAGCTGCTACAACTTCGTTCAAGGTTCATCTTCTCCAAAGAGTAAGTTTTGCTCTGTTACTTTTCAACTCTCTTCTACTCGCAATGTGGTGTCTTGAACTCAACAATTTCACAGTTTCAATTGGAAATTTTAATCTATTGCTTCACATTTCGATTTTTGCTTGCTTTCTTGGAGGAGAGTTATTTCTGTATGTGGGGTTTTCAGTTACGGTTTATCCAAATACCTGTGATGTGGTGTTTTAAATCTAGTGTTGCTCTTAGGATCGTGGTCAAGAGTTTCGTAGACCTTAAAGTCTGGTCTTTTATTTACAGAGTAAAATGAAAAGAGCATAAAGCTAAGTTTTTTTCGATTCTTCATTTTAATTGCTCGTTCTGTTTTGTCCCTGCTTTAGGTCCTCATCATACAATGGAGATGCTTCCAAGAACTCGTTGGAGGATAATACCTCACGATGTAACAACATTCTCACTGGTTCCAGTGAGTTGGTAATGCCTAAGTTTTTAGGTAGGGAATGAAGCAAATCGTCCGTGCTTGTAGTTGTAGGATAGATGTATAAAATTCAATGTCTATCTTCTCTTTTTCTCTGTTTTGGAAATTACTCGGATTCATCAAAATCGTTTGTTGTTTCTAATTTTAAGTTTTTAACTTTATCATAAACATCAATCTTGTTTAATTTTCTGGTGACCACAATGCAAACAAACAATTGATCTTGCGCTAGCGTAATAGAAATGTCTTAGTGTAGGGTCTCAATGTCAATAACTGTAACCAACAGTAAAAAACCTGATAAAATTTGAACTTGAGGGGGTCTTGTTTTTAAAAATCAAGGAATGAAAGCGCTCGTGCTGTCTCTACGTGGATCGTGTTCTTGCGGGACTTCCTCCGTGTTGTGTCCCTTTCCTTGACCTAGCCAAGACATTGTGAGTCTTGATGGGAAAACTTTCTTCTTGCTTGATTCTTGTTTTGGAGCCTTCTTCTTCTGGTCACTGACGGCGTGGGAGAAGCTCCTGAGTTCGTTAAGCCGTTTCATCTTATCTTTCTTCTGCTTCTTCTTGTGGAATGAGAGGAAGAACAAAGCCACCACTTTGGTGACCTTGTTCCCTGAAGCGTTTGATGAAGAGGAAGAAGCTTTCTTGAGTTTCAAATGCCGGTTATGGCGCCGAGGACAGCTCTTGCTGATTCTTATTAGGAGTTTCCTACATGGTCGCATAATCTTGTGGTTTAAGGTAACTAACGACGCAGCACCCCTCATCTCTTGGTTATTAGGAGTTTCCTTTGTCTGTTGCAAAAAAAGAGAGGATTTAACAAGAGAAAACAAAAACAGATTATGACTTAATTTGTTCTTTGTGAATGTTAAGGCTTTTCTTTTGTAAATGTAACCATGGCCTTTTGTATATCACAGGTGGGTTTCACGTTTTGTTATTTAGTTTGTGGTACACCATGATTTTGAACTTGAGACTTTGTCTTATCTTCTCTCAAAAGACAAAGTCTTTGTCTACTTTAGTGTTAGATTTTGTTGGTCTTTATCTCTTTTTTTTTTCTGCCTTACGCCAAGTCTCAAAAGTCAAACAACAAATGCATACTACTCCCTTGGAAGACGAAACTAGGTTTAGATCTCTCACATAGATTCTGCATTGCACAAAGAAATAAAGCTCGTCTTCTTAAGGGGGAAAAAAAAAAGATAAAGCCACGTCACATAAAAGCATCTATACGTTGAAGTTGACATTATACAAAAACATCGCATCAGCCTCCAGAGATGTCAAATCTGTGTGCATCTTTAGGCTCGACTCAGTCCTACTCGGCCGATTCTAGACAAATTAGGTCTCAGATAGACCTAAAATACAGAGTTCTTAGGCCGGACTAGTCTACGACACCTATTTCATTTTTTAATTTCGTCACTGGTTATTTTTTTTCTTGCACAAGAAGAAGTCTTTGTAGCGGAGAAAGTTATGGGCTGGGCAACATTTTAGACTTGGCCCAATAAGATGACGACTCTAAGGCCATACGAAAAGACACGTGTAATAATCAGGTGGGTCCCTTGAAATAATAAAGACTCTCCGCCTTATCTCATCTTGCCTTGACTGTTACTGTGACATTTGGTTTTCCCCAAACATACAGACAAAAAGCAGAGAAACTCAACTCAACTCCACACACACACATACACCACAAACAGACAAAAGCAAACCCCACTGCTACAAAGAAAAGCTCGAGAACCCTTTGGAGTGAACGAACCAATACCAAACCCATCATCACAATCTATATTGATCATGCCGTCTGGTGCGAAGAAGAGAAAGGCCTTGAAGAAGAAGAAGGAGCAGGGAGCCTTTGGATCCAGTACAAGCAACAAAGGTTTCAATGGTCATGGTACTGTCTTGTTCTTTGAAATACTACCAACTTCACATATTTTTTTTGGTATTTGTAGTTGATGGATCGATAGAATTTCGCTTCTCAAGACATGGATTTTGGTGATTTAGTTTGTGTTTAGGCGTTTAATGTATATCTTCTCTCAATTGGGTTTCTGCTGTTAGGTAAATTTGTTCTTTTGTCTTTCGGGTTGACTCTTGAAGCTTTTGGTATTATACAAGAAGACTGAATGATCTTTTGGTCTTAATTTATTGGAATGGGGATCTTGTGGTGTAAAGACATTTAGTCAATCTCTGTTAGATTTGCTCCAAAGTTTGTGACTTCTTTTTATATTCATATGCATTCCATTTGTCTGTTGTATTGTTTCTTTCGATTTGTCACATTTTTGAACTAGTGAAGAAGAACTCCTATCCATGGCTTGTCGAAGACATTGAAAACAGATCAGTTCCTTCACATTTGATATGATTCGTGTTTGGCTGTGTGTTGTTTCTGGAACAAGTACTGGATGGTTGTCTTCTATCTTTTTCTCAGTAATCTTCCGAAGGGAAAAGTCTTTTGTTGCGCTTTTAGTAGATTCTTTGATCTTTAGTTTACGAAATGTGTCAGGGTATGATGAACATGGAAGTCAAGATGAAGGAGAAAGTGATGGCAATTTGAGTTCCCCTGGTTCTCAAGGGAACGAGGAACTTTGGACAAGAGATCTATCACCTTCTCCGTTATCTGGTCTAAGGAAGGAGACTGTTAAAGAGAAAACAGAAGATGCGGACGTTATTACTCAGGGACAAGGAGCGAAAAGTGAAGACATTATTGCAGTTGGAACGGATCATGAGGAGAATGGTCTGAACAAATTGCCCAATTCGTTAACTGAATATGTTACTCACAATACCAGAAAAGCAGCTTCTCAAGAGTCTGGTGGGACATCAACTTTGGAAATTACACCTGCTGTTGATTCTGACAAGCCTGTGGGTTCGTCTGTCTCGAAGGTTGTGATTTCTGACAAAGATGAGCATGTTAAGAGCTCGACAGACTCGGTTTCTGTCAAACTGAAGCCTGATGAGAACGAAGAGAAGCGTAGTCTAAAAGAAGCCAAGGAGGATAACAGTCCAGGATCTGCTGCGGGAACAAGTAAAGAAGTCAAGAGTGTGAAAGAATCTCAAGTGCCAGAGTGTTCTGAAGAGGAGGTAACGTCTCGTTTTCTTTCCTTCTTGCATTGTGAGCTCATTTTTTAGTTTCCTGAAAATCTTACGGACATATATATATGCAGAGTCTTTTGCCTTCTGGTCCACCAGTTGTTCGAACCTCCTGGTTGAGTTGCTGCGGCTTGTTTGATGTGATGACAGGATCTGAAAGATAATTACAGGTTAGGTTAGTCTTAGTTTAAGAATCCTGGAAGCTGCAGTGTTTCTTTTATAAATAATGTCACTAAAACTGCATATCACTTTCACTTAAGACTCCGAGCATCCAAACATCCTTGTAAGTTAAGTAAGAGGGTTCATGGAATTGAGAATTTTGGATTGTTGATGGCCCTTGAGAGTATGTTTTACTATTTCTCTGCATGTTTTGTTCTTGCTTTGAAGTGTTTGAAATTGGTTAGAGAACCAACGACAAATTCGAAGCCATATGAAAACAACAGACACTTGGCTACTGTTGATACCTAGCACTGTAGGATTCTAGTCTCTGAAACCTCTTCTACTATTTGTTCGAGTCTTGTCTAGGAATCAAACCTTAATTTGTCTTGCTACTGTGATTCATTAAGTGTAGTTCATGAATTCTGGATATAAATCCCGAATTTTCTTGACTCATAGATATCTTTTTTGTGATGATGAAGAACCGGAGGAGGAAAACATTCAGCAAACAGCAGAAGCTCAAAGAACGGCTGACAAAACAGGATACATCGTCTTCTGTTCATGTACATTCAACCATTAATGTCTCTGCTAGATTATAATGTGACGTTTTTTTAGCAATATACGAACAAGAACAAAATATGTCTTCTGTTCATGTCAAGGACTTTTAGAGTCATGAGATCCGAACATAGTTCTATTTTCTTTGATGTAATATATATCTTCTTTCAGCTGCAATTTTTTTCTTTTATTATATTCTTGAGTACAGGGATACACTTGCCAAGCTAGCAAATCTAGTTGCACAGAAGCATTTTTAAAAACTTACTTTATTTTTGTAAATATTTATAGTGATACTATTTTGTAATGTATCATTATTACATTCACTTTCACCAAACTTATTAAAAAAAACTTATGTTATTAGACTAATTATATAATATCACTTATATTAATTTGGCTAGGTGATAATTTATATCGGTAATTTATATATAACTCACTATTTCATTATGAAAATATTTTCTTTCTTTCATTTTTTTATCAAAAATATATTATATTATTTTTTCTAATTACTATATTTTTTGGAAATATTTTTTTCTTTCATTTTTTTTTATCAAAATATATCATATTATTTATTTTCTAATTACTATATTTTTTCTCTTATTTTTTCTTTCATTTTTTATCAAAATATATCATATTATTTATTTTCTAATTACTATATTTTTTCTCTTATTTTTGTAAAAACAATAATAATCAGATCATCTATATTGTATATGTGTTATAATTCATTTTAAAAAAAAATTACTTAAATGATGAAAAATATGAGTATGTTTTAAAAGTCTCATATTAGAAATAAAGAGGCGTAGATGACTTAAAAATAATTATAAAAAGAACATAAATGATTATTTCTTAAAAATTTATATTAAACAAAAAATTACTTGTAAATATATATGCTTATAATCAACTTGCATATTTGCAATTGTAATAATAAATTTGTTATTAGTAGCATATGCATATGCATAAAATTAATTAAATTTACTTTTATTTTAAACAATTTCAAATTCATCTTTAGTGCGAAAAATATTCAATTTTAATAAAATTATTTATAAATTTTTCATCCTGCGCATGACGCAAGTTATTACGTAGTTAACTAGTAAAATCAAATCAATGTAATGATTTACTGAAATTCTATGAGTGGAGAGTATGATCAAGAAATGTCTACATATCAAATTAATGAAGAGCATTGAAGAAACTTTGGATTTGAGGCTGATGAATTTTTAGCCACAAGATATATATAAAAAAATCATATCTAAATGTGTTACAGAGGGAAGGGTTTTATAAAATGCTAGTTGAAGTAAACCAAAATTAAATAGAAATGGGTTTTGAAGCTGCCAATTTTAAAATTGGAACAATATTTTAAAGTAAATTTATTTCAAATACACCTAATCTAAATGCAGTTTTCACATATACACTACACGCTGTAAGAGTCGTGCTTTGATTAAGGGTTACTTGTTGAATCTCCATACTAGCCAGAGAGAGAAACAAACGGCGCTCAAAAACTGGATCTTACTTCGTTCTTACCAAAAACAATCTCCAGTGATGTTCTTGGTTGATTATCTTTTGTACAAGACGGAAAACTCTGCAGAATTACAACTATAATGTGTTATATGTGAGCTTCATAGAAACTGGAATGACATCTTTAATTGCAGCAAACAACGATTTTTTTTCACCTCGTCCACGATGAAGAAACTTGTGTCACTCGAAAAACATAATTACGGATGTTTAAATCAACGGTTAAGAACTTTCCCCACGACAAGACTTTAATCTGGTCAATCTTATTATTAGTCGTAACCGATATATCCATCTTCGATGTAATAAAGCACTGATTTAACAATATTTAATGAAATTTCTATGCCAAAAAATCAAAACTTATTAGCATGTGTATATCATTTTCTTTTGATTCATCAAAACCAAGCCAGTAAGTATTTCCTTTCAAAGACATGTTAGGATCCAATGTGATCTAATCATCCGAAATGATGTCTTCATCAAGAAATTGTGTTTGCTCTGACCACCCCTATTGGTGAGCACACCCAAATTCTCTCTCGGACTGGTGAGCCCATCCCTGTCTGAACGGTTGGTGCGTTATTTTTTCTACAATCCAACCGATTATTTACTGATTCTACAATCATCACATGATTTTTTCTCATGTTTTGATCTTACACATATGATTTCAGAAATTACTTTCTAAAAAATCACTCATCCTAATCCTGTTACAGCTCAAGATACTTCTGATTTCTCATAATCTATATATCTAGTGTCGACCAAAGCAGCTAAGCTATGCTTCGATTTTATATATTAAACTCAAAAGATGATCTCCATTATGAAGCTAAGCTTCGATTTATATAGAACTCTCGATCCAAAGTCACTACCGACTACTATAGGATAAGGACGATAAGAGTAAATCTTACAGTGAATGGAAATTATAAGAAATTAGGGTTCCTAAATCCTCTAGGCTCTAGTAATAACCAAATAAATAAGTCACCGTTACATTGTTATTTTTTTTATTTACAAAAGATGTCTTCTGTTCACGTAATGGCCACATGTCCAAAACGCCAGCGTTTTAAGAGACTATTCAGACTCTCGAGTCTTCGGATCAGTGTCGGTGATCGCCGCGGCATATAAATGATAAAAAATAATCTTCGAAAACACGGAATTGCGCAATAAACTAATGTTTTGTTTTATTAATTGTTCAGAAAAAGAGATTAAAAAACTCTCCCTTTTGACAAACTAGCTCGCTCAGTGGATTGCTGCCTGCTGGAGCTGGATTAAAGCAAACTCTAGCTCCGATCTGGAAAACCCAAACTCCTTTGTGAACAAAGTTGCAATCTTTGAGGATCTTAAACGCATCCCTTATCTTCTGGTAATCTTGTTTGTTACTTTTCTAGCAATCCTATCTTCTCCACACTTACATCTCATTGCTTTCATGTCTGATTCACATTAATCTTCTTTCAAGTCCCTTTTTACTTAGTTTCAGTTCATGTTTTGTCCTGAAATTTTGGCTTCGTGTATTGTTATTTTTCTCAATTTTATCCAATTAGGATCCATTTTTTTTAGATTTTAGATTCGTCATTGTGTAGTAAGATCTGAGTGTCAAGAGTTAATTCGGTTCAGTTTAGTAATCTCTAGATCCGCAAGTACGTGTTCCTTGCTCTGTTTTCATATCGTCATATTCCCAAAGTTTAGAAATTGAGCCTAGCTAGCTAACAAACATAAAAGATATGAGGCAGTTTCATTTCTGGAGTTGTTTGAGCTTTGATATTAACGAGATCCATTGTAAGAGAACAATGCTGACTGATTTGTGCCATTGTCACATCTTGTTTGTAAATTGGTTTTCAGGTGAATTGTGAGTAAGGTTTCGTTTGACTCGAGGAACATGGCGATGGGGAAGTATTCCCGTGTAGACGGGAAGAAATCATCGAGCTATGGATTAACCATTACCATTGTTCTGGTCCTCTCCCTCTGTTTAGTTGGGGCATGGATGTTCATGTCTTCTTGGTCTGCCCCGGCCGATTCTGCTGCTTATTCCTCAAGTGATACTACAAAAGACGTGGAGCCTGCTTCGAAGAACGAGTTAACAAAAGAAGAAGGCGATCGAATCCCAAGGAACTTCTCTGATGAAAAGAAGGAGGAGAACGAGGCTGTGCCCGAGAACAACGAATCTGTTTCTGAGAAATCTGGTGAGGAAAGCCAGTTCGATGAGAGCTCCGGCGAGAAAACTGAGGCGGTTGAGGGAAGAAAAGAGTCTGGTGGCAGTAATGGTGAAGGAGATGTGGAGAAAGAGAAGAATGTGAAAGAAGTAGAATCTGAAAGTGATGAAGGAAAGGAGAAAGAGAAAACGCAGCTGGAAGAGACCACGGAAGAAAACAAATCTGAGGATGGCAATGTAACGGAAGAAAAGCCTGAAGAGAAATCGTCGGAAGAGAATGCTAGTGAAACTGAAGAAAGCACGGAGAAGAGTAGTAACAAGGACGCCTTCCCAGCTGGTGACCAGGCTGAGATTACAAAAGAGACGAGCACCGGAGATGGAGCTTGGTCAACACAATTGGTTGAGTCGCAGAACGAGAAGAAAACACAACAGTCCTCCTCCATATCTAAGGACCAAAGTAGCTACGGATGGAAAACGTGCAATGTGACTGCTGGTCCGGACTACATCCCTTGCCTTGACAACTTGCAAGCAATCAAAAAGCTTCACAGTACAATGCATTATGAGCACCGTGAGCGCCACTGTCCCGAGGAATCTCCACGTTGCCTTGTGTCTCTGCCTGATGGGTATAAGCGATCCATCAAGTGGCCAAGCAGCAGGGAAAAGGTGAAGTTTGTATTATTTGTGTGGAAAGAAAAGTGCTGGTGCTCCTTTAAATGATCTGTCATGACATGTATTGTTATGTTGTGTAATTGCAGATCTGGTACAACAATGTTCCACACACCAAGCTTGCAGAGATCAAGGGACATCAAAATTGGGTGAAGATGAGTGGTGAGCATCTCACGTTCCCTGGTGGTGGTACTCAGTTTAAGAACGGTGCTCTTCATTACATTGATTTCATCCAACAGGTACGGTTTTATAATGGCTTAACACATAAATTTTCTCATTACTAAGCATTAAAAAGTATTGAAGTAATTATATTGTTGCAGTCGTATCCTGCTATTGCCTGGGGAAATAGAACCCGTGTTATATTGGATGTCGGGTGTGGAGTTGCTAGCTTCGGTGGTTACCTTTTCGAAAGGGACGTTCTTGCTTTGTCATTTGCTCCCAAGGATGAGCACGAGGCGCAAGTGCAATTCGCACTGGAACGTGGTATTCCTGCGATGTTAAATGTCATGGGAACCAAAAGATTACCCTTTCCTGGTTCTGTGTTTGACCTTATCCATTGTGCTCGTTGTAGAGTCCCTTGGCATATTGAAGGTACAAAAGTGTGTCCCATTGTATTCTTTTGCCTTACTTCTGTTTCATAAAATAACCTTGTTTTGTTGTTGTTGGAAATGAAGGTGGAAAGCTTCTTTTGGAACTGAATCGTGCTTTGAGGCCGGGTGGTTTCTTTGTCTGGTCAGCGACTCCAGTCTATAGGAAGAATGCAGAAGATTCTGGTATATGGAAAGGTAAGATTTTTCTTCTTCTTTCTTTGCTTGCTCCGCGCCTAAAAATGGGCTTTGGAAATTGATTTCTAACTTTGGAGAGTCCTTCTTTGAGTTTGTAGCAATGTCGGAGCTCACAAAGGCAATGTGTTGGAAGCTGGTGACAATCAAGAAAGACAAATTGAATGAGGTTGGTGCTGCCATATACCAAAAGCCAACTTCAAATAAATGTTACAACAACAGACCTCAAAACGATCCACCTCTCTGCAAGGATTCCGATGATCAAAACGCAGCCTGGTAGAGTTGCCTTCAACCCTGAGTCAATTTTACTAGTAAACCAATGCAACCTGATGCTCATATATTTAATTTACGGGTTTAGGAATGTTCCACTTGAGGCATGTATGCATAAAGTGACAGAAGATTCATCGAAGCGGGGAGCAGCGTGGCCCAACATGTGGCCAGAAAGGCTTGAGACTGCTCCTGAGTGGTTGGATTCACAGGAAGGTGTTTATGGAAAACCTGCACCAGAGGATTTCGCAGCGGACCAAGAGAAGTGGAAGACTACTGTCTCAGAGTCGTACCTTAATGGCATGGGAATCGATTGGTCTAATGTGAGAAATGTGATGGACATGAGGGCAGTCTATGGAGGGTTTGCTGCTGCATTGAAGGATCTCAAGTTATGGGTGATGAACGTGGTTCCTGTGGACGCGCCAGACACACTTCCGATCATATATGAACGCGGTTTATTTGGAATCTATCATGACTGGTGTGAATCATTCAACACGTATCCCAGAACTTACGACCTTCTCCACGCCGATCATCTTTTCTCTACCCTAAGGAAGAGGTAGATAACAATACTTACTCTCCTCTATTCTCCAATGCAGAGCTTGATGATCTTATCTAATGTGATGTGATGAATCTAACCCTTTTCTTCTTTTGCATTACAGGTGCAATTTGGAGTCGGTAATGGCTGAAATAGATCGGATTCTTAGGCCAGAGGGAACTTTCATCGTAAGGGACGACATTGAAACAATAGGGGAAGTTGAGAAAATGGTAAAATCCATGAAATGGAAGGTGAAAACGACGCAGTCTAAAGACAACGAAGTCTTGCTTTCAGTTCAGAAGTCATGGTGGCGTCCTACAGAAACCGAGACAATCAAATCGGCAATCGCTTAAACAAGTCAGAGAAGCATCCACTTAGATATAGTTTCAGTAAAGTTGGTTCTTTCAAGCCTTTAAGGTTTGTTTATCAAATTGATTGTTCTTTTTATTTGTTTGACATTTCGTATATGTATTTTTTGTATACGTAAATTCTAGAACACAAGATCGCTTTAGCTCTCAAAATGTATACAAAATGAGTTTTGTTCTGTTCTTATGAATGGAAATAAATTTTTACTGTCATATTTCTTCTTTGGAATCTTCTTTATGATCTAAATGGAATAAATGGGCACATGTTCGTTGGTGATGAACAGATAATCGTAATGGTAAAGAGAGCATTGAGAAAATATAATGTCGGCTAACAAAACTGTCTGTCAGAATCAAGTAGAAAAGTCAAGTATGAAACTGTTTTACTTTCCAGACAAATCTGAAACAAAATCTTTATATGTCTGCGAAGAAACTAACTCTATCGTCCACCGGATTTGATTTACTTTTTGTTTTCCTCTTCGTACCTGTACAAACACGAGATGAGATCACATTCTATGTTATTATTACCTCAAAAAAATGTTTCAGACGTTGTAGAAAGTTTTGTAGGTTCCTCTTTACCTTTGGAAGGCTTGGGAGGATCATCGTCCATATCCATCCCATCGTTGTCGCTGTCACTATCTTCTGCAGCTCCCGATGCGTTTTCATTAGAACCTTCTAGAATCTGTTCTAGATCCCACAACTTCAACACCAGGGACAAGAGGAAAAGTAAATCAGGGATCCATTTGTGTGACTATAAACAGCGAAGGCTTGTATTTAGAGAGCAGAGATGATACCTTCAGCATACTATCATGAGCTGTGCTACCGAGAAACTTTTTATCATGCGAGAGAGCTATAACAGAGATTTGAAACAAGAAAGTTAGAAGAAACTGGTTCTAGACAAAGCAAAACAGTTTAACAAAGATCAGAAAGAGGATAGTTGTGAAAATACCGAGATCTTCGATAGGGAACTCGTGAGACCCAATAGGCTGTATGATTCTGTTGGGCAGTATTCCAACGAGGCTGGAGAAAAATGCAGATACATTTTGATTGGATTACGTGAACATAAGAAGTAAATAGCCTTTTGCCATGGAAGAAGAGTTTTTGTTACCTAAGTATTCCAGTATCACATCCAGTGATAAGTCTGTCCTCATCAAGCTACATCATATAAATCCACAAGACTTGCATTAGTCCAAAAGCCCCCTAATGTTACAGTAATAACCATATGCTTAAAAATACAAATTTCATCTCGCCTTTAATAAAGTATCAACTGCATTTGGAGACAGGTCAACAAACCGATCGCTTTAGATATGAAAAAGGTTTCAGACAGTTAGGTCTCAACACATAATATTTCCAATCATTAACATAGTTAGTGTCAGAGATATATGGCTTACCTGCAATCCTTGAAAAATCCCCATGAATACAACATGAGAATACCATTCTGAGTTCCACAGATAACTTTACGGCCATTCTGAAATCAATCAGGTAATAAGCAAACAATAATTCACATTACATAAGTAGCAACAATGTGGAGACACAAGAGCTTGAGATGAAACATTCTGGTTACCTTCATTATAACTACAGAGAGTAGTTCGTCTTCAGAAAACTCAGACTGAGATTGGATTTTGTTCGATCTGAGATTACAGACGGAGAGAGTCCCATCTCCACTGAACATTGTCAAAGAAACCAAAATAAAATAGATAAGCGGAAAAGTTTTGTATGAAAAACTTATAAGGCAGTAGCTTCACTGAATCAAATGACTACAAAAATACAAACCTTGTTGCCACTAGCTTCATTGAATCAGATGCAAAGGTCATGTCGGAAATGTAATCCTCATGTACATTAAACTCGTGAGAGCAAGAGCGCTGTCTCGTATCCCAAATCTGAGCAGATGAATCATACGTTATTATCATAAAACAAATACATAACTTCATTCCAAAAGAGTAAAAGAAAGTTGGACAAGAAACTTTAAACAGGGAATACAAAGTTTATGAGGCAGAAGATAGAAGGAACACCGATCCCAATTCTCCATTCACAAAAATTATAGAGATCTCAGTAGAGAAAGTTGTATTATAGTTGCTTTACAATTTCTCAATGGTTAAAGACGAAAAGAGGTAATCTTTGAACAGACCTTAACGCAGCCTTTATCATCCCCTGAAGCGATTGTTGTCTCCGTAACAGTGATCAAAGTATTAACCGCATCCCTAAAAGACCAATGCGAAATATTCTCAATCACTCACTCAACTAAAAGTGTATCCCAAATTTAAAAAGAAATAAAAAAGGAGCAATTTGAATTACTCGTGAGCATTCTCAAGACGTGCAACAGTAGCACCAGTCTCTACATCGGTAGCTAGAATAGAGCAATCTGCTGAAGCTGTGACGATTCCTGAAACACATAAAAAAAAGCATCAAATGTAAAACACAACTACAATCGTTCGAACATGATGAGCTCAGAATTGTTCTAAAGGTTTAAAAGCAACAAACTTTGGCCATCGTCAATGAACCGAACAGCTCTGCAAGACTCCTTATGGGCACGAACTTTACGCTCCCTAACACCAAAATTCAGCGATCTTTTAGTCGACCCACAACAAAAAGAGACAAACTTTGGAAGATGAAAAGAGCGTTTAGTACCTGAAAATTGTAGAATCGGTGTCGTATCGGTATCTGCAAATGAAAAAAGAGAGTTCGAGGTTACATGATTGGTGCGTCTAGTGGATTGAAAAACAATGAATTGAAAGAGAAGGGCTTTCGAATTACAGATGCAAGTGGCCATCGATGAGACCAGCGGCCACTAGATTCTTCGATGGATGAAAGTCGATACCGAACGCGTTTGCTCCCAAATCGATCTCCATCACCACTTACAGAGAAGTGACCAAAGAAGCCGTCGGGACGAAAATTGAGTAGGGTTTAGTTAGGGTTTCCCGAAAGATCCTCTGTTTTTCTTCTTATTATATTTTTAAAGCATTTCTTGCCTATTCTTAATTTCCACCCTTTTTCATAGATTTTTTTCTCGAAATTGAAGAAAAAAGGAAACTTTGGACTACGACAACAAAATTTCCTTTTTTTTTGTCCAACAGTTTTCTCAGTATTGAAAAAAAAGGAAAGCTTGGACTACACGAGGCTATATAAACAAGTGCCCACAATTATTAGCGAATTGTACAATCAAAACATTCTACGAACTAAACAAACACAGATATCTGAGAGAAAGCCGATAGAGAGAAGTAAAAAAAAGTGAGTCTGGAAGAGCAAAAGATGAAATCGTTAGGTTCTTCTAGCGACTATGTTGAGGAATCGAAATTCCCGAGGAGAAGATTAAACCAAAAGCGGGTTTCTGTTCCTGAACTTGTAGATGAAGGCGAAGAGAATCTTGATGATTTCGTGGAGCCTAGGGCTAATTCTAACGACAAAATAGGGAAGAAGAGACAGAGGAAGGAAAATCATGAGTCTGGTCTTGAGAAGGAGACCAAGAAGAAGAAACAAGACTCGGTTCGTGATGATGACCTGGCAAAGACCAGAGAGATTAACGAGATGTTTGATTCACTTATGAACAACTCCAAGGACGGTGGTGATCTCGTAGCAAATCGTCCTAAGAAAGATGATGATGACGATGATGATGATGATGAGTTGATAATCATGTTGTCCGGGAGACGAAGCAAGAAGAGCAAGCTTGAGAAAAAAGCGGAGGAGATTGCGATGCAAGTAGAGCAAGTGATGGCGATTCTTGAGATTGCTGTAGAAGACGACCTAGTGCTAAACAGAGAAGGCAAACCCGCCGTCAACAAGCTCATGAAGTTGCCTCTACTCAATGGAGCTCTCTCAAAGAAACATCTTCAATCTGAGTTCTTGGATCATGGACTATTTAACCTTCTCAAGAACTGGCTCGAGCCGCTTCCTGATGGTAGCTTGCCCAACATAAACATCCGCACAGCTATCTTGACGATTCTCAACGAGTTATGCAACTTGATAGATAAACAAGAGTGTAGAAAGGAACAGTTGGTCAAGAGTGGTCTCGGGAAGGTCATAATGTTCCTGTCAAAATCAGACGAAGAAACTACATCTAACAAGAGACTCGCTAGCGACTTAGTCAACAGATGGGGCCATATCATTTACAACAAGAGCACGAGATACGAGGAGATGTTTACTGAGGAGGAACGCGAAGAGCAACATCGAGTGTTTTTAGCAAGACAGAACAAGGCAAAAGCTCTTAAGGTGTCACAGACGACAAAAGCTAGAGACTTTGATGTGGATGTTGACTTCTCTAAGAAGACAAAACCCAAGCTAGCAGCTAGTAGAAGAGTAGTAGAAAGAGCGAAAGTACCAACAACGATATCAATGGACTTTGTGTTCCGTCCTGAATCGAAATTTGACAGACAACTCGAAGCTCGGAACCAGATGCAAAACGTCAAACGCAGCCGTGAAGGCATAATAAATAGACTGAAGAAGCGAATGGCGCTCAATAAAAGGAGCAGCATGCGTGCAATAACGGTTAGTGCAGACGGACGAAGCATGGTCAAGTATCTGTAGACATCATTACAAGTGATGATTTGAACACATCTAATTGCAAAATTATTTTATGTCATATACATTTGTAATCATTGTACACTCGGTTTACTTTGGAATGCAAATACTCTTTTTAACTCTCTTTGGCAACTCAATAATACCATTAGATTTCATTACCAATAAAGAGTTCGAGGTCTAACAAATACTGTTATCATTCGATCTAGCAAAATGAGCAAGCCAAAAACATTGAATAGAAGATTTCGCTATTCAAAGAGAAAAGATACATGTTCACACAACTTAAATCAATCTAAGGTTGTGTCATCTTGATCAATTCAAGAGAACCCATTACAAAACCTCTAGATTCCACTCCTGCGTTCCAGGATACATCAAACTGCAAAACGAGGCCCCTCAATATATGACACATAAAGCGGTGCTACTGAGAAGACTTGATATTCGCAGATCGATCCTCTACCAAAACATAGTTAGTTTGATTTCCAAGAACTGTAGGTAACTCCTTTTTACTTAGACTCTCACGGGACTTCCCTCCTTAGTTTGGCAATTGGCAGCTGTTCACAATGCTTTCTTTGTTTAGCAATGAATCTGTATTCATGGAAGACCACTCTGTAAAGTAAGCTATGGTGTAAAATAACCCATACATCAAAACATATAAAAAAAAAGGCACTGACTTGAATAAAAATATATCAAAACACTGATTTGATGAATAACACAACAAGAAGGCACCAACGTCTTATAGTAAAACAGATGAAAAGCCAAAATAAAATACATAGAATCGGGACGGATGTAAACAGGGGTACAGTAACGGAAAGCTTATTATCAGAAGCAATCAGTGTCGCAAAACCTGTTTTAGATTCAATTTATGCCCTGAATTACGAAATGTCCAACTACTATTTAAACTTTGGACATCAGATACCAAAGGCAATCAAGAAACAACTAACAAAACCACATCGATGGAAAATTCTGAAAAATTATAACCCAAAAAGACTGAAGATTTTAAAATAGTAAAAAGACAAGAAGAGGTCAGATGGTAGTGCATGTCATTGAATCAACACTATGGTTCAGATTTAATAGACGTTGGATAATTATCCTCATTCCTCCTACTCTTCTAAGTTTTCAACAAAGATCAATATTAAAAACTATAACTTTGAAAAAAAAGAGATCGCTGAAGCTACGAACAAATTGCATAAAGAAAGCATTGAAATCAGATACTGAAAGTCAATCACCATATTGCGAATGCAAGTAAGACTGGGGCGACAATTACATATCATCACTTTTCCACCAACATCAACAAGACCCAGAAACATATCAAAAGGACAAAAACTCGATCATATAAAGAGTACTAGAGATGAAATTCTAAACAAGGTGAACGAAGAAGATTGCATCGACACGAGTGATGAGGATTTGAAGACAAGTCTCGCCCTTATATACAGTCACACACCAAAGTTGCTCGAGTCTAGGGTTTCACATTGAAGCACAAGAAAATGACGTCGTTTCCTTTTAATATGGGCCTTTGACGAATCGTGTGCTTCATGCTGACGAGGCCCATGTTTCTTGCTCTTAACTTCACATCCATGTAGACCAGGTACAAGAAGAAGATTATGTCGATAACGAGAGATTCCATTACTACATGTTTGAAATATATTAAAAGTGGGTTGAGTAGACAATGCATGTAGCTATGGAGTCTCTAGTTTATGTGCAGCTTCTTCTTCTATAATGTAACTGATCCGGTACATGTTTTGTTTCGAAACATAGCAATGAAATGTGCTTTTGGCTCGTATTTCAGCAGCAGTTTGCAGTTGTGTTGTAAGAGGCTGACATATCAAACTACGATATGATTTCGTTTGGTTTGTAATAAAATAAAGCTAATAAGCTAATAAGCTATTGCAATTTGATCTGTCGCATTCAACCAGCAAGCATCAATAAACTACACTCATTTCGTGTACTTGAGGTTCAATGTACTGACCCTTTCATCTTGATTGACTTTTATCAGAAAATCTTCAATTGATTTGTTACCAAACTTGTAAATATTCTTTTGTGTTTCAATCACAGAAATATAATGATAAAGAGTGGATAAACTCAAATGATTGTCGAGTTATATTAAAAAAAAAACAATTTTTTAACAAAGGGAAAAAAAACGTACAGGAAAGAGAGAGGGTTTTCCTTTGGACAGATATAAACTGGTTCTTGCTGCTAAACCTTCTTCTTCTTTTCGCGAGACGTTGGTGTGTTCAGATCTGATAAGGAGAGAGATAGAGAGCTTACGACGGAGAAGATGAGCGGCAAGATCGTCGGCGGTGGTGGCAGTGTCGGGGGCAGGAAAAGCTATAACGGGATTTCTGATATTCCGTCTGGGTCGAGGAAGATGGTTCAGAGCTTGAAGGAAATTGTGAACTGCCCTGAAGCAGAGATCTACGCCGTGCTCAAGGACTGTAACATGGATCCTAACGAAGCCGTCAATCGCCTCCTCTCCCAAGGTTTCTCCTTTTTTTCTTCTTCTTCTTCTCATTTTCCGTCTCTGAAATTGTAGTTCAAATTGGGCATCGGAGATAATTAGGGTTTACATTCTCTTCCATGGAGATTTTGTTTTGAAAGCTGAAATGTTGCTGAGAATTTGTTAATTAGGGTTAGATTGGGGTTTAAATTCAGATACTTGAAAAGTTTCGTCTTTACAAAATTAATATTTGTAGCCTTTGGAGCTCTATACTTACTTCCGAGATGCTTATCAGCTTATGTGTTCCTTTTCTGATGATTGTTTTAGCTAATGTCTTTTTCATGATACTGATTCTTGTTTCTTTCACTGTTCAGATCCTTTTCACGAGGTGAAGAGCAAAAAAGAGAAGAAGAAAGAGGTAAAGATAATGTCTTTGTGTGCTTTTACAGTCAGTCCTGTGTTGGCATTTTAATTGAAAACATAGAAACCAATTCGCACCTCTGTTTCAAGCGTTAAGCTCAAACCATGTTGAGATATTCTGTCATGATTCTCTTTACTATTCCGGAGTTTCTTTATTGAATGACTCTCATATAATACTTTGTCCTAGATGTTGTTTTGGTTTCAGTTACTTCTTTTATGCTGGAGAGTTTATAAAGTTACTTGGTGTTCAGATTAGGGATATACCAGATTCCCGGCCACGAGGCTATAGTAACACTTACAACCGTGGGACTAGAGGTGGTCCTGATCGTTATGCTGGGCCTGGACGAAGTGGAACTGCACCTTTCAACTCTAGTGGTAATATACAGTTGCTTTCTGGCTTTAAATTACTATGATCGGAAGATGTACTTAATTCTAGCTACTTAATTCACATTTTTCTATTGTTCAGAGTCGGGAAGCTTTCAAGGAAGAACTACAAACAAGAGAGAGAGTGAGAAGCAGGCTTATGCTGGTTCTTTTTCTTCTACGTCTGGAGCATCGAGCCACCATCAGATGCCACACAGGTTTTCATTTGACTAAGCTTACTGTTTCATCGCGAGCCTTGAATACTTTCCTTTGATTGTGTTTGAAAGTTGTATGCTCATTGCTTTCCATGTACAATTGATGTTCTTTTACTTCTGCATCTTGGAGAATCATAGTTTTGTTCATGTCTACATTTGAGTGTCAGGATGCTCATGTATGTTGTATATATTTTGCAGTGATTCTGTTGCGATGGACAGTAAAACGCCGACTGTTACCTCGGGTGGTGGAGTACCATCATCACAGTCTGTTTCTGGTCATCAACCTGCATGGTTGGGTGCTGCAGGTCAGAGGTCTATGGCTGACATTGTGAAGATGGGTAGACCTAACAACAAGACAACGAACTCTCGGAAAAATGTCGATATGCGTTCAGAGGGGCATGCAATTGGTGCAAATCAACATGTCCCTGTGCAAGATGAATGGCCCTCGATTGAGAAGCCAATAGCCGCTAGCACTTCTGTATCAGTCGCACCAACTGAGTCAGATATATGCAATGGTCCAGCAGATTTCCAATCCAGTAGAGGAGATCAACATCTGGAGGGCCACTTGGAAGATGCACATTTAGCAGAGAAAGGTCCCTTTGGAAATCTTGGAAGAGATCATGTGCATGGCTCTGTCGCTGGTGGAGTTGTTCAGGAAGATGACTCTGGAGTGTCGTCCGAGTTTGATGAAAATCCATACGAACACCAAACGCAGAACCATCCTGTTGAGCACCAGAAAGGTATTTGATTTTGTATAAGCGTTTACAGCAACATGTTATAGAGAAGAATTGCTGTATGCTTTATTGACAACGACGTGTCGTGCATGACCATGGTTCCATACTATTCAGATCATGATGACACATTTCGTGATGTTGTCTAATTTCCCGTGTCAATATTCTTTTGCAGATGAAGATGATGTTTCGTCTGTTGCTGCCAACCTTCAAGAATTAAGCGTTGAGAACCATGACAAATACTCTTCCCGTGACGAGGCTAAACCTGTTGTTGTAATTCCTGATCATCTACTAATCCATACAGAAGAGTGCGCACAGTTAAGCTTTGGAAGTTTTGGAGGTTTTGGATCAAGACCTCTGAACAACAACTTAGAAGAGGCATCTAATGTAGCTCCACAGATTGAACATGCTGATGCTAGGCATGTCTTATTACTGATTTTCCTTTTCCAAATAGTTTCCTGGCTCTTTTCATTTGTACTCACCATTAATCAATCGTCTTGTGCACAGAAATACGGAGTTCTATGGAGATGAACATCTAGGAAGCATTTCCAATGGAAATATGGTCCATGCGTCTACTCCAGAAAATTATGATGATTCTTCAGAATCTCAGCGAGAGGCTTTGTTGCCCGAAAACCCCGAAACCGCTCATCAAGAGAACCAGTACTCGTTTACTCAGTCCGATCAAGAGTATGCATATGAAAATGCCAAGCAACAGCTGAATACTGCATTTGATGCCTCACAGACAAGCATGCAGAACCAGATGCAGAATCTTTCTTCAATAACAAATGTGATGGTAAGCTTACATATATCCCAGCATATGATAGAACCTCCTCTTATCTTTTAAAAATGTGTTAACATGAATTGCTGTTCAGATCATCGATAAGATAGTCTTGTGTGATGCTAATGATATATCCTTATAATTCTTGGTTGCCATCATTGGTTTCAGCAAGGGTATACAAACTCGATTCCAAACACTCTATTGGCAGCACAAAGTGGGAGGGAGCTTGAGCATCAGTACTCAAGTTTCCCAGGCGCACAGTCTATGCCATCAAGAAGCAACGATTCCTCACTAGGTGGCCAAAACATTTCTATGCCAGAGGTGATCACCTTTCCCTGTAGACTGAGATGCTCCTCTTAATCAAATAGCACATCTTTCTTTTCCTGTTCCCGCATTCATATAGAAAGTTGGAAGTTCTACTGTCTTCTATTAGTATAGGGACATGGAATGATTAGTCCATAAAAGTTATATAGGAAGTTGTTCCACTTACAGTGTTTTGGCTTTGTTTTTTTACACGCAGGCGCTCAGAGGTGGTGGTATTCCAACAACGCAGTCAAGTCAACAGAACCTAGCCGGTGCCAATATTGCTACTGGACCAGCTCTTCCTCAGCAGCTACAAATGCATCCATATTCTCAGCCTACTGTGCCTCTAACTCACTATGCCGGCATGATCGGTTACCCGTTGATGCCTCAGAGCTACCCGTACATGCCATCGGCTTTCCAACAAGCATATGCTGGTAACAGCTCATACCACCAGTCACTGGCTGCTTTGCTTCCGCAGTACAAAAACAACATCTCCGCCAGTAATTTGCCTCAGTCAGCAACTTCTGCTCCTACCTCCTCTGCCTATGGGTTTGGGAACTCAAGCAATGTTGGAGCCGGAAACTTCCCTCTTAACCAACAACAACAACAGGCAGCTCCTGCTGGAGCAACGCTTAGTTACGAAGACGCCCTGAGTCTACAATACAAACAGAATCTATTGTTACTTCAGCAACAGCAGCACCAACAACAACAACAGCAACAGCAGCAGCAACAGCAACAACAGGTAATTATCCCTCATTTTTGACCGTTGCATTTAAAGATCTATGTCTTGACATAATTGTTTGCTCACAGAATGAAAACTCGCCTATATGGCTTCATGGTCCGGGCTCTCAAACAATGTCGGGTGTCCAGAGCAACGCGTACTACAACCTTCAAGTACAACAACAAGCTCAGCAACTTCGACAAGCGCAGCAACAGGCGCAACAGCAGTATGGATCGCTCGGTTACCCAAACTACTATCAGTCGCAAACAGGAATGCCAATGGAGCACCAACAGCAAAACCCAAGGGACGGTGGCTCGCAAGGTCAGCAGCCATCAAAGCAATCCCAGCAGCAGCAGCAGCAGCAGCAGCTCTGGCAAAACTCTTACTAGGGCGGTTTTGGGTCCTCTCGGGCTCATGGTTTTGTGTACTTGTCACGTAGCCGTGGCTATAAAGCTGATAACCGGTTATATAGGTTATCCGTTATTTCGAGTTGTTGTTGGGTAGGGAGGCTGAAGAGGGAAAAGGGCGGATCGTCACCATGTCACTGTGAGTGTATTTATCATCTTCTGTTAACTTAGGGAACAAGCAAACTCTAATTTGGAATCAATGCAAACTAAAACCAAAGAAAAGAAAAGAGCAAAAGTTCCTATGTCTGTTATAACTTTGCTTCTGCGCTCCACCTTTGTATAGTATCTTTGCTTTCTGTTTAACAGTTTTCAACTCTTTATGCTTATATATTCTCATGGGGAAAACTTGAAAGTAAAAATAATATAAAATAAGCAAATACTTATGAAGGTGCAACTTGTATCATCAGAGACAGAATTGAGAGACTTTTAGAGCAAACAGGGTAGCACCAAAAATACTCCTTCCGAAATCGAACCTAAACAGAACCATGACCATAAGATTTTCAACAGGTTAGCATATCGAATTTCTGTTTGTTTGTGCATGTCACCACGTATCATCAATTTGTTGTATGTATACTTAAAGTCGTACAGTCTTTGTCTGGTTTCTTGCGTTCATCCTTTTGTTACAGTGCAGGGAGAGAGAGATGTTCACAGCTTAATAGTAATAGAATAACATATACAGTATATAGCAAGAGAGATGTTCACAGCTTGTTTCTTGCGTTCATACTTTTGTTGCTTTCTTTTCTAAGACTTTTGTACATAGATAAAAATACGTAACTCCTTTTCCTATTACTAGACCACATCATCGCTGTGTGTTTGGGTCGCACACCTCAAAGAACCCGAGAGAGTGAAACAGCTCTCCGCTTGGCTCGTTCTGTACCCGTGAGCAAAAGCTTTTGCGTCAAACCCGCAAGTCCCGGTGCTCTCACAACCTTCTCCGCCACAACCTCTCCACCGATTGTACAGAGTTGCAACAACGTAGCAATCGCTTTCTCTTGCCCTCTCGGCGTTCCACATCTCATCAGTTCCATGAGCCCCGCCACAGCTGATTCCTCTCTCCCTATACTCTCTGCTCCGAAAGACTGATTCGCTACTACAGCCAACACTGCCGCAGCTTTCTCCGCCACAGCCTCCTCGTCCGCCAAAGCTCCCACGAGAGCCGACACTCCTCCCGAGTTTACCATCAAGCTGCAGTTATCCGGATGTAACCATATGCTGTATAAAGCATTGGCCGCATCTTTCTTCCCTCTTGTCGTCCCGTTTCGCAGCAACGATGCTAGCGACTCGAAGCAGCCCTCCGGGATCATTCTCTTGTATCCTCCATCTACTCTGGACAGAACGTACACTGTGGCTGCTGCGTTTTCCCGAGCCTTCATTGTAAGACCAGAGTCGATCACGCTCACTATCGACTCAAGGCAATCGTTTTCCTCCATGATCCGGCTTCTGTTTTTCTCTTCGACAGAGAGGTTGAAGATGGATGTGACTGACTTCTCTTGCAAAACAGCGTTTTCGGATTTGAGAAGCCTACGCAAGTGCGGGATCGCACCCGCTTCCGCGATTAACGTACGCGTTTCGATCACTGTTCTCGTTAGAAGCAGGATCTCTCCCGCCGCCACTGTCTGAGCTAACTCTGACCCGTCTGCTAGGTTTTGTATGAGAATCGATATGGTGGCTTTGTTTGCTTCCATTGAAGCTCTCTTTTGGAGGTGGAGAAGCGAAGCAAGAGACTCTTTCGGCGTCTCGTGAGATACACCCGTTGCTTCGGACCAATCCCTTATCATGTTTCTCAGAGCTAGGTTGGGAACAAGACACGAGTCCACAAGCTTTTGCCCTGTTTTAGGACAAGTACAGCGACCACCTTCAATCCACCTAGCGATGGAGCTCCGATCATAGCTCTGTCCAGTGGAAACAATCACTGGATCCTTCATCAAGCTGAGGGAGATGGAGCAAATGAAATCATCTTGTGCCGTTGTTGTAAACGTTTCCTCAATCTCCTGCGCAATGAAACATTTCCTCTGTTTCTTCGGGTACTCGAATCTCCACTCCGATTCATCTTCGATCCTGAACAACGAAAACATGGCGTACCGTATGATATCCACAGACCCGTTAACCACCGACCTTGTAGGCTCCTCCAAATCACGATCGTGATTCGACATCTCTCCTTCAAGAAACTCAATTTCAGCGCTGCAGCTCTTGGGATCCCTAATCCCCAATTTGTCAACGAAGAAGTATCTCAGTTCCTCCGGATTGGGTATACGGCGGTTCTCAAACCCGTCGAGAAACGAATAGAGTCTGTCCCGTAGCGTTTTTTCGTCGTTATCATCATCATCAACGAACAGTCTCGACTGCTTGTGCAAGAGCTCGAATTGCTCTCTAACGTCGTCGCTCAGGCCGAGCCTGTCGACGGGGAAAACATCCAAAAGGGTCGAATAATCTCGGCTCAAATCATGGAAAACGCATGAAAGCGACGAGCTTTGCAGCAAGAGCCATAGCTTGCTGGATCGAGCGCAGTAGCGGAGGAGGAATTTGGAGTGGTGGAGGAGGAGATACAGCTCCTTGAAGCACAGCACCGCCGTCGATGAAACCGAACCGGGGTTCGAATCATAACCTGAATCCGCGAGGTATCGGAAAAAGACGGCCAAGACCTCGACTTTACGAATCAGGGAACGGGAGTTTCTGCGCTGGAAAGAGAAACGTGCGCCGATGAAGAGCGAGACGATTTCTGCTGAAATCGAAGCTAGGGTTCCAACGAGAGGGACGCCTGTAAGATCAACGGGGGCCAAAAACGCCTCCAGCGACGGCAATTTTCTCCGCCGTAGGGATACGGTGGCCATGTGACGAACGTTGACAACAAAAGAAAACAAAAACCAGTGGATCGTCTCGAGAAATGCGTCTTCTTGGTCCCAGATCCAAGCAAAATCAAAGGAAGTTTCTATGCTATGTATTTGTGTAGAAAATCAATTTATTAATTGAAACAAGAATACTTGCAGTATACTGCAAGAGTGAGTGTATTGAAGAAGAGAGGGTTTATGATGATCCATGTGAAATTTTTAGCTATTTATAACGGTTTTTCTGACTTGGTAATATGTTAATTTATGAAAATAGTCTCTTTTATTCATATAATATAAAAGACCATCTCATTCAATGGTTTCCTAATTAAAATGCCCCCATAGTTTGAAAATTAACTCATTTGACAGAACAACAAAAGTTTAATTTTTGAGAGTGAAGAAGATGAATAATCTAAATGAGGAAATCAAAATGGGCTGCTTATATACGTTGTTAGACTTTCTCTGTAGAATGCTGCAAGTCAATGTGTAAGCATGGAACATTGTACCGCACGGATCATAATAATGAGTCGATGACCACACTTACCATTCTCTGTATTTGCTGGTAGTTAAGACTTGAGATGATCAATCAACTGTTATTTGATTGGTGTCAACTCAAAACCATAATTTGGAGGTTCGTCTGGTTTCTTCAAAGAGGTTTCCGCGTTATCATTTCTGAGTCAAAGTACGCTTAGAAAAACATGTCACATGTATATGCTAAAAGTATGCTTTAAAATGTAAATAATTTTTTTTTTTTTTTTTATCATCCTTGTCCCTCCCAAGATGCCTCATGAAAAAGCAGTCACAACATGCAGCTCCGACTGGGGCAAAGCTTACTGAGTCTACAATACAAACAGAATAACCAACAACAACAATAGAAAGTCATTGTTTCACATTTTGACACTTGCATGCAAAGATCTTTCTTTTGACATACATTAGTTGTTTGATCTCAGAATGAAAAGCTCGCCGATCTGGCTTCATGGACACATGATTCTCAAACAATGTCAGGTGTCTAGAGTAACGCGTACATACTACACAACCTTCAAGCTCAGCAATAAAACAAGAACATAGATATATCACTGAACATTATAGGCTTATTACATAAACATCGCTTAACACAAACTCTCATATTTTTTTTCCTCCAACATTCTGCTCTAGGACTTATGTGCATATAGAGATGGGTACAGAGACATCGGTTCTAATAATCCCTAGTCTATAACCCGGCGGCATCACCGCTGTGTTTTGGTACCCCTTAAGAACCTGAGAGAGTGAAATCGCTTTCCGCCTAGCTCGCTTTGTACCCGTGAACCTAAGCTTTCCGGTCAAACCCGCAAGACCCGGTTCTCTCGCCACCTTCTCCACCACAACCGCTCCTCCTCCTCTGCAGAGTTGTAACAACGCAGCAACCGCGTTTTCTCCTCCTTTCGGTGTTCCACACCTCATCAGTTTCATGAGCCCCGACACAGCTGATTCCTCTCTCCCTATACTCTCTGCTCCTAAAGAATGATTCGCCACTAAAGCCAACGCTCTCGCCGCTTTCTCCGCCACATCCTCGTCTGCCAAAGCTCCCACGAGAGCTGACGCACCTCCCGATCTCACCATCTGGTTGCAACTATCCGGATACATCGACATGTTTTGTAACGCGACGATCACATCGAGTTTCCCTCTCGGAGTTCCGTTCTGCAGCAGCGACGCGTGCGATCCGATGCAGCCATCGGCGTTCGCGATCCGTTCCGCGGCAACTTGTGTCGAGGAAAGATTGAGCAATGTGGCTGCCGCGTTTTCACGAGCTTCCGATGTAATCCCCGACGCGAGAACGCTCACTATCGACTCCAAGCAATCTTTTTCCTCCATGATCATGCTTCGAGGTTTCGAGTGGCGAGACAAATTAAATATGGCTGAAATGGAGTTTTCTTGCACGGTAGCGTTTTCGGATTCAAGAAGCCTACGCAGATGTGGGATCACGCCCACTTCCGCGATTAGTAATATACGTGTTTTGATGTATGCTTTGGCTAGAAGACGGATCTCTCGCACCGCCACTCTCTGAGCTGATACTCCTGACCCATCTGCTAGATTCTGTATGAGAATCGATAAAGAGGCTTTGTTTGCTTCCGTCGAAGCTCTTGCATGGAGAACAGAATCAAGAAAAATTTCCGGTAAACCCTTAAACTCCGACGCACAAGATCTACCGGTCGCTGCGTACCAACGGGTCATCAAGCTTTTCAGAGCTCGGTTGGGGACAAGACACGTGTCCACGAGGTTTTGTCTGGTTTTAGGACAAGTACAGCGACCTTCTTCAATCCAGCTTGTTATGGAGCTCCGATCGTAAGTATGCCCTGTGGAAACAGTCACAGGATCCTTCATCACATCGTGAGAGATGGGGCAAACGAAATCCATTGGTAGTGTTGTAAATGTGTCACTGATCTCCTTTGCAATGAGACATTTCCTCTGTTTCTTCGTCTTGTCCTCGATTCTCCACACGCATTCATCTTCAAACGTGAATAACGAAAACATGGCGTACCTTGTGATATCCACAAACCCGTTAATCACCGAGCTTGAAGGCTCCGAATCAGAACCGTGACACACCATCTGTTCTTCCAGAAACTCGATTTCAGCTCTGTAACTCTTGGGATCCCTTAGCCCTAACTTCTCTACGAAGAAATATCTCAACTCTCCATGATCAGGTATCCGGCCGTTCTCGAATCCGTCGAGAAAGGAATATAATCTGTAACGTAGCATCTCGTCGTCATGATCAATGAACAACGTGGATTCACTGGATTGTTTATGCAAGAGCTCGAGTTGCTCTCTGATGTCATCACTAAGATTGAGATTCTTGACGGGGAAAACATCCAAAAGGATCAGAATTTCTCGACTCAAATCATGGAAGAGGCCTGAAAGCGACGGGTTCTGCAGCAAAAGCCATAGCTTACTGGATTGAGAGCAGTAGCGGAGAAGCAACTTGGAGTGGTAGAGGAGAACATATAGCTCTTTAAAGCACAGTACCGACGTCGAAGAAACCTGATCACAACCTGAATCGGCGAGGTATTGGAACAAGACGAGGAAGAACTCAATCTTCCGAATTAGGGAACGTGAGTTTCTGCGTTGGAAGGAGAGACGTACGCCGCTGAAACACGAGACGATCTCTGATGAAACCGAAGCTATGGTTTGAACGAGAGGGACGCCGGAGAGATCAACCTGAGCCAAGAGCAGCGACAGCGAATTGCTTCGCCGTAAGGATGCGTAGAAGGATGAGAATGTAGCCTCGCTAGCCATTGTGATGTGACGATGGGTACAAAACCAGTGGCTAGTCTCGAGAAGAAGTGCGTCTTTGAAGCAAATCAAAGGAGCTACATTAAATAGATACAGTATGTGTAAGTCACTAGTCAACAACATTTTCAGACAACAAATTTATTGATGAAGAAAAAGCTTACTGAGAAGGAAAAAATGGACTTAAAACGTGTTTGGCAGCTCAAATGTTTCGTTAAGACTTTGACATTTAGTGTGTTACGATGTTTAACATAGTATGTAGTTACGTGCTAACACTTTGACTTCACCGCTCATAGGATGTAATCTAACCAACTTCCAACAGTAAGTTTTGAGATTTGAGAAACTGTATGGTTTTAAGGCCAATCATAAGTGGTTTGAATTCAAAAATGAAAATTGTTTATTTGGTTGGTCATGAGTGAAATTCCTAGAAACATACATTAGAGAAAAGAGTCTACAACGTAAGTTTGTAACTTATAAGAGAAACAAAAAACATAAATTATATTGAAACAAAAAAAAACTAAAGCGAAAATTTTGTTTGAACAACAAAAAAAGAGTCTACCCCAAATGCTATCCTCAAACCGTCTGGTTAAAACCCTTTGAGGTTGGCACAGAAGCTAAAGTGCCCTTCTCTGCTTTGAAACTCTGCTTTTTTTTTGCATAAGCAAAGCTTAAACCTTAGGCTTAGAACCCGAAGAAGCCGAGTTCACTTGCTTTCTCCTTCTCAAAGGTCTCGAAGTACTGATATATGATTGTGACCGCCAAGAGGATTCCAGTCCCAGATCCAATGGCTCCCATGAAATCAGCCAGGACGGTGAGTGCACCAATACACACTCCTCCGAAAGCTGCTGCTGTTGGGATGTACCTGTTCAGTTCCTTCTGTAAGTTCGACTCTCTGTGTCCAGGCATCACCATTTGTTGTTCCTGTTACATTTCAGCTTTCAGCGTCAATGATCCAACACCAATGTAAATATATGCAGGTTGTGTATCGAGCTGTTACGATTTTATTACCTTGAGCTGCTTAGCTACGTCCCTAGCAGAAGATCCCGAGACTTCAATCCATGTCTTTGAGAAAAGAGCACAAGCAGTGAGCATGAAGACAATGTAGAACAGAGCATGGAACGGGTGAGCTGCCATATCCGAGAAGCTGCAATCATATAGTAACATATATATTCATCAAACCGGTTGATGCATGCCAATTTGGTTGATAAAACCGATTACTAAAAGATGTTGCATTTACCTTGCTGGAGCTGTGATGAGGTAAGCCAGACCACTAACAGGAATAGACTGCCCACTGTACTCAGATTCTTTCCATTGTCCCAAAAGGTTTACAAAGAAGTTTCCACTGAACTTCCTGTAGAGAAGCTGTTGACCACGAGGAGACTCAATGTTAACATTACGCTATCGTGGAGATAAGTCCCGTACAGTGAAGTGGAAAGACTGTACGTACCTGAGAGATGAAGTAAAGATTCGAGACGAGAGCGGATTGGAGAATGATGGGCATGTTGGATGTGTAGAACAGCTTGATTGGGTAAGAACCCTGTTGCCCACGGGCATTCTTTGATCTCACAGGCAAAACCACACGGAACCCTTGGAAGTAGATCACAATCAGGAAGATCAAGACTGTGGCAAGCAAGTTGGTAACATTCGGAAGGTTCTGCCGGTAGAAAGCTTGGCGGAGAGCCGCGACCTTGTTGGACTTAGTTATCAGCATATGGAACAATGCAATAACAGCACCTTCAAACTCAGCTCCACGTCCAGTGTTGATGGTCGTTGGGCTAAATGCTTTCCAGATAATGCTCTCACTGCGTATCATCAATTTAATATTTAAAATATTGTGCAAGGGATCAAAAAGGAAAGGAAGGGATCTATAAAGCAAGGAAGAACTTGTCCTACCAGATGTTGGTGGCAATGAAAAGGGAGATTCCTGAGCCGAGACCATATCCCTTCTGAAGGAGCTCGTCAAGGCAGATAACAATGATTCCGGCAAAGAAAAGCTGGAGGATGATGAGAATGGCATTTCCAACACCAAGCTGTCCAACGGGGCCATACATTCCAGAAAGAACGTAAGCAACAGCCTCACCGATGGCAATCAGAATACCAAGAAGCTTCTGAGCACCATTCCTACAAAGTAGATCCAGCACACAGAATAAGAACTCACACGACCACAGCTCAATCAAGTCCAGATTTGGTGAAAGAGTTACTAAGGAAAAAGACATAGTCAAATCAAACAGGACACTGAAACAACAACACTTACAAGAGGGCACGGTCCTCACGGACATTGTTGTCGACCTCAATGATCTTTGAACCTGCCAAGAGTTGCATCACGAGACCAGACGTGACAATGGGAGTAATACCCAGCTCCATCACGGTCCCACGGTTCGATGCAAGAATGACACGCATCCAATAGAATGGATCCGCACCCGTCGTTGAGTGAATTCCATAGAGAGGAAGCTGACTGCAGACAAGAAAGATGAAGAGCGAGATCACAGTGTAGATGACCTTCTCTCTGAAAGGCACCTTCCTGTCAGCACTCTGTACCTCCGGCAGAAAAGCCAAGAACGGCCTCACCAGATGCAAAACTCGAAATCCTCCTCCCATTCTAGTATCGGATTACGTTGATCCAAGTTGATCTGCTTCTGTATAAATCAGATATTACTCTCAAGTCAGCTTCTAAACACTAGAAAAAACTATACAAATCCACACGCATTGTCAAAAATTTACAAGCTTCATGCAAAATTTAAACCCTATTTCATGTTCATCTATCTAGCTCGTCAACATTAGTTTAAATCAATGAATCTGGGAAATTTCGTAAGCCGCGAGTGGAAAACAACAACAAAAAATGAAACTTTAACTTGAGTAGAGTTAGGGAAAGCTATCTCAAACAGTTGATCTAAAAACCAGATCTATCAAAAACGCTTACGATTCACATGAAATTCGATACAGATCGGTAACTAGAACACGCGAAACAGATCTAAAAAACCAACCATAGATGAATAATCACACAGATCTGATTCAAATTTTTGTTTCCCAAAAAAGAAGCAAGATGCGAACGACTCACACAAATGGCGATGGAGTAATAAAAAGTTGAAGAGAAACAATCAGAAATCGGAAGAGATTATAAAAAAAAGGAGAGAGACGAGTAATTGAGAGAAATAAGAACGCGATCACCTTCGAAACCGACGGCTCCGATAATTTTCTTCCCCTTCACACGGAGAAAGAGCGTTCTAGTTTTGATGGTCAACGAAAGACGAAGGTCACCTTATAATCAATTTCGGATTTTTTTTATTTCTCATTTTTATTATTTCTGGATTAATGCCAAATCGTGGCGATGCGAGAGAAATATGCTCGACACGATAGTTTAACGAATCGCTGTTTGCCACGTCAGCTTAAATTTTTTTCGACCAGGATTGGGCCGAGTTTTTGTTTTGTATAAGGCTGTTAGATGGGCTTTACATTTGTGCATAAACAGGATGTTCGTTTTCGTCTTCATTGATACTGGGGCTGTGATTGATAACTTTACTTGGAACGGAAAAATGTAAAATCATAACAATTTTACCAATTAAAAAATTTTGTGGAAAAATGTAAAAATATAAGATCTATAATATTATATTTTTGTTTATTGAAACATACAAAAAAGTTATTAAACAGAAAATATGTTTCAAGTAGATTATTTGCAGAATCAATATTTTATAGTATTATTCAATTATATAATTAATTATATTTTATTATTTAAATAAATACACATAAATAATTTGGTACTATAAAAATTTATTTAATAATAAATTTATATTTGTTATTTAAGTTTTAGAATATTTTAGATTTTTCAGTATTTTTATTTTGAAAACAATTATAAAATAATTACAATAAGAAATTATGTTATTTTATAATAACCAATCTAAGTCATTCCACAATTTTTGTTTATTCTGCAATTTTAATATATTACCAATCGAAGCCTATATGTTCTCGAATATAAACTGTAACATGTTTTTGACTTATGGACACAATTGGCAATATTAGGTGTTATGATATATTTTTGGGTTGAAATGTAAAATTTTGTATATTATAAAAAAACTGTACTTTTGCATTAAAAATTTGTAAAACAAAAAGGAAATAATCAGATGCTAAATAGATTAAGATTTTTGTGAAATTTATAGTAGCTAAATGTAATTATTTGCATTTCTCTTCTTCAATTTTGACCATTTATGTAAAACTTGGTGGACAAGGCTTGGTTTTGAGCTATGTGTTCAAGATGTTTTGAGCTATGTGTTCAAGATGCAAATACATAAGGATAAAATACCATCTTCTAAACAACTCCTAGTCAAAAAAATCTCCTCCAAAAAAATATATAGCCCTGCATCAAAAACATAACTCAAAGTTATAAAAACAAGAACAACAAAACAACAATTGTTGACCGAAATCATTATATATATATATATATATAACCTCATTTAAGTATTTAGTCCCTTTTTAGCAGAAGCTCCTGCAGCGGCTGGCCTTGTTCTCTTATATTTTTTCACTATACTTTTCAGTTTATTCTCCAAAAGAACACATGTATAATATATAAGTTGGAATTAAGACACACTGCATGCAAGAGGAAAGATGCATATTTATCACTGTTTCTTTGGTTTTATTAGATGTTTGTTTTTATCAATCAATTGATTGCTCAGTCTCTGTGCAAAAATATATGAAGAAGGTTCAACAGACTTGTTTTAACATCATCATTTTGGACAGTGGTAGAGAGCCCAAATATACATTTCATGAATTCTGTCTTGTAATACTTCAAATCTTGGAGACTCTACTCCTTGAAGAACATCTCATACCAAGTTTAAGAAATAACATTTGGTAGCATTATCTTGCTTTACACGCCCCACACACTTCCTTCTAAATTTCAGTGCATGATTAGCATTCTTCCTATTGTCTTTTCTGTCACAAAAGATTTCAGTCTCACCCAACATTTTAGCATACGTTAGCAACTTGTCTCTCTTACTATAATAGCTTACCTCTTTCCTAGTTGTGGACCATACTATTCTTAAAGCTGCTAACCATATCTCAATATTGGTACGCCCTTTAGAACACAAATTATGTATCAATTTATGGACAGTCTAGAACCCAAGAGACCATCTTATGACCCTCATGTATCACACTTACATAGTTTCCACTAGACTTAAAAGTTCTTACTGTCCTTATGTCATCAAAATCATGATGCTCTCCTTCATACAACAATCTCTCATCCAGAAGCAAGTTGCAAGTTCCTCGATCAAGTTCCTCAATCTTTAATCAAGATCGTTTCTTTCCTTAGCCAAGGACTTTTCACATAACTGATAAATTACTGGTAAAATTAAATCTGCGCAAACATCTATGGTGAGTTGTCTAACATATTCGAGTATGTGTTCAAGGTTCTTCTGATCTAAGAAGCAGATGCACTGAGGATTCTTAAAGATGATGCATTCATCAAGATATCTCCTAGGAACACCAGGTGGATTCAAATTATCTTCTGAGTATTCTATTAACCAGTCCCACAGGGTACATGAAAGAGTATTATTCTCATTGGGGCAAGAAGATTTTAGAACCTGAGCAAACTGTTGGAGTATGTCTTTTGGCTTTTCATTAGTCGCGACAGGCCAATCACTACATCATCCTTCAACATAAACAATCTCTTCCCTGCGCTTAATGATCACATCTGCTGCACTTTCTGTATCCATGACTAATTACCAATATATATGTGTACTCCTATCTTTGAGGTCAATAACACAAAAACATTCAGAGCAATCTCTTTAGTTGATCAGATATACAGTATATAAGGAGGGAGGCTTTAGTTATAATTTTTGAATGTTGAGAGCTTCTCCAATGTATAATTCTATTTTTTATCTCAAAATAGAATAATTGCAAAATAGAATTGCATTTCTCTCGATTCTATTTTCTATGTTATTTCTTTTCTTTGTTTTATTATTAATTGCTAATTGATCCATAATTTTTTCAAAATTTACAAATTGGTTCAATAATTTTTTTCAAAACTTTTATAAGTTATACCAAACTTTAAATTTAATTATTTTAATATAAAACACATTACACTATATCAAAATGATAAAAAAAACTTTAAATTTAATTATTTTTGTTTTAGTTTTAGTGTTTTAATATTTATAATTAATCAATAAAATAATAATTTATTGGTTTTAAAAAGTACTATTTAACACTTGAATGACCAATTTATAAATAAAAAAAGTTCAGTTCTATAATAGAATTGAGAATGAGATGGTTCTAAATTTGGAACAAGAAATAGTATTATTTTATTTTATAATCAAAAATAAAATAGAGTTGAAGCTAAATTTATACTAATATAGAATATAGCATCAGATTTAAAATAGGGTTGGAGATGCAATAACTTGACAAATAATACGTCGAAAATTACAATAATGGTGCTCTTTTGGATAGTGAAGTAAGAGACTTAGACCAGTGTCCATAGTTTTATTTGAGGTTAAAGAGTGGGCTAATATTTATCTGATATGATTTCTTGCTCGAAGAAATTAAACTAATATTATCATGCTTGTCTAGGAAGATTAGTATTAGACTTTTTTTGGTTTACTATGTGAACGTAGTGAGGGTAAACATTTTTAGAATATTAATTAATTCAAATTTCTACTTTGTACTTGTTTAATCTTCAATAATATGAAAAGTTGCAATAGTCACAAAGAGTAAGAATTTGCGTAGTTAAAAAAAAAAAAAAGCAAATTAATTAGCAGAAATTAGACGACGTATCCTATGGGGTCACGCATGAGCTAACTTGGCTAGTAAAGCCAGGTCTAGAATCTTGACATCGAGACTGTCATCTAGCTTAACTATACCGTCGGATCCGTCCACGCCAATGAGCTTAGCTAATGAACCACGATGCTTCCCTCCAACAATCTTCACACGTTCGCTCTTCCTCGGACAAACTCTCTTCACTTCGTTTTGTATCGCCATTACACTGTCGCCTTCACCTCTGTCTCCGAGAGCGACTACACAGGAGCCATCCTGATGACCAAACAGAGGAACAAAAAGAGTCTTTACTTAAACAGCACCAATGACACGTTTCTCCAAAATTTAAGCTCTTACAATAATCATTTTTTTTGTATATATATATAGAGCCGGTTCTAAAGAAGAAGACAAACCGGAAGAACATCTCTGATGACGCCCACATTGCTATCCTCAGCTCCAGTCTTGTGTACATCGACCAAAATACCAGGCATGAACCATGTTTCTGCGTCCCCACCTGCTCGAGTTAAGAATATGAGAACCATAAGCTCTTCTTACTAACTTTTGATGATATGTGAATCAAAACACCAACTGTACAAAATAAAAGACAGGCACCTATATCCGGAGACATGATGACATCGAGGTCGGTTCCAGGAGTCATTGCTTGTACTCCGGGAGTGCTAGGTAGATAGGAAGCCGAGCTTGGTGTCATAGATTGGTAAGGAGTTGGGGCATTAGCTGCATCAGAGAAAAGTGTGTGTGTGAGAAGAAGATTCTTTGAAAGCAAGAAACCGTAAAAGCAGACCCAACCAACCATTGTCTATTGGTGTTACAGCATCATTGTAACTACGACCAGGGGTGGCTGCTTCATACGCTCTCGAATGAGGACTTACCGGCTGAGAAACAAAAGGATTAATTGAATTTCAATTACCAATCACCACAAAGCTAATATATACACGTCAGAGAGATTGATTCTTAACTACCTGATACTGTAAACTTGTTCCCCATGATCCCAGGTTTCCATCTTCCCAGTTATCCCTGAGGCATAACAACCATAGTTTGAGAGATATTCATTAACTATTTCTGGCAATTATTGTAAAGAATCCATTGTCTACAAACGTACCGAGGAGGACTCATAGGCGTGTAAGGATTCCAAGCTCTATCACGCATGGGTGTCCTCATCCCATCATGGATAGGTGTAGCTGGATTTTTACATAAATTTATCAAACACAGCCTGATATGTAAAGTGGAGACCAAAAATAAATAAAAGAGATTAGATCTCAAAACTTCTAAAACAATTAAGGTAACAAACCTCCAGAATCCCGCATTGGAGTCATACAAGGATGAAGTGGAGTCCGGGAAGGATGCATAGGAGTTTGGCTTCCCATATTATACTGAGAAGGTGTCGCTACATTATCAGTCAAATCCGATATAGCATCCCGAGCAACTGTACATACAAAGGAGAATTAGAATAATTCATTAAAACATGCACCAGGCAAGCGTACGTATGGAAGGGAGGGATCTTGCCTGTCACAATCTTTGCCTCGTGTTCCAAACGCACTGACTTATCTTTGACTTCTACTATACGACCCCTATATCCCTTGTAAGGCCCCAGACGAACTCTCACATAAGCACCCACCAAAAGATCGTGACCCCTTCCTCCTCTCCCACTCCAATGTCTTGCTCCAGCTCCAGCTGCCGTTGCACATAAAAATTATAAACCATGAACGAAAAAAAAGAAAGTAGATTCAACCTTTCAAACTAGATCACAGAACTACCAGAGCTCTAGAATAAATCATTTCCCCTTTAACATCAAAATTGCAGTGGACTGAAACCAGATAACAGGAACTCCAAGTGACAACCAAAGATAGCATAAAGAAATCTGAACATACAGTTATATCCCAAGTCTGCCCGTTGAAATCTTCTTGGAGATGGAGGTACCGTGGCTGGTGTCTTGAAATTTCCAAACCTTGAGAAGGAATCAACCTAAAGTAGAAAAGTAACCCAAGAAACTGAAACTGTTGTTCGCCGAGAAAAGAAATAAAAACATAGCCAAGCCTGCTAAAAGAGGCTTACATTTCCACCAACAAGAACACAAGATGAGCATTTAGCGCAGATAAATCCAGCGTGCTCAACGTTATGCCGGTCATGTAAAAATAACACTCCTTTGTAGATTTGCACCACTGGACCTTGTTTACTCTATCAGAAGCAAATCAATTGGTATATAAGCCTAACAAACCTTGAATGGTAAGTAAAGAGTTTGTTAACAAAACAAAAAGAAAGACCAGACTGCAAAGGAACCCACTTTGCTAGGACCCTCAATGACCCTGACAACATCTTTCACCGTGATGACATTTTTGTAACGGTCTTTCACATTGATTTTCTTCTCAATTTTGTACTTTATTTCTCCGTGTTTGACAATAGACACCTCCGGTCTTTCAGGAACCCCTTTAAGAACCTAAATAAGTCAAAACAGAGTTACAGCAGATCCATAATCCCAAACAGAGTGTATATAAATGGTTTTATGACCAATAAGAGTTGTCTGGTTTTATCCATAATCAAAATTGGCAGGTTACCTGGATAGCGTCTTTATCAAGTTTTATAATTACTCCAAAGCTCAAATTGCTGCATGGTTTAAAATAAAGCTCTCATTCATATAAAAAATCATCACTAGATGTGGCTGGGCGTTCAACTTACCTTAGAAGTACAAGATCATGAAGTTCATAGTCTCCAATTTTTGTCACTCCATTAGTGACTTCAGTACTCTTGACGACATGATCAGCGAAGACACGAATCTACATATATACAATTCTCATGTGGTTTAATAACCCTTGTCAGTGATTAACGCAAAACTTATACAAAAATTGTCTTACGTGTTCTTTGGTCGTATCAGACAGAATGATAAGCACATGCTGATCAACTTTGACAACCATGCCGGTTGCTCCTTCATGGGTGCCAGAAACAACCTTCACATGATTTCCAGGTTCAAAGTATTTGCAAAGCTCTCTCTCATTTACAGCAAGAGGATTCTACAGAAGAAATCATATCTATTACTGGCTGCAACATTTATAGAAGCATATATGTTGTTGCTGAAAAGATATATGAAGAGTTTAGATGCTTACATGAAGACCTTTCATCTCTGATCTGATAAGAACATTCTCTTCATCCACTTTCTCAACCCAACCCTTCAAATTTTTTAGATCTCCCTTGATAACAATAACCTCATCACCTTTCACGAAATGACCCTTCTTCCTATTCGCAAATAAATTCGAGATATCAACAAAGTCGATCTCCCCATTCTCGCTTGGCTTCTTAAATTTTTCAAGTTCATCGAAGGTCGGTGTAACATTCTGAGCAGAAATCGACTTTGTTGATACTTTTTTGTATATGAAACCATCTTTGAAAAGCATTCCACCGATATTTTCAAAGTAATCACCCGTCATCCGGTCACGTCGGTGCTCAACGCGAATGTGAAGTTCCCTAAAGGCACGTTACAAACATTGAATACTCATAACTAAAAGATTCTCCAAAACAATTGTTTCCAAAGAGCTAACAGGAAACAACTATACGTACCTTGCCTCATCCACGTTCATGAAGCGTGGAGGTGGAACAAAAGCTTTCTTCTTGGCAATCTCTATTCCTTCCTGCAAATACCCAAGTAAAAATGTGCCTGAGAATCATATGGTTTTTAAGGCTAGAACAATTTTTTACACCTTTATGTGTCACAAGCACAATACCACGGTTCCATATTCTTAAGCATGGAAAGATTCCATACCAGCTTATTGGCAAGAACCTGCAGATCAATTCTTGGGATTAACTTGACTGTGACCCTCCTACGCACATTATCAACATCAACCACCTGTAAAGAACTTACATTTCAGCGAGGTTCAGAGGAGTTATATAATGTAAAAGCACATGGAAAAAAAGTGGATCATACCTGAGCTAGATCACCCTTATATATCCCGAGTTTCATTCTAACCCATGTATCCCGTGCTAGATCGATTGTTTTACTCTTGACAGAAAGAACATCTGTCATTTCTCTTATCGGGACAAGTAAAATCTTGTGATTTGCAAAAATATTCCGCATGCCCTTGATAGCCTAAATAAACCACCAAGAAAAAGAATCAAACATAGATTCATACTCTAGTCAGAACACACACAAACAAAATATATAATGCAACCATCAAATACCTCTTTAACGTGAGCTTCCATATCCGCTTCAATGTATATATAGTTTTGAAGATGATCAAGCGCAATTGCAGATCTGATCTTCAAATCTGATCCTCTATCTATGACTTTTTGCATTAGACAAACAGCAACCTCTCTTTCACGACCAATCTGTTATCGCAGTGTGGAAAATTCAAGGATACTCCATGTGGTGTTACTAAACAGAACATAAAGGAAAAAGATTTAGCGAAGAAACCCTACCGCACACTTCACCATCCAAAGTTTTGGGTCACGCACTGATGGCAAGAGCGCTTGCTGATCAACGTCGGTGAGGTCTTCATGGTCATCGTCATCATGTGTATACACGCTAGAATACCTTTCTTGAAAATGTCTGTTATCAAGCCCTTCGAGATCATCATCATCATCATCCACAAGAGGATGAGACCTCTGTTCGTAATACTGCATATGATCATCATCCTCAGCAGGAAAGCCAGTCTCAACGAAACCTGCAAATCAATAAATGATTGTCTATTGATCAACAATTTTACAACTCGATACGCAGATTCAAAGTGAAAGATAAGACAATTTCTGGTTAAAATTTGATAGAACAAGTAGTCAAATTTCGAATTAAGAAATCAATTTCGTATCTGAAAAAAAAAAATAAGAAAAATGCAATGTCGCTTACCATCCTCTTGCTCGTCTTCGTCCTCGTCGTCATCCACAATAGCAATATCGTCTATGAACTTGGAACCCGAAGGCTTCTTTTTCTTCCCTCCCCGAGCGGCGGAATCTGAAATTGACCTTCCCCTCTTTTTCCCCGAGCCTCCTTTGCGGCTGCTCCTCGACTCCTCCTCCAATTCGGAATCATCGTCATAGGAATAATCTTCGTCGTCGTCTGAGTGGTGAGCCATGGTTTTGGATTACAGAACTAGGGTTCCGATTAGGAATAGCCAACCCTAGAAATCCCAGTATTGTCTCTCCGCTCCCACGCGCTTCAACAAGAACCCTAAAAATCGCCTGAGGAATCAATCGAAAGGGGGGAAACTTTTTCGCTGATTGCACTTTGGCTACGTATGAGTATTGTGGAAGTGTTAACTTGCCAATTGCCGCCATGCATTATATATATTCCCCTTTTGCCCTTTTCCTATCTTTTACGGGTTGGACAGGAGTCCACGATAGGTTCGGCCTCACCTGATTATCGCCTGTGGCACCTCAGAATTTAGGGGAATATTAAAATGAAAATAATTAGGGAATGATAACATTTAAAGAATTAATCACAACATACACTCAAACACATATAAACAACATAATAGATCTCCATACTTTTATCATTTTTGCTGCCAAAAAAAATACTCCCTAGCTCCGTTCCATATTGTATGATGTTTTGGGTTTTTATTTTGTTATAAAAAGATTGATTTTCTACATTATATTTAATATATTTTCTTTTTTCAAGATAATTTTTTAGATAAAAAAATATAAAAAATTAATATTAAATTAATAAATAAACAAAAAATATTTTTAAAAAAATAAATAATTATTGTTTTTTTAATATCTGTGAAACATCTAAAACATCATACATTCTGAAATGGAAGGAGTAATAATTAGATCTTCATATTTTTATCATTTAAATAACTTATGTCAAAGCATAATTAGAAACGTTTGAGTCAATTGTTCAGGTGGTTTCAGGGGTTACATATACAAACCTAGCTCGTTATCGTCAACAACACAATCCATCTTTGTTAAAACACAACCAAACAAAATTGTTACCATAATTCAAGAACTAGTGTTTACTTCGATTATCCAAAAATAAAGTTATATAAAACATTGGTGCAAAAGAATTAGAGGGCAAATCTCATTTGGCAGAGAGCTCACCACAAACATAGATATGCATACATATGGATATGCAAGTATGAAGTAATAGATTCCTGCCAATGAAGATCTTGCCCTGTAATGCATTTGCACCTTCTCCATATTTCTTTCATCTCTCTCTCTCTACTAAAATAATTGTTTGTACGTATTGTGTTTATATATATAACATTGCATGAAGCATATTCAATGGTACTATCCTTCCGAACAAGAATAAAATCTATCTTAAAATTAATGTCTTAAGGAATAATCCTTTATACTCCCGATATTTTCCAGTCATCATCGCATTGAGTATTCTTGATTCGAGTCTCACAAAGACTTTTTTTTTTTTTTGAAAGAACATAGAGTTTTGTTCTACTTTATTTGATTAATATTATAACTTACAATATTCAATTATTGAGTATTAAACAGTACCAAATCCAATAAACTTTTGATAAATCAATGATACACATGTGACATATTTAATAAACGAGACTCGACTTTTGGATGATCATGATGGTGTGTACTAACAAAATTTAAAGCCATATATAGTATGCATCAATTACTTTTCAAGCAAACCTTATCAAAGACTGGTCTTAGGTCTAGACAGACTATATATACCAATAGGCTGGACGTCCAAAATCTTTTCTGATTTAAAGAAAAATCTTTCCAAACGTTTAGATAATAAAAAATTAGTTTTGGAGAATTTTTTTTTTTTGATTTAGTGGTTATTAATTAACTAAGATGGTTAATTCTACAAACTAGGCTAGAAATAATCTGTTTACTTGCTAAAAAAGTTTGCCAAGGACAACTTGTAAAGGTTATAAATAAATATTTTAATAAATGAATAACTAGAAACTGATTCTTTAGAAATGGAAGATCCATGGTATTGTCCTCCCCAGATTTTTATTTCAAAAACTCACAAACTTTTGCTTCTTCTTTTGTGCAGTGTTAAAATATTGTATTCTTTTGGACATATATAGGTTTCTTATCATTTTCTTATGTTATATAATATGAGAATTAGGTTTCTTTCTCAACTGTGACTAATTGTCTGCCTTGTGTCTTAATTATTGAATGTTTGACCCTTATACATATATTCTCTCCTTTATTTGTTTGTTTGTGTTAAGAAATTCATATATAGAACAAACCAACACTTAAAGCTCAGGGTGTCTTCTTCTATCTAGTCAAGTCACGTTCGTGTTAGAAATCTCACACGAAATCTATACATTTACTCATAAATTTAGTAGCTAGTTTCACAACTAGCCATTTTCTTCAATCCATAGCAATAATTAAACTTTAAAGAAGACTAAAGTACGAATATTATCATTATATAAATATTTAAATAATTTCAATTAAGTCAGGTTTACCACTATGGTATAGTCTCAATTTTACTAACTAGCCCATTAGTCTATAGAATATAAATTCAAATACATAAAAAAAAGAAGATGTCATCATACTTTGAATATATCCTATTCTTGTAGCACCTTTTGAGATTTTATGATTTTGCTTTGAAAAGGCCAAGATGAAAGATATATGCCTCCGGCACTGACAGCATATTCTCCAAGTATATCCAACTACAACAAACGTTAGATTGCATGCTATTGTACTTGATCATTAGGACATTATATCTATTTGAAAATGCACTTCGTCTTGCTTACTTGCTTTAGATAGAATATAACAATTCTTAGCGAAATCTGTCACGATCGAGAGAGATGTAACCAAAAAATGGCCAAATGTATAAGTAGTGGCAATTAATTAGTCGATCTCCACAGATAGATTGTGCATAAGAGTCCTTAAAACCATTTCGTTATTATGACAAGTTGATATAACTCTATCGTAGATTTCTAAGTATTTTATGACGAAAATTTGTAAACCGCTGTCGTTTTAACTTGACTGCTGAACTTGGTTTTTCAGATTCTCTTAAGGGTTGAGAGCATTCTTTGGCTAAGCGTTCAAAAGGTTCTATCAAAGAGATTAGGACCGAACTAAAAGAAAGGAGCTGATTGTGAAGACACTTTGAATTGAGTAGAAGCTTCGACAATATCGTTGTTGTATTTACTATAGTGTTAACAAGTTGTTAATGTATGATTTGATGATAACTATACGTATATATATGATCTCCCTCAACTAAAACTACCAAATGAAAAAAAAAGATTCAAATCTTTTTTAATCTCTCAATAATAGCTCGTACAGCTCCAAGCCTTTTTTAGTCATCAACACATGCATTTTTAAGGTATCAATCCGAATGGTAAAACATCAACGACTCCAATAAATCTTTTACAGCATTTCTTTTTGTTCAACAAAAAAGTTACCATATAAATCTTTTACACCATATCTTTCTGGTCAACAAAAAATCTAAAGTTAAACTAATTCCAACTTTTTTCTTTCTAAAACATATGTGTATTATATTCTAACACTAGATTGCATATGCGGATGCAAATGCATATAACAATATGGATGTTAATCCTTGGTTAAATTTTTTGTAACCAAGGATATTCCAGGAGCAAACAAGTAGTCAAGTACATATGCAATCTAGTGTTAGAATATAATACACATATATTTTGGAAAGAAAAAAGTTGGAAGTTTTACTTTGAATTTTTTGTTGACCAGAAAGAAATGGTGTAGAAGATTTATATGGTAACTTTTTTGTTGACCAAAAAGAAATGGTGAAAAAGATTAATACAATATGTTGAACCAGAAAATTAACAATAGGTCTAAGTGATTAACAGTTGTGGATTTCAGAGAATAAATCTTTATTAAAAACTCAAAGGCAAAGCGATTATATTGATGGCGTGACCTAGATGTCGTGCCGAAGTGAAAAAAAGTAATGAAAGTTTATAAACTAGAAAGCTTGGAGTTTTTTAGGTTTACTTCTGCTGCTCTCTAGAATGTATAAGTTGGTCTTCAAGCAATCCGAGACTTCTTATTTATAGGGTTAGGAGGTCGGTCGCAGCGAACTTCTTTTTCTTTTATCTTTTGGGATAATTCCCATATTTTAGATATGGAAAGATCATTTTCCTCCTGATTTGGTAGAGATTCTTCATTATCTTTGAATAATTTTTCTTAATTCTCAAGTCGGCGTGATTATCCTAATCTTAATGGCTTAAATTATTGCTAGAGAAGATCTTTTAGAAAATGTGTTAATTTTCCCTCTAACACAATGTGGTATTTTTTTATAAAAAAAATAGTAAATTAGAGAAATGAATAACGATAGAAAAAAATTGCGAGGCAAATCTCCTTTGGCAGAGGAAAATGATGACAAAATATATGTGTCATCAGCATCTCCTGCCAATAGAGGATTCACCCTGTAATGTTTTCCTACCAAATGTTAGTATTTTTTCTTCCCCTCTCACTTGATCGCTTCAAATGAAAAAACTCAAACTATCTAACGTATTTATAACCTTTGATGTAAAGAGCATATCCTATGGAACAATACCTATTAAAAACATGAATCACAGAACTTTGTATACAACTTACAAGCCAAGTATTTTCTAACACTGAACAAAAAGAAAAAGCCCGTGTTAAATTCCGAATCAGAAGCATGAGGACCGCATGAAGGGGTCTTTAGGATTATACTACACACATATGCTATATGAAACATGGGATCTGCCTCAGAATATGCTTCTTCTATATATGCATTCACTACAAATTAACACTTTCATCAACTATATATAGGCTTTGCTACTCCAGTTTACAATAACTCAAAATACAAAGGTGCGAAACATAAATGATATGTTAAATAGTAGTATATATTGAAGATGCTTGTTTGTGAAGAAAGAGAGATCATCAATGTATGGCTGGATTACTGGGCGAATCCTCCTAGGGCAGATAGTTTTGGCATAGCTTGAGATGCAAGCAAATGCAAAATGCTTCTTTGCCAAAGGAGATTTGCCCCGCAATTCAACTCATGCATGCAAAACAATATTTTTCATTATCTGGACTCTCGAGGTAAGTTAATGTTTGTTGTCTTGGTTTTATCAGGTTTTAATGGATCAATTTCTGGATCTAAAACTACAATCCGAGATTGTCTCTTTGTGAATTGTGTTACCCAAAGATATAAAACGTTAGTCTCCAAGATATATTATTTGGGCCTATAATTATATTAGCCGAATTGGCCCATATGAGATAGACGACATCGCCCTTTATGAAATTCTCAGTCGGAGTTTGACTTTTTGATTCTTCCATCTTCTTCGTTTTTTCATTTAGTCTAGAGTTAGAATCGGATACTAAAATTACCAAAAGATAAATACTTATATTCTGACAAATCTAAATTCATGTGGTTTTGTCGTAACCGCTAATCTTTTTGAAAAACCAATGAAGCAGAATGATACTAAGCAGAAAAACCATGAAGATGCAGCAAGATTGTCCACTTCCACGTCTTCTTCTCTCATCCAATGTAATGTCCCTTGCTTCGTTCCACTCTTCCTCTGTCAATCTTACTGGAACATTCTTCGCTGAGCAACCGCAGATCTCACATACACTGCCAAGAGAACACACAACACCCTGTAAAGATTTTGACTAAAAGCTGAATTCTTCAAGGTGAATCTTGTAGAGACTAGTCAAGTTAATGAGTCAAACACAGAATCTAATAATCTATACCATCGCTAAGCTATATAACACTCGAGGAAGTTTTGAATCCATTACCTGTTTCCTCTTAGCTTGAACCAAGCTTCAGCGCAATGAAAATGCGCAAGGCCAAGCTCGTTTTTGCATTTGCAGCCAATCTGAATCAGCTCTGGACTTACTGATTTACCAGAAACTCTATCCGGTGACTGATCAGAACCAAAATGACAAATTCTGCAGATTCTCTGCTCATCGCTTTCTCCTTCACCACTCAAATCAATCATGTGGAACTCCTTCGCCTTTGGTTTCATCGAAGTATCATCACTCTCTTCCTCTTCCTCGTGGCAGCTTACCGCATTGGTAACATTATCCACAGCATGAGTTGAAATATTACTGCAGCTAAGACCATCTGTGCCTATTCTTGAATCGTTTTCTTTTCCTTGTTGCGGTTTACTCTCGTTTTGTTCTTCAATCAACACATGTTTTGAGACAGAGTCACTGGTTTCTTCACCCTTAACATCAGCGACAACAATCACGGCCTCAAGAACAGATCCACTCGAACTTTCACAAACACTGATCGATTTCGAACAACTTTTCGGGTCCATTTTAATTTGTAAATACCAAAAAAGCGAGGAATGTTTCGAGAATTCCCAAATTCCTACAAAGTCGCAGATCAAGTATGATTATACAGACAGAGCAAACACACAACATTCCCAAAACTAAAAGCCCTGTAATAGCTCGAAGTACACATGAATATTTTGTTTCACCAAAAATTCTTAATCTTCTATGACAAAAAGAACTCAATAACTACTGAGCAAAGTCGTAAAGGACAAAAATCAAACCTTTACAAGAATCCAGATCCACTTGAATGACAAAGTGAGAGAAAAGCGGCGAACTTTATGACTCAGTGAAGCAGCGTCAGAGAATCTCCAACAAAGTTTATCTTTTTTCAGCTTTATGCCTCCGATTATTCAGTAACTGGAGAAAAAACAATAAGAAAATCGCATCAAATCCCTTGCGGGAAACGGATGCTCGTCGCTAGAGTTACCTGCAAATGCCCTAATCTGCTCTGCGGTTGCAGTTTCCTTTTCAATTACTTTCCGTTTCAATTAGTCTCTCTTTCTATAAACATCTCAGCTCGAATTTAGGCAGTAAAACAAAAACCCCATTTGTGTAGATACTTTGTTGAGTTAATGAAAAGTCCCTTTCTTTGGGTAAGGAGGAAGCTAACAGAATAAAGTTTGGTGAAGATGATAACTACGATTATCAACTCTATAATTCAAAACAATTTAATAGAATTCACACAATTTAAGTTTTTTTTTTTTTGGTTCAAACACACAATTTAAGTTAAAGTAATCAATTATTGACCCAAAAATAATTGGTAACTGTAGTATAATTATGCTAAAAGAAATTAATTCTATAAGATTAGAATGTATAAAACAAAAATATTACTACAACCATATCTAATGCTTGTCTTTTTGTACAAGTAAAATTATTATTAATATCACTAATATGACAAATGTTTGCATTTCAAAATGTATACACAATAAGAAGATATGAGCTTATATATTAATATAAGAGAAGATATTTGATAAAATGATAATAAATCTAAGACATACAAGTACATTACTTTAGTAAAAATAAATTAAGCAACAAACTTATTAAGACCATGTGAAATTGTGAATCAACATATTTGATAAAAGAACATAAGGTAAATTCGAATTTGAATTATTGGTGGCTATCATGAAAAGAGAAAAAAGAATAGTGTATATTGTTGGCCGATTAAAGTAAACCTACTAAACCGGTAAAACCATTGTAGACTAACCTAAAAAGGTAACTAGAAAATATAAAAAAGAAAGAAGCAAAAAAAAATCAGTAATAAATGGTGTAGATAGATGGGATACCCCATTTTTGCGTAAGAAGTGATATTGAAATGATCCAAAATATGCTCTTTCATTATAATAAAAAAGAATGATTCAAATAAATTATGATCTTTTATGTTAGATCTTCCATTAGATAAAAAAGAATGATTCAAATAGATAAAATAAAAATATTGGGTGATGATAAGTCACACACAAAAGCACAATCCTGAGTCCCAAAAAAAAAAGTAATAAAACTTATGAAGGAGGGAAGAAACGGTTGAGGTTGAAAGGGAGAGTGTAGAATTCTTCATTTCTGCTATCTCCTTTGAAAGTTCTGAACTTAGCCCACCAAGGCAATCCTCTGTCTTTCGCACTCTCTTTGTAATCCAAAGTATTGTCCAAAAACACTGCGATCATCAGAGCCACCATCGGTGAAGAAGAGAAGATTGTGTTCAAGAAATCATTGAACCAACCAGCATTGGTGTGAGCTGGACCATGCAGTGCCTTCACGGAGAAGTCTCTGAAGTATTCAGGAATCGATAGTCCTAAGAAGAGAGACACACCGGTGATGAAGAGGTTTCTTAAGGAGTTCATGTTTGTGAATTGCAGGAAAGAGAGCCCAACAGAAGCTGTAATAAACACAAAGAAAGCTCTCTGTTAGATCAAAGTTTGAATGTGATCCTTAACTATATCTAGTAGTAATAGTACTGACCAACAAGACCGAACAAGACGCAGTACACTGCTGCAAATATTGTGAAAGGTATTGAAGCGAACAAGGCACCGAATTTGCCTGCAAAAACAAATTATTCTTTTGAGAAAACAAAAAAAAACATCTCAAAGAAGCTTAAGCCTGGTTTATGGAGATGTGGAGTTTGACCTAGCATTGAGAAGAATATCATAAACCCTGCAGAGATTTGAATCACTCTGCGGCTTCCTACACGAGTGCTTCCTAGTAATCCAACATTCTCTCTGCACCATTTGAAAAATCCATTAGACAAAAGTTAGTCCAAACTAAACAGAGAATAATAGTTTGAAATCATTCATTCATTCACACTGTCTTCTACTTACACAGAGACGCTTGAACCGGTAAGCGTTCCGAATAAACCGCTTAAGAGGATTCCAATCCCTTGCCAGCCGATTCCACGGCTAAGAACATGAGGCGGAGGTGGCGTGGCGCTGGCCAGTCGTGCAGCAGCCTTGAAAGCTCCGGTTGACTAATCACATTCCAAAAAGATTCCTCTTTTAGGACATTCTTCTCACATCAACAAGATTCTTGTTTTTGAACTAATCTTGGAGATTACCTCAATGAGTGAGACGAAAACAGCTGCCATCATAGCGAAAGCATGACCAGCATCAAAGCTAGGAGCTCCCCATTGAAGTGGATAAGGAATCTTGATCCTAAAATAAAGTCAAGAGAAGCATATATATATATGAGACACTATGATTAACTCTTGAATGTCTTTTTAATACACATTCTAGAGAGAAACTAACCAAGGAGCAGAAGAAATGAGGTTAGACATATCGGTTCTGCAGTTAACTTGCGTCTGGTGCGGTCTGTGTTTGTAAGCCCCACTCGCTGTCAACAGATGCGCGTAAGCCCACACTATGACCAACGCTATAATCATAGCGAATCTCTCAATTACTGGGAATTGCCTAAACTGAAAGTTCTTCAGATACTGCTCAAGAACAACATATGAAAAATACCAAAATATTAGTTAAGAAACATATATAGCTGGATTGTATCGAAAACAGAGAGACTTAAGAGTCACATTGAGTAATAACCTGAGAGAAGATGACAAACAGGATAAGCATTGGAATCCCTATCTCAACGCAATTACCAACCTGCAAACAAAAAACACTATACAAATAAGAACCAAAAGAGATGATTTTGATTTTTCGAACTCTTATAAAGAGAGTAAATTCGCAGTAATGTTACCACTGGGAATCCTCTGTTGAAGAGTCCAAAACCGGTTAATGCGATAACAGGAACCATACCAACAGGACTAAAGAATCTGCAAAACAAAAAGGGTCAGATGAAGATTCATTAAAGTCTACACCTTTATATGAAAACAATCAGTGATGATATGTGTATAAGAGATAGATATATATACATACCTTGAACAGATTGCCCACATCTGGCTAAAACCGAGGATGATTTGAACGCTAGATGCAACGATGATCGCTCCTTGTACAGCTCTCATTGTACTTAGAAATCTCTACTCGATTTTTTTCAGATTCAACCATTTAGAGTTTAAGATCTTCAGACAAGAAGCAGCACACTATACCAAAGAGAAGAGCAAACATACCAAGTGTGGATCTTCGATGCGGGTCAACGAAGAGTCGTTGATGATTGAAATGATCGGAACCATGAACGCGTAAGAGCCTCCGATCACGGTAGGGAGACGTGTCCCAAATAATGTCTGAAGCAGAGTGTTGACACCTTGAATGAAGAGCAGTGTCTGAACAACTCTCACTTTATCACCCTGACACATCAATCTCAATCAGACTAGAAAAACACACATAGATAGATTTTTCCGGATTAAGAAACAATCGGAAAAAAAAATGTAAAAGTGAAGCTCACATCATCTCCACCCATCATAGGAACAAGAAACGAAGGGATCATCACTGCAGTTCCTAAAGCTAGAATGTAATGCTCGAAACCTAAAGCTATGGCTTCTCCTGCAGTAACATCATTATCATCATCAGAAGATAGAAACTCAAAAGAGCCGAGGAAAGTGAAAAGTCAATCAAATCGAATACAGAGGATCGTATTCGTACCCCATGGAGGGTTTGAGTCAATACAGTACTCTAAACCCTGAAGCTGATCCATTGGTGGGTGGCTTATCTCCTCTGGCTTTACAGGATCCATGATTTTAGAGTAAAAGTCTCAAACTTTATTTCTTAACAATCGTCTTCTTGTGAGATTATTTGGCTGTGTTCACTAACTAAAGGAGCTCATGAATCAGCTAAGAATCAGGATCTGATTGAATCAGAGGAATGGCTAAGACAACTAGTACAGAGTAATAATAACAAGGAATTAGCGAGAAAAAGGTGTGTGAAATAGGAAAAAGATGAGACACGGCAAAATGAAAAAGCAAGCTTTTTTCGAAGTTGTAGCTGAGTTAGAAGAGAGCTTTTTTGGTAGTGGTGAAAATGGTGATGGGGCTATATATGGATTTTATATGAATTTAGTGAAGGGTTGAAAAAAAGAAAAGGACCGTTGAAAATTTTATTTACCGGAAATGCCCCTTAAGGAACTGCCAAAAACAGAATACTACCGTTACACTGTTGGGGTTGGTAAATATATTGTTTTCCTCAACTTTACACATCAGAGTCACAGAGTCTTTTAATGCATTTAATTACGTTTCTGCAGTGAATCTCTCATCTTCGTACATGTGTCTTTGAATTAAACCCAAATGCTAATTAACTTTGACAAGAGGAAGGAATCAACAACAGTTATTCAACAAACTAGCACCAAGTGGTTGATTTGTATTTAATTATTTAGTGTTCCCAATTCTTTCTTCTGTCCACTTACACTTCCCTAATTCGTTTTAATAATGATACCTGATGAATGTGATAAATGTGGTTGTTATCATCCAAATTCAAATTCATGTATGTAGTTATATATATGATAGTGTACTCCTTGAAGAATCATGATTATAATTTAAAGAGGTATTCTTCAACATTTTGGTTTTCAATCTTAATATTACTAAGTACTATATATATATATATGCTATAAGAGGTGTTGGAAACTGAAATTCTACGCAAGATTATAAAATAACTTTATTATATATGTACGTCTACCTTTCCTTTTTCTCCTGTGTCTGGTAAATATATATGACCAATTCTCAAATTTTGGTTATAATTAGCATAGTATACCGAAGTCAAAAAGAAAAAAAAATGGGATAATACATATACTTGATGATCGATTATGAAGATTGACCATGAGAAAAGAAACCCTAAGTAAAAGGTAAAAGAAACGTTATGATTGTGTGAAAGTGAAGTGTTTTTGAAAAAGAAAAATTAACCAATCACTTAACATCTCTTTCGCTTTAATTTATTTATTTTACACTTAATTTAATTATCTTGGGTTCTGAGTAATAATAACATGGAGCCAGGAGATGGGTCCAAAAGACCAAGACAGTGCAGATGCAAAAAGAGAATCTGACTGAGACACTCACGTGCGTCCCGAGAAGGACCAAAATGGGTCATTTAGATAAATGAACATAAAAAAACATAAACAATACAAAATCCACAATGCTTTTGTTACCAGACACATACAACTATTGGTACATCATAACAAGATACTCTCTTGTTTGTCTCTATCATGTGTTGACTACTTGAAGAACCAAACCGGTGCCGTTTTTATGACTGTGGTCCGGTTGATAATACATTCACCAATCCTTTCTTGTCTATGGGAAATGCTCAAACAGGAAATAGAGAAGTGTTCGCCTATCTGTACAAATATGCGTAAACCCCAAGGAACCATCTTTGACATAAGGGACTTGTCATTTATGCTTTCTCAAGTGGTCCAAGTTTTGTTTTTGTTTTTAGAAACGAGACAAAGAAAATGAGACTTACGAAAAAGCTGTGTAATCAGAATCAGCAATGGGAGATCTTATTGAATAGCTTCATTCGAAAGAAATAGATTCATGTGACACCTTACTAGGGCAAACGCCATAGAAAGAAAACAAAACTTAATTATGCGAGAATCCGTCTCATAATCTCGTTGTACACACTTCATATCAGCTTCTCAATATATACACATCAATAAAGATTAACTTTGTTGCATTGTACGAAAATTTTAGGATATCTAGATCCGGAAAAACAACTACTCGGATCCTCGTGAAGAATAAGTAAAAAATCATTTAAAATGAAAGATTACATCACAAAATAAAACTAACACCCTTTTACAAAAAAAAAGTAACATAGAAAAATTCATATTTAAGGAACCATCTTTACGTAAGACGTTAGGCAAAATATTTTAGTTTTGTAACTAATTAATTAATGAAAACAAAGAACCATGTTGAGGAGAACAAAAATAAAGGTTTTTCTTATAAAAAAACTGTATACATGTTATTAACTAAGAAACGTTACGATCGATGACATTCATATCAGTCGATCATGATCACCATATATATTAGATGTCAATCTTAAATAGAGCCAGTAAGAAAGAAAAACAACAAAAATAAAAGGAGGTAAATTGTATTGTGGAAAAAAATGGAGATTAATAAGGCATTTTTCGTGGAAATTCTCTTAATCACCATTTTGATATCGTCTGCTTATCCTAGCTTAGCCACAATAATTGACGACGAACCCTTGGTCGATCCTGACGAGAATTTAATGACAGCTTTCGCAAGATCACCAGCTGCAATGGATTACAATGAGGATGTGTTAACCAAAGAGCTGGATAAGTATACCATGAACTGCGCTAAGAAAATGGGACCTAAGTGTAATGATGAAGTTATGCTAGAGATTATTCAAAACAAAACTGCTTCGAAAAATTGTTGTCTGAAGTTAGTGAAAAATGGGAAAGAATGTCACATGGCAATTACAGATATGGTGTTCAAGACTTACCATCTCAAACGTTTTGCTTCCAGAAGTCTTTTCAAGATTAACAAAATTTGGAACAGATGTTCTGCTCAAGTTGAAACTTCTGCTCCATTTTCTGGTTAAAATTTTTGTTCAATAACAATACTATTATTAAATGGTGATTTAAATTAATTGTTTCGTCCCATTTATTTAAGACAATTCATAAATATTAGTATGTTTTCTGTTGGATCATACTATTAGAGCGCTACATGAATATGGTCGTCGATCTTGAGAGGCTCGCTCAATGGTTCGAAGTTACCCAATTTGTTAAGTTTGACTGTCGCAGATTTAAATTAGGACATGGATGTTACGGTACAAGTCTCAGATATTTACAAGATGAATGTGCCTACAAATCAGGGAGTGTTTTTGTAAAAAACGAAGAACAACAATACGATCTAGGAAACGCAAAATCAGCTTTGACGTAGCATATCAGGTTTAGATTACACACTGTGATTACTTTTAACATTATCACACATAAAAATATTATCATAATTAATAAGTTTCATAATATTTTTGTTGTAATTATCTTTCTTAAGCATAAACTATAAGTTAGAGATCTGATTTTTATACATTTGAATGTATATATATATTTTTTTTTTGAACAGAGGTTGAATGCATGTTATGTGATTAAATGACATGGCTTATTAGCTATTTGGGATTCATGGGTCATGCTCAATGTAATCTCTGGTCAGACTCGGATACAGATCATTCTATTTGTGCAGTGATTCAAACAACTCATTGACCTGTTCTCAAAAGGATACATATCATTTTTTTTTTGGAAAAAAAGGATACCTATCATTGTTCAACAATAAAAATAGTTACTTAAATGGGCTTTTTAGCATAATAACTATATTGGAGAAAAAATCCAAGAATATAGCTACGTTTTTCCAAAAATTAGATAAGTAACTATGTCCCAGAGAGAATTTACAATAAACTCCTTCAGTTTTAAGCGGGAACATATACTGAGATATTTTCTTCTGACGTCATTGATATACCATCTGTGGGAGGCGGCAAAATTGGCGGATGCTTTTCAACTGATCTACTCTCACCAGCTGTACGTCAGCTCCCTAACCGTCCAATGAAACGCCGCATACAATTATGTGGTGAATTCAAGGTACATATGTGGTTTACTATACAATAGTTCTGGACTATACCATAGAAAAGTATATAGTATATCTTCGCCATAGAAAGTATATAGTATACAGCATCCAATTTTAAATATTGGGAAACAATGCACAAAATACCACTACGTATGGAGAGTAGGGGTTTCTGATATTCTGGATCATATGGTTTTTCATTTCTATCGCATACTACAAGTTTATGATAGTATTTTGAGTAACATAATATTTCTCAAATAAATAGTATAGACTTGCTGGAAAATTATGAAAGTAGTTCCTTGAATTTCTATATATATTATACAGAACTGTACCCAATGAAACGCCTCATACCATCCTGTGGTGAATTCAACGTACATATGTGGTTTACTATAAAACGATTCTAAACTATACCATAGAAAAGTATATAGTATAGCTTCGCCATGATTTAAGACAAATTTTATGTTATATTTTACAGTATCCAGTTTCGAAAATTGGGCGACGATGCACAAGATGCCACTACGTATGGAGAGTAGGAGGTTTTCTGATATTATGGATCATATGGCTTTTCATTTTCAAGGCATACTATAAGTTTATGAAATGTGAATCGTCAAACAAATAGTATAACCACATACTCTTTCTATATACATGTCAAACATATGCTAAATTTTTTTCTTATTTTTTACTGCTAACGTCAGCAAATATCTTTCAATCGAATTTAAACTAAGGATCTTTCTGTATATATTGTAGAATATATAAGCAATATAATAACATCTATTTTGGTATGGTTATTTGTTAAATATAGATCATTTATATGGTCATATGACTCAATTTCCCTACTTAAATTCCATTAGACATCTTTTTTTTTTGCTTCTAAACACTCACTAACTACGGATTTTGAATACTTCTTTAAATCATTTATTTTATTTATTTACGTAATACAAAAGGATAAGCATTATCCAAACAAATGTAATATCTTAACGTGGTCTTCACATCGATCTTATGTGTTCTTCTGTCATGAGGGTTATTTCCATTAGTTTATGTATTTTCTTTTCTTATTATGATACTATAACAAAAAAATACGAAATAGGAAAAACTTTGTCGTGCTTGCATGTTAGGCTTTTGCCATAAGCTTTTCTGGAAATACTTTCTAATGATAGTCGTAATTCGTAAATATGCATTAAAAAGGATGACTGATATTATTCATAATATTTTATCAATTAATTGAGATTTTTTTTCTGTATCTATTATATTAAAAGAGAATCCACTTTAGAAAAATAACATTTACTTAATGTGTTATTTACTTAATATGCCATTAGACTTTCATTAGATATATACAATTTATTAAATCTATTATATTCATTAAATCATTAAAGGCTTAATTTTTTTGTTACTCTTCTCATTAGAGGCCCAATATTTTGTTATCCTTCTTATAAAAAGTCCATCTTTATTTAAAATTTAGAACTATCTAATTTTTTTATCTTTAATTCGAAATTTATTAAAAATATATATATAGAAAATGCCAAAATAATATTATTAAGGTCTAAATTTTATTTTTCCCAAGGGACATAAAATATATTAGGCCGGGGCTATATGTCCATATATATTCTTTATTTTTTATTTTTGCGATTGAACTTCCTAAATAACTGATCATATACCCAAAAAATCAAGTTTATATACCATGATCAATTTTTTCCCGTTACAACACAAAACTTATATTGGTTCCTCTTATATATATTATTATTAAATGTAATATTTTATCACCATAATATATATATTCAATTATTTATATTATATTAATTATTTTTAACAGTATAATATTAATTATTTAGTATAAGAAATTTCCATTTTCATTTTGTTTTGCAAAATTGTTAAAAAAACAATTAAAGAAGAAGAAAATATGAAAAAAGGAAAAGAAAATAGGAAAAATACATAAAACACGAAAAAAAAAACAAACAAAAATAAAAAGTTGAAGAAAAATTATAGAAAAAAGAACGAAAAAGAAAAATGAGAAAAAGATGAAGAATAAAGAAAAATGTGGAAAAATAAGAGAAACGAAAAAAACAGAGAAGAAAATAAGAAAAGAGGAAGAAGAGAGAAGAATAACATAAAAAGAACTTAAAATAAAAGTGGGGAAGAAGAGAAATACGAAGAAGAAAAACAGAGGAAAAAAACTAGAGAAGAAAAAACATAAGAACGAGAAGTAAAATAGACAAAAAATAGAGAATAAGAAGAAGAACAGAGAAAAAAAGAGAGAAGAGAGAAAAATGAAAGAGAAGAGAAGAACAAAGAAAAAGAAGATGACTTTTTAAAAATAAAGGAATGGAGAAAAAGACCAAAAAAAATTATGTAGTTATAGTTATAATATATTTGAATCAATAACAAATAATTTATAATATTATATTTTTAATTTTTAATTTTTTTACTTACAAAATTTAAATTCACTCTTTATAATATATAAAAAAATCTAACCATGAAAATAACACATTTATATCTTATTTTTTCATATTATATTTTATAAATTATAAATTTTAATTTTTTTTAAACATTGTCCTGCGCGAACGCACAGGTTAGAATCTAATTTATCATAAGAACAAATTATGACATGAGACATTCTCGACGAAATGCATTGAAAAGATAAATAATAGTGTTTGAAGTGTTGTAATTAACTTCATCGGTTTGAACTTTGAAGGATATTTCTTGCACAAAATGGATCTAAATTTTAAATACATATATCTTTAAAATCAATGGTTTAATTGTTTGTACCATGGAGGGATTATGTCTTTGCCAAATTAATATATACGAGAGTTTTACAACTCATTTTTATATATTTACAACTCTAAAAGTTCAATCAAACACAGTGAATTCATTGAATTGAGCATTTTGAAACAAAAATTTAACTCCAATAAATTTGGTGGTTAATAGTTTTACAAAACATTGTTATTGTGGGTTCTTTTACTACAGTACTATATATTTTGTTTTATTTTTCTTCTGTTTTATCCCACTCTTAATATGTGTTATAAGTAAATAGGCCTATCACCATTATTATCTTACTATAATACCATTCAAAACCATTGTTGGCAGTAATATCTGACCAATTGATTATTTTCCATCCATCCTCATCACAATTTCAAGATAAAGTGCTCTAAAAAATAGTCAACTCGAAATGCAAATTAATATACACATTATATAGAAATAGAAACCGGGATTTTGGTTTTGGTTTTGGTCGGCTACGTGAAATCCACGACTTACAGTCAGCACCGACTCACTCAGCCACACGTGGTACCCACAAACACCACTCTACATCTGTTTTTAAGACTTTAATATTTCACTTATCCATCACAAAAATCCAATTTTTGCTGGGGAAATATACATGTGTGACGACATCCCAACGAACTATATATGATCTGCTTATCGATCAGCACCACTGGTGTTGTTGATACGTCATCTCTATTATCTGTCCCTTCAAAAATCAGAATATTTATTGTAATTTTGACTTTTGCCACTTTGCGTATTGGATAAACCACATTATAGTTTAGTATATATCCCTAGAACAATTTGAAAATCCGTCCAACGTGTTCATATGCTGGCAAATAAAATGGATTAGGATAAAACTTCAATTCTAATTTAAAACTATAAATGAGATGACTTTTCAACTTCTTGAATATGAAATATAATTTTTTACAAATAAAAAAACACAAAAGAATCTCAACTCGAAAACTGTTATAAAACGAATACGAAATGGCCAAGTTAAGACACCATTACCACCGAGACAAAACAACCCAACCATATTTTATTTTTGTTCGTTTCTTCATTCCCTTCTCTCGGTTGGTTCGTTTTCCGGTAAAATCGTATCGGAATCAACACAAACAGAACAAAAGAAAAAAAGTCTCAGCCCACCGATGGCTCAAGTCCTATCTCCTCCGGCGGCATTGCAGGCTATCGCCGGCCCAAATCCGCTGCAATTCATGGCGGGTCTTCTCGGTCGAATCGTTACTAAAGACGTGAAGAAAGAGATCGGTCCAGAGAGCCCTAAGAGTCCTCAGACCCCACAAGGCTCTATTCTCATGGACAAGTACGAGCTAGGAAAGCTTCTAGGTCACGGAAGCTTCGCTAAGGTCTATTTAGCCCGGAACATAGCTTCCGGCGAGAACGTTGCCATCAAAGTCATCGACAAGGAAAAGATCGTGAAGAGCGGAATGGCCGGTCACATAAAACGGGAGATCTCGATCCTCCGCCGCGTCCGCCATCCTTACACTGTTCACCTCCTCGAGGTCATGGCGACGAAGACAAAGATTTACATCGTGATGGAGTACGTGCGAGGCGGAGACCTTTACAATAAGGTCGCTAAAGGACGGCTCCGAGAAGGAATCGCCCGGAGATATTTCCAGCAGTTGATCTCATCCGTCTCTTTCTGCCACAGCCGCGGTGTTTACCACCGTGATCTCAAGCTTGAGAATCTTCTTTTGGACGACGAAGGCAACCTTAAAGTCTCCGACTTTGGGCTCAGCGTCGTCTCCGAGCAGCTCAGGCAAGACGGAATCTGTCAAACGTTTTGCGGGACGCCGGCTTATTTGGCTCCGGAGGTTTTGACGAGGAAAGGCTACGACGCTGCGAAAGCCGATGTTTGGTCTTGTGGAGTGATCTTGTTTGTGTTGATGGCTGGTTATCTTCCTTTTGATGATAAGAACATTTTGGTTATGTATAAGAAAATTTACAGAGGGCAGTTTCGGTGCCCTAAATGGTTTTCTCCTGAGCTCACAAGGCTTATGACCCGGATCCTAGACACGAATCCGGATACTAGAATCACCATACCAGAGATCATGAAGCATAGATGGTTCAAGAAAGGGTTTAAAGATGTCAAATTCTATATAGAAAACGACAAGTTATGCAGAGAAGATGACAATGATAATGAAGACGATTCATCATCATTGTCATCAGGAAGATCATCGACTGCTTCAGAGGGAGACGCAGAGTTTGATATCAAAAGGGTTGATTCAATGCCTAGACCCGCGAGTCTAAACGCGTTTGACATCATATCCTTCTCTACAGGATTTGATCTTTCGGGTTTGTTTGAAGAAGGAGGAGGAGGAGCTAGGTTTGTATCTGCTGCTCCTGTAACAAAGATCATATCGAAACTGGAAGAGATTGCGAGAGTGGCCAGCTTCACTGTGAGGAAGAAGGATTGGAGCGTGAGGCTAGAAGGTTGTAGAGAAGGTGCTAAAGGACCGTTGACTATAAAAGTTGAGATCTTTGAGCTGACGTCATCTCTTGTGGTGGTTGAGGTGAAGAAGAAAGGAGGGAAAATAGAAGAGTATGAAGAGTTTTGCAACAAGGAACTTAGACCACAGCTAGAGAAACTGATGCATTACCAAGCAGATGAAGTTGAAGAAGCACCTGAAATTGAATAGAGACCAAGTTAATAAAAAAATGAAGGTCGAGAGAAGAAGACATAACAAGACACAAGGTATAAATATAGACAGACATTCTTTGTTACTGTACCATTTAATTTGATTTTTAATTGATTATGCGATGATGGTGTATATAAATGAAATGAAAGTGAGAGTTGTAATGGGAGTGATAGGAAGATCAGAGAAGAGAAAACAGGTAAAAAGAAACAAGGCAGTTAGACGGTTTTTGCTGGCGATTAAAAAGCTAGTTTTTCGTTTTGATTGCTGATTTATTAAAATCTGTTGTTGTACTTGTACTTTGTACATGTATCTCTCAAAAAGAGAGACGAGCTTAATGGAAATTCTTTCTCGGCCTTCCCCTAAAAAAACGATCTTGTGTTTGTGCTTCTCCTTGTTACATCAACCATGGACACTGTAATGGAGATCGTATCAGATTAGTTAAGTTTAATCGATAAAGAACCTTGGAAACGAATACAGATCAGTTGAGTGAGAGAGGAGATATTGGAAACGAATACTGATTGTTGAAATGGTGAATAGTTTAAAATGAATTATTTCAAGTGGTTAAGAAGTTGGTAGTACAAATTGTTTGACTGATTCTTCAAGTTAATTAATTAAAAGTTAAAAACATTCAAATATTGACTTTTATGCTCTGATGATTTTGATTACCGAAATGCTGAATTACGAACACAACAAACAAACGCGCGAAATCCCAACATTAATTAGTAAACCTAATTTCTCAGATAAATCAATCTTTTTTGTTTCTTCCTTTCTCAATCAAATCAACAGTTAGCTCGAATTTGGAAACGAAATCGATTCACAAGAATTTCAAATTCATACCGTATCTCCAGATCCGTGAGCGCCGCCGCTGATTTTTCCATCTATTGACGGAAGCTTCGGGAGTCTAGCGGGGCTCGTCGAGGTTCAGATCGGAACCTCCCGATCCGGGAATTAGGAAAATGTCGATTGGAATTGGAGTTTAATCCGTGTAGAAAGGCCTGTGATTCTTCTCTCGCCGCTCGTCTTCGTCTTCTATCGTCCTTGATCCAGGGTGGGTTCCGGCGAAAACAAGTCTGGTTTTGTGGCGGCCTAACGAGAAATCTTCTGTACCGGCGAGATATGACCGGCGAATCATCACCGGCGCCGTTGGTGACGGGAGAGAGAGTTGTAGTGGCAGTCGTGGTTTCTCGTGTTATCTTCTCTCTCCCTCTATCTCTTATCTCCCATGGCTTCTCCCTCTTCCTCCTCTGCCTCTCCGCCTTCCTCGTCGAGATCCGAGCGGAGAGTTCTCCCTCTCTTCTCTCTCGTTTCAGCGCCAGGTGGGGGTTTCCAATTTCTTTTGGTCTCTCTAGAAGTAACTATTCAATCTAATTGAAATCAAAGATCAGAACTTTCTCAAGCTTTACGATTCTCCAAAACATGATTTCAGCTTCCCAAGATTCGTTGTTTTGGGTTTTAAAAAGTTCGCATTTTTTGTCATGTGTGTGGACGGAGTTTACAACGGAATTGCTATTGTTCTGCATATTGCAGGCGAGGTGCATCTTCAGGGATATTGCTGGGAGCAGTAACACTTCCTGCTGTTATGATCTCTAAGTTGGTACAGCTCACTAGAGCTATCTCACTCCATGAAGCTGAACAAGACGGTATTTCATACCAAATACTACTCTTTATGTATTTGGATGAAACTCTTTGGATTTGGCTTATGACTGTGTACTACATTTTAGTATTCAATCATGCTCATGTTGACTTTATTCCTTCTTGCTCACAAACATGCTTTAATCTATGTCGTGTGTAGAGCTTGCGCATGTGACAATGCAGTACTGGGCCGCATCGGCAAGTTGCTGCGCCATACTTATATACCTCTCAGTAATTATGTCGCAAGCGAAGAAAACTGAATCTTCTTCCTCGTCTGTTTGGCTTACAAGAGTTAGCTTAAGCGGCACTGTTTTGTATGGAGCAGCATGCTTTCTTTCACTTTCAATGATATCACACACTGGTAAGTAAGATCCACTTTGGTGTTTCTAGTTGTTTTTCAATTTTTTTTTTCTTTCGCTTGGTTGTCATTGGTGGCCTCTGTTTGTTCTTACCTCGACAGGCTTGAATACGTCGTTAAAAATGTTGTGGATGCTATTTCACGGCCTCGCAGCTGTGAAGTTAATTCGACATTTGCTTTGCACTTTCCCTTCTTGTGCCTCAATTGGTAACTCCAACAATACTTCCATTTTCGTCTTGGGTTAAGTATTAGTTTTAATTGTATGCATTCATGAAATGGGGTACAAAGCATGAAATGGAGTTTAGCTCTATGGAACTTTGGATTTGATTAAAGCGTTTCTCTTGTTTTTGGTTCAGCGTATTTCTATTTCACCTCTAAAAATTGGCATTTTTTGTAGGGGAAACACTTCTCGTGACCAGTGGCCTTGTTCTCTATTTTGGCGACTTTTTGGCATGCACAATTGCAAAGGTTAAAATTCTTTAAATTTCCCAATCTTTGAACAAGTCATGGCATTATTGGTTACTGCATGCTCGCAAGAAGGACTCAGAGTATGACGACTGTTACAGATCTTCGAGAAATTGATACCTGTGGATCTTGTATCAATAAGCTATGGAATAAAGAGAACTGAAACCGGCATAATCATCCAGGTATGATGATAATAAAATCGAGAAATTAAATGGATAACCTTTACTGTGTTGCTGAATAGCAACTTATTTTCTCCTCTCAGGGTCTACTGTTGGGCCTTGTACTTTTCCCGATGGTGTTTAGATTCGTTCTGCACATATATGAAAGCTTTTTGAGAATGAGAGACGCTCGACAAAGAAACTGCAGTGATGCTGCAAAATCTGTCTTATTCTTTGTTTCACTTGTGCTTTTTATGGTCGTGGCTGTTCCTTCTTGGATGCAGTTTGTACACGATTTCCACCAGCATCCCTTCTTATGGTACTCAATCTCTGCTATGTGTCCTTTCATTTGTCAGTAAGTAAGATTCTATCCAACTCTCATACTTCTTTATCGCAGGGTGCTCACATTTGTCTTTTCTGAACCTCTGAAGAGACTTTCATTATGTATCTATTGGGTTCTGTTGATCGCTGTGTCTGTCTCACGGTTTTATAACATCTCAAGGAGTAGCAAGGTTGAGAGAATCTTGCTCCGGAAGTACTACCATCTGATGGCTGTTTTAATGTTCTTGCCAGCTCTCGTCTTACAGGTGAGTAGTTGATCAGTAATTTCTAGCTTTACTATTCAGAAATCTGTTTATGTGTTAGTCCGCTCCTCCATTAGCTGATTATTATTTCCATCATCCCTTTATTCAGCCTAAATTTCTCGATCTAGCATTCGGTACAGCATTGGCGGTTTTCATTGCATTGGAGATCATTCGAGTAAGCCCCGTTTCTATGTCACATAACTTACCTTGTTGGTTTCATAACTATCAAATGAGCTTATATGCAAGATACTCAATTTTTTTTGTAAACCAGATCTGGAGAATTCAGCCGCTTGGGGAGCCTTTACATCAATTCATGAATGCTTTCACGGACCATCGTGACTCAGAGCTTCTGATTGTCAGGTATGCAAAAACTGTTTTAAGACGAGAGATGAATATGTCCCCTTAAATTAATTCTCTTGATTTCGGTCCCATGAAAATCTGAGAGTTTCTGAGCATGAGAACTCGTTCCTGTTACTTATTTCTCCATGCCTTTTTGGTAGAGATTATTTGTTTTTGTCAGTTCAGAACCAGAAGGTCGAATTATGGTGATTTTGTCATTTTGCTGATCTGAATGTGAAAACACTTGCTTGATCAGTTAGCACTCTTGTTTGTATAACCACTTGTGTCATTCTCACTTGTAGCCACTTCTCACTCTTGCTTGGGTGTGCGCTTCCAATATGGATGTCTTCTGGGTTCAATGACCGAGCTTTATCTCCATTTGCCGGAATTCTCAGCCTCGGCATTGGAGATACAATGGTAAGCTCTTACTTAGATGCTCAGGATATGCAAACTTCAAAAAAAGTCTGGGTCTCTTCCGAAATGTAATGTTATAACGATTTGTTTTGAACAGGCATCCATGGTTGGTCACAAATATGGAGTGTTAAGATGGAGCAAGACAGGAAGTGAGCAATCTTCCATTACCCTCTAATCCGAAAATCTCTTTCATTGGAAACTAATGATGACCTGTGTGTGGAACAGAGAAAACGGTAGAAGGAACAGCAGCGGGAATAACATCGGTGATGGCAGTGTGCTTTGTACTGGTCCCAGTATTAGCATCAATGGGTTACATACTAAGCCAAGGATGGTGGTCGCTTCTCGTTGCGGTTACAGCCACCGGAATGTTGGAAGCTTACACGGCGCAGCTAGACAACGCCTTTATACCTCTCGTCTTCTACTCTCTCCTCTGCTTGTAGTCCCTTTATTTCTTCTTGTAACTTAATGTACATAACAAAATTTCTTGCTACTACTATACTAAACCACACTTGTCCGAGGCAAATAAATTGTTGTACCTGAAAATAAAATATTAAATATTTTATAATATAAAGTTTTATCGAAAAAACAAAAGATAAGTAAATCTATTATATTAAAAAAAAAGAATCCACTTTAAAATAATAACTTTTAGTTATTGTGTTATTTACCTAATGTACTATTGGACTTTCGTTAGATATATAAAAATTTATTAAATTTATTCTTTTCATTAAATCATTAAAGGTCTAACTTTTTGTTCTTCTTTTCATTAAGGGCACAATATTTTGTTTTCATTTCTATTAAAAGGTCCATTTTGTTTAAAAATTTAGAACTATTTTATTTTTTTGTTTTTAATTCGAAATTTATCAAAATATTTTATAGAAAATGCCAAAAAAATAAAAAATAATATTTTTGGGGTCTAAATTTCATTTTGCTCAAGGGACCTAAAATATATTAGGTCAAGGCTGTATGTTAATATCTATTATGTTTTTTTTTCCTCGATTGAATTTCCTCAACTACTGTTTATATACCCAGAAAATTAAATTCATATACTCTGATCGGTTTTTTCCCGTTACAGAGAAGATAAATGGAAAAAAAAAACAGAGAAAAAAATCAATAAAAAATAAGAAAAGAGAAAGAAAGGAGAAGAATAATGTAGATAAAAAGCTTAAAAGAAAAATAAGAAGAAGATGAAGAGGAGAAAAATAAGAAGACAATAATAAAAACTTAGAAAAATAAGAAAACAACAAAAAAAAATAATAATGAAGAAGATAAAGACAAAAAAAAAATATTAATATACTATCTTCTTATTAAAAATTTAACACACCTTTATTATATATTTTTTTTTACTAGAAAACATGAGTACGATTAACAAAAAATATACAATTCACCATTCAAACTTTAAACTCTAATAGTTAAAATCTAAAAATAATATTTAAAACATAAATTTTAATCTTACAAAAATTTACTCAGCGCAAACGTAAACACGTGATTAATATGTAAGAGTGTTGATTAATATATAGAGTTTCATATACATATTTTATAATATTTTAGCATTATTTGTAAATTAACTATTTTGAGTAAAATATTGCAGAACCATAAAATCACATTTTAAAATTGTATTTACAGAACCAATATTTTTTTAAAATAAAGTTTTCAAAAAAATTACCTGCGCGCCGACGCGCAGGTTAGATCCTAGTTTTAATTTAAATAAAGAAAACCATTTTTTTATCATCTGATAATATTAAAACTTCAAAGGTTACAGGGTGAAATACATTGGAGATATCCATCTATTTCTAGTGATTTCTCGGAGAAATAGAAATTCTAGAAATCCTAGAAACGGAAACTCAAAACATTGGGAACCAAAGACTAAAACAATTGAAAATCAACAAGAAAAAACAAAAAAGAAACACAAGATTGAATCCAAAACACTGATTCAAATGAAAAACACCTTAAACTGAAAGAATGAATACCAAGAACACCAGCAAGACTGAAAAAAAAAACCAAATTATTAGGATAAAAAGATGAGAATAACTGATAAAAAAACTTTAAGCAATTAAAAAACTAAAACTAAAAAGTTATAGGCTCTTCAACAATGTGTCTATAATTTAATTATAGTTTACAAATATATAATTTAAATCATTTCATTTGAATCTAGCTAGTAGCTACTTTGAAAATTATTAAAACACGAACATAAAATAAATAAAATCAGATATGATTTTAAAGATTATAAACATATACATATTTTCTAATACAAAGTTTGTATGCATATTTTTATGTTTTACATTATTTAATTGTTATTTAAATTAAAAGAAGATAACTGAGAATAACAAGTAATAAAATTTTAAATAACTGGAAAAAAGATTAAAACTAAAAAAATATAGAACACAAAATGTGTTGGAATCGATTTTCCAAGAATTAATCAGAAAGCTACACATCAGTAAAAGGACTCAGGTAGTTTGCAGGCGAAATTTTTTATTGTACAAATAATAATATTGATATCAATTTTCAACATCTATAAAATATGCTAGCATCTAAGTTTTAGTGTAAAATAAAATAGTTAGAACTGAAAATTACTATATAAAAAAAAGATTCTCTTAACTTTATGTGTATTTTCTTCTAAGTATTTAATTTGAGTATTAATAGTGTAATAAAATATTAATTATAATAGTTTAGTCAATTGATTTAAAAGAAACCTAGTTTTCAAAAAAACTAAATTACATTATATTTTTTCTTAAAAATACTTTTCTTGAAAAAATTGGCCAAATATTATGTTTAGGTTTTTGATGTTGAAAAAAACTTGTTTTCAAATTAGTTTGAAACTGAAATTTTCTTATATGTAATAAGATATGTTGATACTTTATTTAATTAGAAATGGCATTTTTTAAAAATAAACATTTAAATTTATAATTATTAATATTATCTATTTAGTTTTGCTTGAGATAAAAATATATTAATTTAAAAGTAAGTGAACTATTTAATATTTCAAAATATATATTTTTAAAAATATTTTAAATTATTACAAATTTTATCTAAAATAATTAGTTTTATTATGTGATGTAAACGAAGAGATTAAAAAATGAAAATATACAAAATCAATTCAAAACTATATAATTAGATAAATTTTTTGGTATAACAAAATAGATCATGTTATAATGATCAAATCTTTTATATGATTATGTGAACAAGGAGATTAAAAAACAAAATATAAAAAATAAAAATAAAACTAAGAAAACCAATGGTGATTAAATTATAAGATCTCTAAACATGACCAAATCAAGATTATATAATTAGATAAATCTTTTGAAATATAACAACAACGATCATGTTATAATGATCCAATCTTTTACAAGACTATGTGAACAAGAAAGTTAAAAAACAAAATCAAAAATTTACATAATCAAAATAAGACTAAAAAAAACCAATGGTGATGAAATTATAACTAATCTCTAAACAGCACGAAATTTTGATATTTTGGTCATTGTAAAAAACAAGATGCTATGAAAGAAATTGACATAAAGACTACATTCTTTTATTTATATTCAATATTAATCATATTCTAACAGAGTATCCTATATATTATTATAAAAATCATGATTTTTTTATCATTTAAAGTAAAAGAAAAATAAAAATAGCTAGAATAGATTACTGCTAATTTGTTTTAAACACAATAATCTTATTAATACTTTATTTTTATTTTTGTTAAATTTTTAATTAACTTAATGTAATTAAAAACTATTTATAAGAGTAGTTAGTTAAAAAGAAATGTAAATTTGAAAAAAAAATAGTTTATTAAATATTCTCTTAGGATATTTTTGTAAATGCTGTAAAAAGTTTTTTTTTTGTTTGTAAATATAGTAAAATATATCTCAGATTATGTTTATTTTTATATAGAGAAATTTAGTTATGAATATTTTTGTTTTGAAATCTAGATAGGTAATTAATTATTTTATCAAACTACTTACGTTTTTGAGTAAAAATAATAAATGCTTTAATGTTTGTTGTGTATATATATAAACTATATTGATACTATGAGATAAACAACTATCTTTTGTGAAAGACATAGACACTCTTATATTATTTTTTGCAATGAGGTTTACTATTTTGTTTGTGGTTTTTTGTGTTCTTATGCACCATATTCAAGGTAATATCTTCTTTTTGTTATTTATTTTGATTGGTTACATGCATAATATCAAAACATCAAGATTAAAGAAAATTATTTTGTTATAAAAAAGTTTATAATGAAAACCGTGTTTCATATGTAAGCAAAAAAAATATTTGCCTCAAGTTTTCAAAAACAATATATTGTTTTAAAGCTTTTAATTTTTAAAAATTAACAGTAGTGAAAACATTTCAGTTAGTTAAAAATATTTACAGATAAGATTTTTGTTTAAAAATATAACGAGTTAATACATCGAATTTGTCTATAAATATTAAAAATAATTAGTAAAAAGTGAATGCACTTGATTTTTATGTTAAAAAAAAAATCAACAGTAGTGTAGTGGTTAATGTAATTTATAAATTGCACTTTTGAGGTTGCAATCCCAAGTTCAAAATCCAACAGTTTTTTTTTTTTGTTATCTGACATTTTAACAATTTTTTAAAAAATATTTTATTAAATTATTATTAATAATATATAAAATATTTATTTTTAGTTGGCCTCAAGCTCCTTAAAATATGGTTAGAGCACTATTTGTAATGATTTTGTGTGTGATTGTTGTAAAATAGTTGAGGCAGATAAACCCTTTGTGATGTATAAAAGTTTTCCGGAACCATGCGATGATAATCCAAGCATGCAATGTGTAGTCGATGTTTCAGATCCATACTATCCTCGTTGCTTATGCAGTAATAACGACATTGGACATCAATGTGAATGTTTTCATATGGTTTGATATGATTTACTGTACCTCCATGACTATATTATATTTCATAAAAAAACTAGTAATACACAAAATGTTTGAATAATTTTTTTGCCTCTTCAGCTATACGAGATTAATAAAATTTTGTTTGGGCTAAATATTTTGGGTTTAGTTGTTTTGGAAGAGTTATATGCTTTTTGGGATGAACATGTGTGGTAATTACTAATTAAGGTATTCACTTCAAATTAATTCAAAATATCAACTTTTATTTTGTTGATCCTATATTCGAGTTATACCGACTGTATATACCAATTCAAAAGAAACAAAAATAGAAAGTAAATTTAGATATTTACTAATATATATGTGTACACTAAAAATTTATAATACAAAACTGAATTCGTATCAGTATGGCTTTTTTCGGAGTAAACCGTAACTCTCGTATCAATATGGTTAATTATGCATATTTCTTTTAATGCCAGAAAATTAAATCATTTAAATCAAAATTAAATCGAAAAGTGGATTAAGTAACTCTAGTTTTAGTGTAACGTTTTATTATCCGAAACAAAACAAAGTATTGAAAGTTATAAAAAAAAAATTATGGATTAAAATTAGTTAATTATTTTGTCAACTACTTACCTTTTCAGTAAAAATAATAAATACTTTAAGGGGTGTATTGAAACTGAAATTTTAAAAATATTTGTGGTTATTCTAAAATTCTATGTTATTCAACTAATAAT